CAGACCGTTGAGCTGTGGCAGCTTCCACCTCCGCAGCAGTCGACGTGGCTTGCTCATCCCGGATCATCTCCACAGCTTGGCAGTTCTCCATATCTATTGGCAGAGCACCCACTGGCCTCACGGCCAGGGTACCCGCCTCTCCACGGAAATCTTTAGTAAAGTTTAGTTCCATCATTCGTAGGTACTTATCAGAGCACATTTATCCTATGGGACCTGTTCTTCGCGATTTTAGTAAAATTATAACGTCCTTTGATACAACTTAAAATCAGTGATGATTTAATTTCCATTCATGTTTTTACATGAGGGTTATTACAGTAAAGGTAATAGTATACTGCACATAGTATACTTCACATTGTGTTCATTGTACATAATTCCAGTATTGGTCCAATGGAGGACCCGTAAACATGGCCCAATAACTTGGTCAGCATCCGTTAGCTTTTTAAAATACTGTATATTTTAACAAATATATTTTAATAAATATACTGTATTGTCATTTATTATATGTATTATACATTCCAGCTGTCATCTATTATCTACATATGGTGCTACATGTTTTCTTTAAACACTAGCCTTTTGCCCATCCAAGGACGGGTGTATTGTAGTAAATCCGAAACGTGCAAGCGAAAGCAGACAGCAAAGTGATATTCATTGCATTAATGCGTGTGCAATTTGTAAGGGAGCGATGACAAATACCTATTTCATTTTAAGGTTATAATCCCTTGTTCATCATGACGTCCTTTTTACTCTGATGTCGCAATAGCGTTACGGAGATCGCATGACGTGAGGGTTCTGCCTTTGTAGTGAGGGTTGTAAGTTGACGCCGAGGAGAGGGGAGGGGGCCCCTTGGCACCCATGTGGAGTGACGTCAACCGCTAATAATTATGAATGGGGGGGGGGGTGTCCATTTGGAGGATGTCAGCTGCTCTTGAAAATTAATGAGGGTGGCTGGTCGATGTGGAGTGACTTTACGAGAGTTAAGGACAGACATTACTGGGTGATTATAGTAGGTATTCGGGGGGGGGATGCGTCAAGCGTACGTACGCAGGTGGGGAGGAGGGGTGTAAAAAGTACGCGTGCATACTGGGAGGGGGACAGGGGATGGACCCTTAACTGCAATACACCCATCCTTTGACGGGCTTTCAGCGCATCAGATAATAAATAGCTGCGTAACTTTGTCATGACGTGAAGAACCCATATCCAGCAAACCTCAATCTTTTTTTTATTTCAAAGGAAACCCTGCCAGAGCAGGGTTACGAAAAATAGTTTAAGACTCATTAGAGTGTTCCTCTCCACGGAAATCTTTAGTAAAAGGCGAAAGATTTATTCGCTCTGAAGAGAAACCAGAGTAAAGTTTAGTTCCATCATTCGTATGTACTTATCGGAGCACCTTCTCCATTTATCCTATGGGACCTCTTCTTCGCGACTTTAGTAAAATGAAAACGTCCTTTGATACAACTGTAAATCAGTGATTATTTAATTTCCATTAATGTTTTAAAACGAGGGTTACTCAAGTAAAGGTAATATTATACTGCACAGTATACTTCACATTGTGTTCATTGTACATAATTACAGTATTGTACCAATGGAGGACCCGTAAACATGGCCCAATAACTTGGTCAGCATCCGTTAGCTTTTTAAAATACTGTATATATTAACAAATATATTTTAATAAAGATACTGTATTGTCATTTATTATATGTATTATACATTCCAACTGTCATCTATTATCTACATATGGTGCTACATGTTTTCTTTAAACACTAGCCTTTTGCCCTTCCAAGGACGGGTGTATTGCAGTACATCCGAAACGTGCAAGCGAAAGCAGACAGCGACGTGATATTCATTGCATTAATGCGTGTGCAATTTGTAAGGGGGCGATGAAACAGACCTATTTAATTTTAAGGTTATAATCCCTTGTTCATCACGACGTCCTTTTTACTCTGATGTCTCAATAGCGTTACAGAGATTGCGTGACGTGAGGGTTCTGCCTTTGTAGTGAGGGTTGTAAGTTGACGCCGAGGAGAGAGGAGGGGGCCCCTTGGCACCCATTTGGAGTGACGTCAATCGCTAATTATTATGAATGGGGGGGGGGGTGTCCATTTGGAGGACGTCACCTGGTCTTGAATATTAATGAGGGAGACTGGTCGATGTGGAGTGACGTTACGACAGTTAAGGACAGATATTACTGGGCGATTATAGTAGGTATCCAGGGAGGGGGGGGGGTGGTGCGTCAAGCGTACGTACGCAGGTGGGGATGGGGGTGTGTAAAAGAACGCGTGCGTCCAGGGGGGGGAAAGGGGATGGACCCTTAACTGCAATACACCCGTCCTTGGACGGGCTTTCGGCGCATCAGATAAACAGGACCCTGCGGGGTGGGCTGGTAGGAACGAATAACCAAAGAATATAAACATAATGTATTATTACACTTGTTTAGCCAGGAAAGCCCCACTGAGTCTAAAGGTTTTTGTAGGGTCCTGCCAAGTGTTTGCAATAGGGGGCGATGTTGCTACACCGAATCGGACGATACGAAGGGAGAGTGTGAGGCCTAGTTCTAGGCTTTAGGCCTAGCTGTAGGCATTAGGCCGCTGTGAGTTAATTTGTAATTTAAATGTTTTAATTATTTAAGTAAAAGCTTTAAATGTAAATGTTTCTATTTAAAAACATCAGGGAATGTAACATTGTAAAACATTAACTCCCTTTCACACACGCGGGGGTACGATACGAAGGGAGAGGTTGAGGCCTACTTCTAGGCTTTAGGCCTAGCTGTAGGCTTTAGGCCGCCGTGAGTTAATTTTATAATTAAATGTTTTTATTATTTATGTAAAAGCTTTAATTTTAAATGTTTCTATTTAAAACAGGGGTCTCAAACTCAAATTACCTGGGGGCCGCTGGAGGCAGTATCTGGGTGAGGCTGGGCCGCATCAGGTATTCCACACAAAAAAACTTTGCTAAAAAAATCCAAACTTCTCAAATGTCATTACTAACAGTTATTTAACTTCAATGGGTTCTTCTGAACATGAATAGAATATTGAAGAACATGAACGGTTCTTCTGAACATGGTTTATCTTGCCTACTTCTTGCTGCCAGAGACCTGGCAGCGCTTCCTCTCACATAGCTGAGCCACATTTGGCTTGAGAGAGGAAGCAGTTGAGACCCTCAGTATGGCTTGAATATGATCATCAGTAAATCTGGACCTGTACTTGGACTTATTGAAGTTCAAGGTGGAGAAGTGCTTTTCACACAAATATGTGCTCCCAAAAAGGCACATGGTCCGCTTGAACATTCGGGAAAGCTCAGGGAAGTTGGGGTTCAATTCTCGCAAAAAATGCCCAAGCTTGTCTTCTTTTCCACTCACCTCCCTGAACTTGGCTTTGAGGTCAGAGTTGCACTGCAGGTCAATGAGCTCTATTTGAAGCACAGGAGGGGCATCTTACACATCAAAGGAGAAGGGATCCGCAAAAAATTGAAAAGTGGCTCTGTGCGTCTTGAAGTCTGCAAATCTGTGATCAAATTCCTCCTGTAGCCTCAAAATGGCAGCAACATACTTCTCACCACTGAATGGTGTGCCTGCATTCAGGAGTGCCTTGCATGCTGGGAAATGGCAAAGGTTTGTCTGAGAGAGCTGGGCTTTCCATAACACAAGTTTTGTGGAGAATGCTCTCACGTTGTCATAGGCAGCACTGACGAGCTGCCCCTGGCCTTGTAACTTCTTGTTCAGTACATTCAGCTCATGCGTGATGTCAACAAGAAAAGCTAAGTCCATGAGCCATTTGGGATCACTTAGCACAGGAACAGCCACCCCATCCTTCTCCATGAAGGCTTTCACTTCTGCTCTCAACTCAAAAAATATCTTCAAGACGTTTGCCCTGCTGAGCCAACGTACCTCGGTGAAGTAGAGCACATCCTCATATTCTGACTCCATTTCCTCTAAAAAAGTACGGAACATCCGGTGCTTTAAGCCCCTGGATCTGATTTGGTTGATGCATTTCACAACAACAGACATCACATTGTCAAACTTCAGGCATTTGCTGCAAAGGGCCTGCTGATGGATGATGCAGTGCAGAGCAATGGCCTCCTCCACACGCTCCTCTTCTAGTTTTCTTTGAACAAGTGCCACCAGTCCATTTTTCCTCCCTGTCATTGATGGCGCTCCGTCAGTTGTTATTCCAACAAACTTCTTCCATGGCAAACCGGCATTCACAATGGCATCACACAGCTGGCAAAATATCTCCTGAGCGGTGGTGTGGCCATGCATTGGAATTACTGTGAGCAACTCCTCCATCACTTCAAAATTGTCATCAACACCACGGACATATATTGTGAGCTGGGCAGTGTCAGTGATGTCTGAACTCTCGTCAAGAGCGACTGAGTATGCATTGAAAAATTTGGCTTTCTCACGCAGTTGATCATAAATGTCACTTGACAGGTCAGAAATGCGCTCTGCCACGGTGTTAGCAGAAAGGCTGATGTTGCTAAACTGACCTTTCTTTTCCGGACAGACTATACTTGCAGCCTGTAAGATGCACTTTTTGATAAACTCGCCTTCTGTGAATGGCTTTCCTGCCTTAGCTATCATCTCACTAATCACGTAGCTTACTTCGACTGCTGCATTATTCTCTTTGGTTGCTTTCTTGAAGACATTTTGTTGCCTCAGTAGACATGTTTTAAGATTGGCAACCCGGTTGGCTCTCTCATCTCCCTGGTATTTTGCATACTCCTCAGCATGTCTAGTTGAGTAATGACGTTTGAGGTTGTATTCCTTGTGCACCGCAACTTTTTCTATACAAAAAAGACACGTCGGGGTGCTCATGTGCTCAACAAAGAAATATTGCATCTCCCACTTTAACTTAAATTGTCTGTGCTCGTCACCAACCTTTCTTTTCACTGCAGGCTTTGAAAAAGACATGATTGGGGCTGTGTGACAAGATATATATTTATTCCACTTGCTGTCGCTCACGCAATAAAGTTTTAGTCAATTGTTTAGCCAACCAGCGACGCACGGAGACGTAATTTCCGCAAATGTACGTCATTTCCGCTTTTTCCGGTAACAACAGGTGCGTAGATTATGGGGGGAGGGGGGGTAATGCGTTCCCATCAGATTTCGTCCCCACACCCCACTCACAGGCAGACACAGCTGTAGCGGCTGCTACTATACACGCTTCTCTGTTCAAAGCACGGGGATCTGAGCCGGGATGAGCTGTGGATCTGCGCTTTGACGCGCTCCGGTGCGCGCACAGTGGAGAGCCGAAAGAGGGAGAGGAGAGGACTATATGAGGCAGCGTCATTGTGTGACCACGGGGTTCAAATGCTGCTGGCCACTGTCGGGGCTTTCGCTGCCTTCAGTCACATCACATTTTTCTATACATTTTTGTGCTTACTTTGTGCCGGCGTGTTGGCTTGCCTGCGTTCCGGGACTTATTTGAGCAGATCCGGTACCTCTCGTATCGAAAAAAATATGAATATTAAAAAAAGTTTTTTAATAAATGATTAAAATAAAATATAACAATATAATGTAATCACTAGAAAATTACGGAGCCCCTGTTGACATCGGTGGATGAATTACTAATTTGTGGCCACGCAATAACAAGATAATCTAATAAGTTATATATAAAGCTTTCTTAACAACAGCATCACAATTTCATAAAATAATAACAAATGCAGACTTCTAAGATGAACCAAAATAATGATGCACATCGTCATGTACAGTCTGTGGCTCGGTGCGTATATGTCACCACCAGAGGATAAGGGAATTTAAATCATTAAAATTCATCCACACATATCAGGTGTAAATAATAATGTAAAACAGCCCAGACTGTAAAATATTGATATTAGCTCAATGACGTGTTATAAACTGCTGCGGTTTAGAATAATCCGTCAGCGTAAAGAAGCTCCCAAAACCTCACAGCGCAGCGTGTGCGTAAAGGAGCCGTGGTGTCCCTTGAATTTGCCTTCAATTTAACAAATTGTGTGTGTGTGTTCCGTTCGTTTTCTCCGCTGGACACAGAAGTCGCCTTTGCTCAAGATGCCACTTTATTAATCACTGACACAAAGACTGATACCGTCACTGCAGTATAGCCTAAATAAGTCCCCCTGCATTGTAAGTGTCATGTGTGTGCTGTTTTAAGCGTCGTTTTACGTGCGTTCCGGGACCTGTGCTCGTCGTACCTGCGCTGTCATAGGTACTTAGCGTTCCGGCACCTTGTGATTTACAAATGAAGCACTGGATACATCATGATCTGCGCGAAAGAGGGCGGAAAACTATGAATTTCACCCTCCTGCTCTCCGCACATCCAAAGCCACTCTTTTCTCTCCCGGCTCTCTCTCTCACTCACTCTCACACGTACACAAACACACACACACGACCCCACCCCCCATGACACTCACATGCATGCCGCATTCACTGGACAGGCACACAGTAGGAAACCAGAGCATCATAACATTGTTCCACACAGCAGCTAACAGCGGGGTTGCTACAATATAAAACTCGCGGGCCGCACTAACATTAAACTTTCATATTAAGGTGGGGGCCACAAAATATCGTCCCGAGGGCCGCAATTGGCCCGCGGGCCGCGAGTTTGAGACCCCTGATTTAAAAGCATCAGGGAATGTAACATTGTTAAACATTAACTCCCTTGCACACACGCGGGGGTACGATACGAAGGGAGAGTGATAGGCGTAGTTCGAGGCTTTAGGCCTAGCTGTAGGCTTTAGGGCGCTGTGAGTAAAATTTGAATTTAAAAGTTTTAATTATAAAATTTGAATTTAAAAGTTTTAATTAAAAGCTATCTCAGGGAATTATAAGGGAATGTTACACTTGTTTAGCCAGGAAAGCCTCATTAATTTAAATGTTTTAATTAAAAGCTATCTGAGGGAATTATAAGGGAATGTTACACTTGTTTAGCCAGGAAAGCGTCACTGAGTCTAAAGGTTTTTGTAGGGTCATGCCAAGTGTTTGCAGTAGGGGGCGATGTTGCTACACGGTCGGAAGGACGGTCGGACGGACGGACGATATAATCTATTGTAGGCTGGTCCACTTCGTTCCTACCAGTATAAATAGCTGCATAAAGTTGTCGCCATGAACACAAAGTGTCCCACCCCTCTCGTTACATGACGTGAAGAACCCATATCCAGCAAACCTCAATCTTTTTTTATTTCAAAGGAAACCCTGCCAGAGCAGGGTTACGAAAAATAGTTTAAGACTCATTAGAGTGTTCCTCTCCACGGAAATCTTTAGTAAAAGGCGAAAGATTTATTCGCTCTGAAGAGAAACCAGAGTAAAGTTTAGTTCCATCATTCGTATGTACTTATCGGAGCACCATCTCCATTTATCCTATGGGACCTCTTCTTCGCGACTTTAGTAAAATGAAAACGTCCTTTGATACAACTGTAAATCAGTGATTATTTAATTTCCATTAATGTTTTAAAACGAGGGTTACTCAAGTAAAGGTAATAGTATACTGCACAGTTTACTTCGCATTGTGTTCATAGTACATAATTACAGTATTGGACCAATGGCGGACCCGTAAACATGGCCCAATAAATTGGTCAGCATCCGTTAGGTTTTTTAGATAAAGTCTCTTTTAATAAATATACTTGAATAAATATACTGTATCGTCATTTATTATGTGTATTATACGTACCAACTGCCATCTATTATCTACATATGGCGCTGCATGTTTTATTTAAACATTCGCCTTTTGCCCGTCCAAGGACGGGTGTATTGCAGTAAATCTGAAACTGGCAAGTGAAAAGCAGACGGCGACGTGCTATTCATTGCATTAATGCGTGTGCAATTTGTAAAGGCGCGGTGACACAGACCTATTCCATTTTACGGTTATAATCCCTTGTTCATCATGACGTCCTTTTTACTTTGATGTCTCAACAGCATTACGGAGATCGCGTGACGTGAGGGTTCTGTCTTTGTAGTAAGGGTTGTAAGTTGACGCCGAGGAGAGGAGGCCCCTTGGCCCCCCATGTGGAGTGACGTCAGCCGCTAATAATTATGAATAGGGGAGGGGGTGTCCATTTGGAGGACGTCACCTGTTCATGATTATTAATGAGGCTGGTCGACGTGGAGTGACGTCACGCGCGGGACACAGACATTCTTGGCTCATGATAGTAGTAAACTAGCTTTACTACTCGGCTTTGCCCGGGACTTGGATTCACCATGCCCGTCCGCCTTTGTCTCCCCCGTGGCGATGTTCACACACCACACCAGTTACTCGTTTGAGGCTGAGTCGACTTAGGGGAGGCCCAGGACCGGTTCAAATAATCGTCACCGGTGGTGGCCGTGAGTGGGAATCGAACTCGGGTCGCCGGGATCGTAGCGCAGCGCGCTAAGCACTGCACCACCGCTCCCCCCACACACACGCGCGTCCATAGGTACACATACACGCGCTTGCTGCACACACACAACTTTCAGGGTGTGTACGGCAGTAAGCGACTGAAATAATAAACCAATGCTGCGCGAAAAACACCTTAGACCTGCAACACATTTGTATTTCACTTTACCCGCAATCAGCAGGCACACTCCGTTACGCTTCCGCACACGGGTCACATGACAGATGTGACGTCACAGCTCACTTGCCGTGCAAAATATATGCATTATTGCGTCCCTCCCCCCCCCAAAATAAAAAAAAGTCCACTTTTATAATTTTTGCATGGTGTACAGTCTGGAAAGTACCCACATGGCAAATTGCAAGTTTGTTGCATGTCGGGAAGTAGGCTAAACATTTTGAACAGACACACATAATCACAACTTTGCCTTTTAAATATATGGAGATATGTGCACACAGAGGCGGAGACAGACACATGGATGTTAGCGTAGATACAATGAGATACACAGAGACACACGTCGTTGGAACACAGCAAGTGTCCTGCACACGTCCAAGGGACTTGCAGTAACTTAAAATATTACCCCCCAAGACTTTTGTGCATTCTGGTTTCTGAAACGGTCTTCCAATTTTATGGCCACATTAGTAAAATTAGGGGGTGTGGAGGAAATGTATCCAATTACCCAGCAGGGGTTTTTATACACGCGCTTTTTGTCCCCCCGGACGCAACTCCGCAATTACCCGAAACTGTTTGGCGAATATGAGTTGATGTAAAATCCTTTAATTATCCCCCCCCCCCCGCACGAATGTACGTCTGCTTTAGTCTCCACTACACATTACCACGGACAAGTGAAGTTTCGCTGTAGTTCATTTCATGGAGTCGTGCTTTGTGATCATTGGTGGGTAGACCGTGTTAGTAACTGTGTCACGGTTGACGATAGCCCTCTGGCATTAGTCAGGGTTCACTAAAATAAAATTATTAACACTTTGGCGTCGAATACATCCAACACTAATTTCGTTCACAAAAATAACACCGATGCATCGCACTGGTCCACACATCCAACAACAAGAAACCCAAGCATCCACACATCAGAACACCCACACACAAAAGACAAAGATCTCCTTACTCCATAGACTTTAACAGACTATTGGGGTAAGGGGCCATCCATTTAGTACGTACGCATGGAGGGTGGTTAACCCAAATGCGTACGCTTGCGTATGGGGGGTCTACTGACAAATGTACTCATAGGAAACGGGAGGGGGGGGTGAAGCCTCGATAATAGTTTGTCTACATTGGCCTTAAAATTAGTTAGATAGTCCGGCGGTGGACTGTTTGCTTAAACACGTTCATATTAATCCTTGATCGTTTCTGCGTGGATTAAATCTCGGCCGTTCTATAGGATTCAGGGCGTGTAAAAAGTCCGCGTGCGTTCAGGAAGGGGGTTAGGGGTCAAGTTTTGACAGATTTCAGCGTGGCTACTAAATTGATGGCCCCTAAGTGATTTTTAGCGAGCACCTGTCGTCTGGCAACACGCGAAGCGATGGACATGTGGTCAACACCACGCCCGGCCGCCTTTGTCTCCCCAATTGCTGATATTTACACACGCGGCACACCAGCTTACTCATTAAATCGTGAGTCTACCCAGGGATGGCCCAGAACCGGTTCAGATCCGTATTCGGTTACGGTTACAGGTTGTGCGCGTGGATCGAACTCGGGGTCGGTCGCGCAGCGTCCCAACTATTGCGCCACCGCTCCCCAGAACCCACAAAGACAAATATAACCCGTGTTGTATTCTAGATTTGAAGTTTTCGTGACTGCAATGATCCATACTTTGTTTTTATCGGCAAAGTCACGTAGGTAAAAAATTATAAAAATGAAAAAACTAAATTAAATCACAAATGAAATAAAAATATTAAAAATGGAAAAAAAAATTGTGATTTCATTTAGTTGTTTTCATTTTTCTTATGTTTTACCTACGCGACTTTACTTGGCCAACACCACGCCTGGCCGCGTTTGTCTCTCCCTCTCCCAGTGGTGATGTTTACCCACCACCCCATACCAGGTACTCATTTGAGGCCGAGTAAACCTACACACACACACTCACACACCAGACAGCACATCTCCCTCACACGCCACAATTCTCACCTGTCCAAGGCGGCTGGGGAATCCAGGCGGTCGTCCCTCGCGTCTCGACTCACTGAACGAGGAGGAAGGTCTTGAAGAAAACCATGCCCGGCTCGCGTGTACGAATCGCCACGATTATTACTGCACAGCTTCTCACCCCCCCCCCCCACGCCTTCGGGAAAGCGAGACAGTGCTCGTCCTGATTGTGTTTATTTATATTTTTAAAAAAAGGCTTTAGGAGAAAGATGTGCGATCGATGAAGAGCCGTGAGATTGTCGATGTGCGTACAGAGTGGCGTCGTTATGTGTACAGGAATAATCTAAGACAGTGGTGTGTGTGTGTGTTTAACATTACACAATGTCACTATAATTATCAAGTAGCTCGGAGTGTTAACTGCACCCCATGAAATATATCAGCAACTACACAACAGCTTGTAAAATAATTGTATACATTGGGTTTTTTTTCACGAGTACAGCATCTCGAAATATGCGTCAGCACCTCTACCGATAACTGTGACCACAACTATATTAGTCTATAATAATTTAAGAACTACACCAAGTACCTGTCTCCACCGAAACTATAACTATCTCTATGCAAGCCCTCCGTATCTATTCATGAGCACTGGTGTCTCTTATAAATGCAAATACATATTTAGCAGTATCTCTTATTATACCACATCTATTATACTCGACACATATCTACATTGGTGCCTGACAGTGATGTGTTTCTTTACAAATTTTCCTACGGTAACAGATTTACTCCCATCCCTATGTCGAATGCATCTACATAATTCTATAACAATATTGTCTGCGACTCTACACATTCCTACAAGTCTCCACTTCCATAAGCCTACAGCAATCCCTATATCACTGTACCCCTTTTCCCTTGTGTGCATAACCCTATCCATACATAACTTTACACGAACCCTATCTCTGTCTGCACCAACAGCTGCAACACATCTCTTAACCCAGTGTCCCCATGACTCTACACGTCACAATATACATCCCACACGCAGGAACGACACGAGGCTGTCCTGTGTCCAACTCTATCCACGCATTGCTATTGCATCTCTTGCGCACCACGTCTCTCAATACATCACCGCAGCACGCCGGTGTCATCTATCGCGCTTATCGATAACCTTCGATTAGCATCGGTTGTGCGACGTAGTGTGTGAGAACCAAGTTCAACGCACGTACGTAATCGTCTCTACGATAGATGCGCGTCTGTAAAACTGTGATCTATTTAATTTGTATCTCTCAACGCAAAGCCTCTCCCCTGCCACTGGGCCTCTCCCCCCTGTCAATGGGGAGCCGAAAGCGGAAGTCGAGCCGAACAACGCCGTCACCGTCCGCGATGACGTCGACACGTCGGCGCATGGATACTTACAGGCGGCGACGCACACACAAACAAAATTAACCCGTAAAAACCAAGTTTTTCACTATAAATCCTTTATATGCGTGGCATCGGTTTTATTTTATTATTCATTTCTGTTTTTCTTGAGTAAGAGTTTCATTTTTTATCACATTGGTATTTTAAATTAAATATGAAAAAATGTTTTCCTAAAAAGTGAAAATTTTGGAAAAAAAATTTCACGAAAATAAATTGTCACGCACAACGAGTCTGTGTGCAAAATGTCAGCTCGATTGGATCACGGGAAGTGGGTTAAAAAACGACCGAAAGATTTGCACGGTCGTAAGCACGCAAGCAAGTGAACTTAATATAAAGGATTTAATAAAAAAGAGAAAATAGTGCACGGTCGCGTACCACGTGATCCGCGAGGGCCAATCGCGGATTAGCGTGGGGGAGGGGAAAGCTTTAGTAGTAGGTTTTTACCCTTTTAAACTGGTACAAAACTGACACCTTTATTCAAGGCATCATGTTTGCAATAACCACAACACAAGTAGTCAAAAAAGCAAACAAAAAGAAGCAACTCTGATAATGATAATAATATGCACTGTCCTTGAAGTTGATTAGTCCACACCCGAGACGGCTTTCTTTAGAGCCTAGTCCCCATTGGTGTTGGACCAGATGACACCAGAAGGCGTACAACTCACAGTGCAATATCAGAGTATTGAGAGCTCGGGGTAAGCATTTACACTATGAGATCTCTTTTACCAGTGCTTTTTGGACTACTGCTTTTTTGACTACTTGTGTTGTGGTTATTGCAAACATGATGCCTTGATAATTGGTTCTTTACCCTTCTATCTGGCAACAAAACTGACACCTTTTTGCAAGGAGTCATGTTTGCATAGACCGCAATACCTGCAGTCATAATACAAACAAAAGAACATAACTCTGATAATGTGCACTGTCCTTGAAGTTGATTGGTCCACACCCGAGACAGCTTTCCTTCGAGCCTAGTCTCATATGGGTTGGACCAGATGACGCCAAAAGGCGCACAACTCAAGGACAATGCACCATCAGAGTATGAGAGCTCGGGGCAAGCATCTACACTATGGGGACCTCATTTGCCAGTAAAAATATGATAATTGGTTCTTTACCCTTCTATCTGGCAACAAAACTGACACCTTTTTGCAAGGAGTCATGTTAGCATAGACCGCAATACCTGCAGTCATAATACAAACAAAAGAACATAACTCTGATAATGTGCACTGTCCTTGAAGTTGATTGGTCCACACCCGAGACAGCTTTCCTTCGAGCCTAGTCTCATATGGGTTGGACCAGATGACGCCAAAAGGCGCACAACTCAAGGACAATGCACCATCAGAGTATGAGAGCTCGGGGCAAGCATCTACACTATGGGGACCTCATTTGCCAGTAAAAATATGACTCCTTGCAAAAAGGTGTCAGTTTTGTTGCCAGATAGAAGGGTAAAGAACCAATTATCATATTTTTACTGGCAAATGAGGTCCCCATAGTGTAGATGCTTGCCCCGAGCTCTCATACTCTGATGGTGCATTGTCCTTGAGTTGTGCGCCTTTTGGCGTCATCTGGTCCAACCCATATGAGACTAGGCTCGAAGGAAAGCTGTCTCGGGTGTGGACCAATCAACTTCAAGGACAGTGCACATTATCAGAGTTATGTTCTTTTGTTTGTATTATGACTGCAGGTATTGCGGTCTATGCAAACATGACTCCTTGCAAAAAGGTGTCAGTTTTGTTGCCAGATAGAAGGGTAAAGAACCAATTATCATATTTTTACTGGCAAATGAGGTCCCCATAGTGTAGATGCTTGCCCCGAGCTCTCATACTCTGATGGTGCATTGTCCTTGAGTTGTGCGCCTTTTGGCGTCATCTGGTCCAACCCATATGAGACTAGGCTCGAAGGAAAGCTGTCTCGGGTGTGGACCAATCAACTTCAAGGACAGTGCACATTATCAGAGTTATGTTCTTTTGTTTGTATTATGACTGCAGGTATTGCGGTCTATGCAAACATGACTCCTTGCAAAAAGGTGTCAGTTTTGTTGCCAGATAGAAGGGTAAAGAACCAATTATCATATTTTTACTGGCAAATTGGGTCCCCATAGTGTAGATGCTTGCCCCGAGCTCTCATACTCTGATGGTGCATTGTCCTTGAGTTGTGCGCCTTTTGGCGTCATCTGGTCCAACCCATATGAGACTAGGCTCGAAGGAAAGCTGTCTCGGGTGTGGACCAATCAACTTCAAGGACAGTGCACATTATCAGAGTTATGTTCTTTTGTTTGTATTATGACTGCAGGTATTGCGGTCTATGCAAACATGACTCCTTGCAAAAAGGTGTCAGTTTTGTTGCCAGATAGAAGGGTAAAGAACCAATTATCATATTTTTACTGGCAAATGAGGTCCCCATAGTGTAGATGCTTGCCCCGAGCTCTCATACTCTGATGGTGCATTGTCCTTGAGTTGTGCGCCTTTTGGCGTCATATGGTCCAACCCATATGAGACTAGGCTCGAAGGAAAGCTGTCTCGGGTGTGGACCAATCAACTTCAAGGACAGTGCACATTATCAGAGTTATGTTCTTTTGTTTGTATTATGACTGCAGGTATTGCGGTCTATGCAAACATGACTCCTTGCAAAAAGGTGTCAGTTTTGTTGCCAGATAGAAGGGTAAAGAACCAATTATCATATTTTTACTGGCAAATGAGGTCCCCATAGTGATGATGCCTTGAATAAAGGTGTCAGTTTTGTACCAGTTTTAAAGGGTAAAAACCTACTACTATATTTTGCCACTGTTAAAAGAGATCTCACAGTGAGGGGAAAGCTGTTTGCGATCACGTGACCGCGCGAGGTAAAATAAGTAGTGCGCGCCGGGGGAGAGGAACGGGGTGGGGGGCGATCACGTGATCCGGGGCTTTAATAGGGCCACGTGATCGGCGCGCGCGTGTGTTTGTCGGCGGTCACGTGATTGTGGGAAAAAAATAACATTCGTGCCACGTGGCCAATCAAATGGCGCTCAGGCTAATTGGTCATCTTCCTTCGAACGACTGATGCATCAGAATCAGTATTTATACCGGAGAGAAATCCGATGAGCTGAAAAGCTTTTCTTTCCACAGATGTCCAGTAGGGGCGGGTCAGAACGTTACAACAACAAACAGCACAAACAAACGATTGGAGTGCAACGTATAGGAAAGGTAAACAAATAACTGAAACAAAATATACAAATAAAACGAAACTATTTTTTATTTTACCAGGTAAGGCCCACTGAGCTACTGTGTGGCTTTTTTCAGAAGCGATCTGACCACAAATGATAGCTCAACAAAGGGGCCGTCCTTTTATGACGTCACGCGATTTTGGACGATTTCTGACCCCCCCCCCCCTTCCTAGTCACACGGCGTCACAAAAGTCAGACCCCCCCTCAAATATGACGTCACAAAACTCTGCCCCCCCCCCCAAATAAAACATGCTTCAAATCGCTTTAAACTATTGTCATTGTAGTGCATATTAAAAGTATATTTAATTAAGTAGAACGTGTTGTCTGTATTTATTTAAAGTTGCGCATTTTGATGTGACGTCACATTTCTCAACCCCCCCCCCCCTCCTCGTCACACATCGTCACAAATGTCTGACCCACCCCCCCTAGGTGCGTGATGTCATTTATGGACGGCCCCAAAGTGGCTTGTCATGTGGAAATTTATAGCAGAGCAACAACTGCAATTTCGCATTCTGGTGGTCAAACCAGATAACCGCGTCAGGAGCAACGATGTGTATCGCGATGATGTCTTCTTCGTATTTGTCGATCGGACACTGGAGATTTCTTTATTTTCCATCTGGCATCCGCATCTGTCATGAATTGTGCACATGCGGTTTAGGGTGGACCATGAATTTCGTGGAAGATCAAATCCAGGGATCTTCACTCAGGATGATGGCTGGACGAAATGGTTCTACTCCACCGTGTCGGGAGCAAGCTGTGTTGTCTCTTCTCCCATTTATGAACTGGCTTTGGCCCTCCCCTAGATCTACTCAGGCTAAAATGAGTACCTGGTGCAGTGTGAGCATCGCTACTGGGGAGACAAAGGCGGTCGGGCGTGGTGCTGACCACCCACCACCTCGTCCACCGTTCCAGCCTCTCGAACAGCACCTGCCCAACAGTTTGTTTTAGGCTATGTAACGTCACCTAAATTTGACTATATAAACCGAGAGAGAATGCTTGACAATCGTGTATGTTAGAACCCAAATGGATGGAACACAATGTCATAAAATATACTGCTTCAAAATTGGAACAATCGGTAACGCGAGAATACGTTTTCCCCTTTTTATTATTACACGCTTTTCATTAACCTCAAATCTTGTCACTTAATTTTTACCCACTTACCAATGTGGTATCGACTGCAAACATGGTATACTTATGTCATACTGATGACAATACTATATTCTATCATAAAAAATGTAAACATATATTTTAAACATTTGTTATATGTTATGTTTCGGCGTGGGTCTAATAGTCCACGCTCAACTGACGTTGGCTGTAAATCACCACGGTCCCTGACGTTGTGGCAAGCTTCGGGGACACTTCCTGGAGTCGTAGAGTTCTTCCATTACTAGTACGGTACATTTCAATAAAGCGTCTTTAAAAAAAGGTTTTAAAAAACATATTACTTATTATTCTGTTCAACTCCATTCATTGCCCCAACTGATAGCCTCGCGGCTGTCCGTCGATCACACTCCACGTCACACCCACGAGCTGCAGTGGCGGGTCTCTGTCCACATTCAGCACCACGAGTTGTGGAGTCTCATCCCTGCAGTTCGCCGTTATGGTGTTGCATCTCTTTTATCATATAGCCTCTCAATTTCTTTATACACGCGGCAATATCTTCATGAGGATTGTGTTTCACTACAAGCTATACACGGGGGAATCTCTGGTAGACGCGTATACAAACGCCAGCCATGATCTCTCCACTACTGGGCACGTATTGCAGTGAATCTGAAACTTGTAAGCAAAAAGCGGACCGCGACGTGATATAATCCCTTGTTCATCATGACGTCCTTTTTACTTTGATGTCTCAACAGCGTTACGGAGATCGCGTGACGTGAGGATTCTGCCTTTGTAGTGAGGGTTGTAAGTTGACGCCGAGGAGGGGGGAGGAGGCGCCTCGCCCCCCCCCCATGTGGAGTGACGTCACCCGCTAATTATTATTAATGGCGGGGGGGGGGGTGTCCATTTGGAGACGTCACCTGCTCATGATTATTAATGAGGGGGGTTCTTCATGCGGAGTGACGTCACCCGCTCATGATTATTAATGAGGGGGGGGGTCCATGTAGAGGACGTAACTTGTTCATTATTATTAATGAGGGGGGCTGGTCGACGTGGAGTGACGTCACACGCATGACACACAGACATTCTTAGCTCATTATAGTTGTTAATGTAACACATTCCTGCGGAGGGAGCTGGTAGGAACGTTGGGTTGCTCGGTCAATGGCCAGGGTCAACGGCGGCGTGGTGTATTCCGCAAATATGCCCGACTGTGAGGGCGGGCACAAGCCAGCGTGAGTAGGTTAAACGTTGAGTTTTATAAGGGCACCACGGGGTGACCAGCCCCTCCCCACCCAGCCCCACCCCCACCCAGCCCCACCCCCCACCCAGCCCCTCCCCACCCAGCCCCTCCCCACCCTCCCCACCCAGCCCCTCCCCACCCTCCCCTCCCCACCCAGCCCCTCCCTCCCCACCCAGCCCCTCCCTGCACGACGGGCGGACAGACACAATAATCCCCTGTGGGTTGGTGTAACCACGAGGTTCCTACCAGTAAAATTGTGTCCATGTGTAATGTAGCTCTCAGAGACACCGTCTTTCTTCATGAATATTCATTACGAATAAAGTCCGCTGGCAATTTCCCGCGTGACCGCGAGTGACTATATACACTTGGGTAATTAGACGACTATTTTGAGACAATGTAACTCTCGCCTCAAGACTACTCCCGTTGGGTCCCATGCTAACCCAACGTGACCCTGTAAACGCTTGTCTTATCAATCATTAGCACGTCAATTAGTAACCATAGTCCCGGGGAGCCATACTGTCACTCTATCGCCCCGTACTGTCTTTACACATGCAACCCAAACGATTAACCATATAGGAAACCATAGCAGTCTTCGCTCCTTCAATGAAAGAATAGCAAAACTGCACAAAACTCTTTCCTGAAGCCCTCTCGTGGCTTACAGACCTCAGCAATATTTAGCTCCTGAACACAGTCGTAAGCCTGAGTAGAATGCAATGTTTTTTTTCAAGTTTCATGCCTTCCAGTGATAATTCCCTTTGTTAGCTGCTGGATGAGAGGGGGTAAGGTTAGGGTAGAGTTGGGTAGGGAGGGGGGTCAAGACCGTTTCAGATATCACTAAAAGGATATTTTTTCCCTGGGTGGGATATAAACTCAAGTCTACCAGGTTCGCGGCAGTGTGCCAACTACTGTGGCACTGTTATGAAAAAACGTTGAAATCTGCATTGGTCAAACTAAATGATCCTCCAGCCCAACTGCAAGTAGAATTCATGACTTTAAGCATTTCGATGTTTACAATGTAATGTTTCCTATCCCAGCTGATAATTTTGTTTCAAGGTTTATCATCTTAGGGATAATGGGTTGATGAGTTTAATTACAGCAATAATTCAAGCCGAGTTCTTATACATTTCAACCGCTGTATATTTTATTTCACAAGACAGTACTGTGGAACACACATTCTAACACGCATTAGGATGACGGCTATGGTTATACAATAACAGTTCTCCATGGATAGGTTACAAAAGGTGTTAATACATACACTCTAAAACACAAACGAAAGCATTGGCGAAAACCACACTTAAGTAAATTAATCATTTCGATATCTAGCACTTGCTATGTACTGTATATCAAATGTGTACACTTCACACAAATATATCAAAAAGCTTGCATACCACGATCAACAACATGGTAACGAACTTTGCACTAAAAACACATTGGTATATTGATTGAATAAACATACATTGAAAATATTTCCGGCCCTTTCCCAAACTAAACGAAACTCATGTTTTTTTTACCACGTAAGGGCTACTGAGCTATGTAGCTCTTTTCCAGAAGCGAGCTGGCCACAAATGATAACTCAACGAAGTGGATTATCATGTGGAAATGTATATCAGCCAAATACTCGGAATGCACGTTGATTCTAAATGAGGGAACAATCGGAGGACGCGGAGAAAAATCCACGCGGTCATGGGGGGAACATGGAGCCCAGGATGGTGAAGGGGCTTATTCGCACGATTAGTGACCGAGGTGTCTGATAACACTGGTCAACAAAAAAAACATTTTTTCTGGCCTAGACTTTTGCAGCTGTTTTAGACTAATTTCAGGGTGCTGATTCCAAATCTGATCTCAGATTTTCTCTATCACATCTCATTTTATGCTATCGGCATACCCCATTTTCATTGATTTTACCCGAAATTAACTCTGTCACTTATGATTGCAAGTTGTTGCGAGTCAGTGACTGCTTTAGTGTTAAAATATAGTGCTGTATTTTTAGGATAGTGTGTTTATAATATAATTTTATGTAGATATCCACATTTATTTTATATTTTTCTTCTGCAGTTTTTATTGAAAATGCAATATTTAACATCTCAAAAACCTGATGTGATAGACAAAAACTGATGCCAGATTTGGAATCAGCACCCCAAAATTACCTTAAAACCGTTGGAATACCTTGTGCCAGAAAAAGTGTGTTGACCAGTGTAATGTGACCTGCCAAAGGTATTTTGCAGCACGTTTCATTTCAACCAATCAAACCCACGTACACACTGGACTCACAATGTCCACGGTGTCACAAATCCACTGTTAGATAAAGGCTGCTTCACATCGTAATTGTCACTGGGGGTTGTTGGGCCATACTTCACCACACTGGTCAGTGTGGGGATGGTGAAAGGGGTGGCCAGGACTGGTGCAGAGTTCACTCTCAAATGATGGTAACCTTGTCAAAGGTTAAAACTCGTCGAGTGTGCACACCACAGCAGCACCACTCCACACAGTTTATATCGGTATGATCATATTCAATGATTGTTGAAAATATATTATGAGCCACTTGAGACAAAATTCACACGATCACAGAATTCACCTTTAACTGTTGTCCAGAGGTCAGTTTGTCACCATCATTCTCATGACAGGATAATTCTTTATAACATTACCGCATGACAGGCTGCTCATATCTGCCATTACCTTGACTTTAACCAACATAACATGCAGAGGCAAACACAACAGAAACTGAAAGTGACCTTGGGGTAATAGGACTTTACGGAGAGCCTGTATATGAAATCAATACACACAATTCCCACACTGGGATGCACAAACACGTTCACTTAATATTGATAAATGTGTTAAACGATTCGCCAAAATTGTATATTAATTTAGATGCCAAAAACAAATACAGTAACTCCCCCCCGCCCCCCACTTACCCCCAAACACATACACAACGTGTCCTTGAAATTCCAGGCTAATTCAGTGGTGCAGTGCCATAGTATATACATTTTCTTAACAAAACCCTGGTATTTCCATGAAGACCAATTTAGCCCATTTAGAGCTTGGAACGCCGCATATCCAGTATTGCTCTTTTATTTAATAATATAAATAGAAATATAAAAGAGAGAAAAAAACAACACTGAATATCACAAGGCAATTCTGCACTGGACAAAGTAGCAGCTGTTAAGTACAAAACCAAACTGGGACTGCTTCGCTCGTGACATTTCTGCGCAACGTGGAATTGCAGCAAACGACTTGACATTGGTCTGCGCACTGTTCAATTTCAGCTTCGTGAGCGCGATTTTCAATTTCTTTTGACATAGTTGTCCCTAAAAACCCCTGCTCTATTTAGAGTCATGGTTTACCACATAATTTTGAGGACACACTGTGCAGTTATGCATTTTGCAAATGTGCCACCCAAAGACACCGATGCCAAACGTATACGTGTACAAATCCACATTCAATCTCTTAGACACACACACAATTTATGTACAAATTAAGGCAACGTGGAACGCCGAAGGCTTGAAAAGCCCAAGTATGGAGTGACTTGCACTCAATGTCTAGTCTCTACAGCCTACATTCTACTTTAGCAATATTACAACTCAACGATGTTTTACTTTACCAGACAAGGTGCACTGAGCTATATAGCTCTTTTTCAGAAGCGATCTGTCCACAAGTGATAGCCCAATTTATAGCAGCCAAATATTCTAAACGCATGCTGATTCTAAATGTGGAGGGGAAAACCGGCAGACCCAGAGGACAATACACACGACCACGGGGAGAACATGCAAACTCCAAATATACAGGTACCAGGGTCGGGATTGAACCCATGGCCTCCTGTATACCAGGCAAAGTAGTTAACGTCTCACCACCGAGGAGCTCAAATATTCAACTTCACGTCTATTAGCACACAATCAGTAGAACTCTTTGTCATTGATTGAAATGTCCATGCGTATTATTTACTTCTCATCTAACTTCCATATAAATGTAAATTATTTGTTTCCCTCGCAATTTTAGATGTAGTTAAAAAATCTCAAACCCACCCCTTCTCGCCAACTCTTAGATTTTTTATCCATCTGTACAACACCTTGAGCTGCAGTTGCATTTTGCTACTTTATAATTAAACATTTGCATTTATTTTTTAATAATGAATATACCAAAATTCACATGACATTTGTGTGAAATACTCCTTCACAAAAAAACGTAAATTGTGCCTCTGCATTAGGTTGCATGCCACCAGGGAGTCACATTTTGATTATTCTAGATTCTTCTTTTGTACCCCCCCCCCCAAATTTTGTAAGTGGCTGAAAGTTACCTTTTATTATTTTACGTAAAAAATATAAAAACTGCAAAGTCTGTTAATAATTAAGCCAGTGTCAATGGACTCACCAACAATAACTCTTCAGCGCCATCTATTGCCATTTTTGGGAAGTCCAGCCGGATTCAGGACGACCTGCAGGTACATTTGAAAAAACTGTGGCCCTTTAAACATCTATGGCAGTGGGATTCAATATGACAAACTGCCCACTAGTTTCACATTTACTAACGGTCTTTAGTGCAGCACAGCCCATGTGCATGAGAAGCCCCTTGGTTAATTCACTGTGTGATAAGGGCCTGATCTCCACACCGTGCGGGTCATGAGGGCTACGCCTTGACCATACTTCACCACACTGGTCAGTGCTGTGTGCTAAAGGCGCGGAGCATAAACGTGGGAGCACAGCAGCACAGTACAATTATGTTTTTTGCAACACTGCTCTTTGCTGACCACCACGTAGCACAACCACGCAGCCACTTATGGCAGACTGTTTGTGCGTGTGGTCGCCCATCCAAGCACTATCCAGGCTCAAATCTGCTTAGCTTTCGAAATCTGCCAAGATCTGACAATTGTATTTGGCTCAATGTTGGTATCACAATGTTAGTTGAGCCACATGTGACACACACACACACACGTGAATTGACGAGGACTTGGGTCTTGGAGTTGAGTTTGGAGCTGCAAATTCTGGAGGCGTAGCAGACGATTTATTCCAAGGCTCCAGACAGCTCAGACAGCTCATGGATCGATGTTATCACCATCACTTTCTTGCACCTCTTTAAATCTAAAATGGAACAAAACAGGGAAAGCAAAGTATATTCTCACAGGCAAGATTAACAACATATGCAATGGGACAAATATCTCAACAAGCTCTCGTACATGTATAGCCCTTTATCAATCCACTGCTGGATGAGGGCCTGAATGACGGCAGGTCGTGGACATTATTTGGCCATACTTAGTGCGTGTTGGTGAACGCAAGGAGTATAGATGTAGGAGCATAGAAGTACATGACAACAATAGATTTATGATAAAATATGAATAGGTTTTACCTTTTCTGGAAATAAAACAGGTGTTAAGATGTTCAAACACCAAATAGAAACCTTTTGCAAAGAAATCAAGGTCGAATTATCCACACTACTTGTAGTGAACATGCAAACGAACATGCTCTGATAACATAAGCATTGTCTTTGAAACTGATTGGCCTACACCAGAGACAGCCTTCTTTAGGGCCTAGTCTCACCAGTGTTAGACCAGAGAACGCCAAAAGGCGAACAGTCCAAAGACAACGCACTATCAAAGCATATATAGCTCGAGGTGAAAAATGGGACCTTTTTTCAGTATCAAAGAATGAAAAAATAAAGAGATTTGGCTGCAGTCCTCTAGTGCACACCACACAGCCCCACTACGCTATGGCAACCTGGCTTGCAAGGTGGTGGGGTTGCCCATACCAAATACTATCCAGGCTCAACCGCGCTTAACTTCCAAGATCTGAAGAGCGGTGTTGCATTTCGGGTGATTTTGTCATATTGTGCCATAATAGGAGTGTAACCACGTTACCATAAAAGCGTGGACTCAATCATCTCTGTAAGACGTCAGTGTGACATACCTGACAACCCCATATCAGTGCCGACCTTATCACATACAAATTCAGACCTTATTGGTCTCTCCGTGCCCTTATAAATCTCAATCGTCATCCTACAAAGTCCCATAACAAGGGTGAAACACAAACAAATAGACAAAAAGTGTGCCCATATTCAACTGGCTGTACGCCGTATGGACCTGAAAACTAAATTTCCCTGTACAAGAATATGGAGTAAACCGTATGGGTTGACAGCTATGAGTGTGTTTAACACGTAGGCTTTCGAGACCAATATCATCCATAACACAGATTTTTTTTTGGGTTAGATCGCGTAAATGAAAGATGCGTCGTTAAACTCGCCACCACCCGACAGCCAATTAGTAAGGTTTGTCACGTAAATAGAACATGCCAATTCGTCACTAGTACAGCACTCCGGTATGTTGGAGAGCAAATCCATAACATTTACAATCCGAGTACGACGTTTCGCCAGTAATTACAACTAGCTTCATCAGGCGACAGATTCGTGGAAAAATTATCCTGTTTCGTTCCTTGAATACATGGGTAGATGTGATGGCATCACTTGTGAGCACTTCTTGAGTGATGTTGGGGGGGGGTTAGTTAATGCATATTTATGACAATGGGTATACATTGCCGATTGGGTTATTTATATGGTAATCAACGTACGTTATGCATGCACAATATGCGAACCCATAGTTCTTGTACCTCCTGTCGATTGTGTGTACTAAGAGAGCCATACCAACAGTAATCCCTCTATAGGCATGCATTTAAACAATGTATTATTTGGTGATTCGCTTTCAAGCAGCATTAAGTCTGTAGCTACCCGAACGGTTAGAATGATTGTTATTGCTCTCAATTTCGATGAGTGTCCATCTTCCAACCGGCTAGCTAAAGGATATGCACCTATGAGCGCTGATCTATTAGCTGTATCTGGCAGGATAAAGTACTTTATAAGTGGGGCAAATTCTACAGGTTACAACATCATAGCTGTTAATCCTTGGGATGGAGATAGGGTCTTCCTGGTATACCTAATATACATAATACATGCATCATTACATTTGAAATGAGGACTGTATATAAAAGAAATCGGGCCTTTCGATTGAAAAATATTGTTAACTCGAATTGATACTATGTTCTCGGAAACATATAACTTCAACTGGAAACCCAATAGTGTTGCCATGGAGAATACACATTTCAGATGTGATGTGTTTACATCAGTGATTACTGTTATTTTGGCTCTTGACATCATTGCCATCAGCCATTACGAATACAATGTTGGATGACGTCCTCTCCAATCAATAATTCAGTAGAAATGACGTTGGGTGAACGTGGCTGTTTACCGTTGGATTAACGCAGGGATGGGGAACCTTTTTTCTGCCAAGGGCCATTTGGATATTTATAACATCATTTGCGGGCCATACAAAATTGTCAACTTAAACATTTGCCTGTTATATTTGGTCAAACATTTAATTAACTCACCCCTAATGCGATGGCCTGGAACTGCTTCTCTTTGGCGAGGCGTGTGATGTTAGCTGGTATTGATGATGTTGCTACTCGAAACTGCTTTTTCAGGTTTGCTCCTAGATTTATTGAATTTCGAGTCCTGCCTGCGGTTGCCTTGGCTGGGCCACACCAAATGATTTCGCGGGCCTTATTACGGCCCACGGGCGAGACGTTCCCCATCCCTGGACTAACGGCTTACCCAACCTTCCATGTTCACTGGGTAGACTAAGTATCGTAACATCTAGGATTAATGCGTTAGAATTACAGCACAGAACTTGCACAACACTTCCACGCGCGATCTTCGTCCATGTATCGTTTACAATCAAAGGTGGTAACTATAAATCACAGAGGTGAATCGTTATACGAATTGCAATCATCCAGGTAATCAGGTTGTAATATGGCTGGGCATTGCCTTGAGTGTTGAGAACAATAGAAGGCGTGGCTCATGTCAAACCCTCCACTGCAGCAATAGCCGCCATGCTTGGTGTCGCATTTAACAACCGCCACCACCGTGAACAATGCAAAGCACACTCTTTTTAAGTATTTACAATAAAACAACTCAACATCCTGACTTCACGTTGCCTGTGTGTGTGTTGTATATTACGGTGTGCTTCGCAAGACCAGCTTTGCATTGTGTGCGAAGTAATGTCAATAACAACAAAGGCACGTCGCGACAGTCGGTAACGTATACTAAATCGGGCGCACGGATTAATTTAAATCTAAGGGAATATTCAACGAAATTATATTTTAGACTTTAAATCCGTATGACGATATGGGGGGGGGGGGGGGGCTAGGATTCTGGATGTGGCATAGATTCGACTAGGGGGCGATCCATTTACCGATTTCTGACCATCGTCAAGAGGCGACTGGCCATTTTGTTAAAGAGATGTCCCCATATCACACAGAATTACACGACGTAATACGTGTATACAGTATCGGTAGATAGGTACAGGCTTTGCATTTAAATGTTAGGCTGTCTCTTTGTTTCACTAATGTAAGTGGGGTATCCGTAAATGGATCACCCTGTTTTTTCTTCGCTGGTGTAACTCTATGCCATCTCCAAACCCCAATAACCTCCCCCACCAAAAGCCCGACTAACCCTCCAAACCAGCTGAGCGAGCTCGAATCCTCGCTGTAACACAAAGTTCAAACCGTGGAGACAAATGGATTTGGGCAGGGCACGTCGCGAGAAGGGGCGATGGCCTGGTGACGGCGGCTCGGGAAGACCTCCATCCAACAGTGGATCGATTGCAGTGGGTTATCGATAAACGGATCACCCTGTACATTCTCATCCAACTGCCCAAACCAGCACCACCCCCATCCCTCCCCCCAATTCTGAACGGATTTGAAATTCCAGCGACGCAAGCACAAAACCCCGCGTCTCCTTCCACCTGTGAGTGTAAGGCGAGCGAGCCTCTCTTACCTGTCCCAATACACCTGTACTCGCGTTTCACCTGCTTCGTGGGGGGCTGTGGTTGAGGGAGTCTTGAAGGGGTGGGGGGGGGGGCGTTAGTGGGGGGCTCGGACACCCCCCCACCTTCTCCTACCCCCCCACCACCACGACTTCACTGCTTGATGAAGAGCTTGCGTGTCCGCACCTGTGTGCGTGTGTGCCGGTCTGGGTGATGGGGGCGTCATTGCCCAGGTGGGCTGGGACTCGGGCACGTCATGTGACTTCCACACGGACAATCGCCTGCCTGTCTTGCGGTTATTCATCAGAGCGACCCATCATCATGTGTAGATAACTCCCGTGCAAATAATATATATGTGTATACGTAAAACAGCTGCAGAGAGAAAAACAACGTTGTGTTTAAAAGCCTCGAACGTCTCCTTGTAATCTCATTTAACTTATGTAATTTTAACATCTCTGCATACCTGTCAACTCATACGGTTTACCCGTATTATTTCCTGTACATGGAAATTGAGTTTTCAGGTCCATATGGCGTACAGCCGTTTCAAAACGGGCAAAAAATGGTGTCTATTTCTTTGTTTCTCTCTTGTGATGGGACTTTGTAGGATGAACTTTGAAATGTATAAGGGCACGGGGTGACCAATAAGGTCTGAAATAGGTCTGTAATAAGCGAGGCACTGATAAGGGGTTGGCATGTATGCCTCTGTGTGATATACTACGCATTCGCTTCACAATACAGAACAGTTACTCATCAGGCACCTGTTGAGAAGAGGGGAATTCAGTGCAGTAAAAAACACAGTGGCCCGACTTACGAACCGTCCGATTTACGAACGCGGCCTCGGAACTGTTCCCGTTCGTGAATCGGGGAGCTGTATTATAAAAAATGGATCACCCTGTATATTTAAATTAATCGGTAAAGATCAATACAACCCCCCGCCACCACGACTATCTTTCGTGGTAACAAACCCACCCAGCCACCTGGACACGGTCTGATTTCATGACTCCATCTCCTCGAGTTGGGCGTCCCTCTCGGCTGCGTTACCATCCCCCTTTACAACAATTTTTTTGTCATCCACTGTTGGATGTGACGTTTTTATCCCACCACGCCGTATCTGTCAGTCGTGGGGGTTGTTTGACCATGCTTCACCACGCTGTATAGATCTTTTTCAAAAGCAGAATCAGAAAATGTATTTACACTGGAAGAATCCGAAGAGCTATCAAGCTCTTTTTCACGTGTCCAGTAGAGGCGGGTCAGAAAGTTACGACAACAATACACAACACGATAGGAGTGCAAAGGAAAGAAAACGTAAGCAAATTACAAAAAAACAAATAAAGATACACTATGTGTGCAGCCATTGGTGACCAAACTAAGACTGTTAATCTGAGAATAGGTGTTCCCCTTTTTTTCTGGCAACAAAACAGGTGTTAAGATGTTTAAACACCAAACTGAAACCTTTTACAAGGAATCACGTCTGCATTAACCACAATACTTGTGTTCAGAATGCAAACAAAAAACGTACTCTGATAATATATGCATTGTCTTTGAATCTGATTGGTCCACACCAGAGACAGCTTTCTTTTGAGCCTATTCTGAAAACGGTGTAAGACCAGAGGACGCCAAAATAAAAAAGGGGAAAACCTATTCTCAGATTTTGGTACTGGCAAAGGAGGTCCCATGATGAAATAAGACTGTTAACTCGCTACACTTGAGAATCCAGATTAAACTATTAAGCAACAACTATTTTTTATTTTACCAGGTAAATCCGACTGAGTTATTAGCTTCTTTTTCAGAAGCGACCTGGCCACAAATCATAGCTCAACGAAGTGGCTTATCGTGTGGACATTTATAGCACGGTAAGAGAGAGAGACACGCAAACTCCAAATATGCAGCATGCACCAGGGTCGGATTCGAACCCCAGACCTCCTGTACACCAGGCGAGGTAGTTAACATCTCTACGGGGAGAGAGAGAGAGAGATACAAACTCCAAATATACAGCAGGCGTCAGGGTCGGGATCGAACCTACGACCTTTTGTATAACAGGCGAGGTAGTTAACATCTCGCTATTGTGGCGTCACGACTCTCCATACTGATTAGGGGCCGTCCATAAATGACGTCACGCACCTAGGTGGGGGGGGCAGACATTTGTGACATCAAAATGTGCCACTTTAAATAAATATAGACAACACGTTCTGCTTAATTAAATAGACTTTTTAATAAATGTTTCTCCTACAACATCAGAGTGCAGCGCCACATTAAATACGCACTACAATGACAATAGTTTAAAGCGATTTGAAGCATGTTTTATTTTGGGGGGGGGGCAGAGCTTTGTGACGTTATATTTGAGGGGGGGGGTCTGACTTTTTGTGACGTTGTGTGACGAAGGGGGGGGGGGTCAAAAATCGTCTGAATTGGTCTGTGACAAGGAGTTGACAGCAAGGCCGTAATTATAATATATATTGGGGGGGGGGGGGGGGGACACATCACCCCACTATTCAAATATGCTCAAAATGTCCCCTTCCAATATATTGATATAAAAAAATTGTTATGCTATGTAAATAAAAAAAACAACAATTTGCTAAACCTTGGCCACAATATCTAGTCTTGTCTTCATATAACAATGTTTATATGATTGTGGTTATGGTTGTACTTTATGAATCCCTAATCTCTGTCATCACATACAATGAAACAAGAAAAGGTAAAAAAGTTAAAACAGAGCAATGTAATACAATACACTATTAGACATTATTGTAAAATATAAAAACTCCATCCCGTGTGTTAGTGAATTTTTAAAATATTTTAGGCAGGAAATGAGTTTTCAAATATAGATATTTTTTTGGGTTGGGACCCCCAGACCCCCTGGAAGATTTGGTCCCCCCCCAATGTTGACTCCATGCCTACGGCCTTGGTTGACAGGTATGTCGTGGTGAGTGTACTCGTGGTGAGTGTACTAGTCGTGAGTGTCTATTTGTGTTTCTCCCTTGTGGTGTGACATTGTAGGATGAACGTTGAGATTTATAAGGGCACGAGGGTGACCAACGAGGTCTGACTGATCTGTAATAAGGTGCTGACGGGCACGAATGCCGATAATTCGGCACCACCCGCAGTTCACCATCACTTCTGGGAAGCGACGCGAGGTGGGGGAGGGGTTGGGATACGTCACGGGGAGGCGATCGGAAGCGAAACAAAACACACGTCCCTCTCTCACGTGACAACACTCGGCATCCTCTCAAGTTCCAGAGGCTGTTCACGTCTCGTTTGCCCTCTCTGGACATCATCATCATCAACAACTTCATTACTCTCATCAACATCATTACCACCATCAACATCATTACCATCATCGACATCATTACCATGATCGTAAAGTTCATTACCATCAATATCATTACCACCATCAACATCATTACCATCATCGTAAACTTCATTAACGTCATCGTCACCACCACCAATTATCGTCGAAATAATTACCATCATCACCGTCATCCAAATTCATCATCAATAGAATCGTAATTTAATTTTATATCGCGTCATTCACACAGTATCCCACATATCGTTGCCATCACCATCAATATCATCATCAATACCGTCATCAATACCACCGTCAATATCATCATCACAAGGTGAGTGTGCTCGCGATCAAACTGCATGGCGATCCATTTATAGATACCCCACTTTGTTTAGAATTTTACCCACCTCGTTTTGGCCATCAGCAAGGCGATGGAGTCGACGTATCGACGACTTTGACAGGCGATGCGCCTCTGCTGTGTTTACGAGAGGAGAGTGCGAATAATAAACAGTTCGTAAGCGTATTGGGATCGGTGGGAGACTACGCAAATGCTTGGAAATACAAACATTTTACTGTAATACTGCACAGTTTCCATACTAATTTGGTGGGGTATCTATAAATGGTTCACCTGTACACGGACATGACTACATGTACATTACACATGGACACAATTTTACTGGTAGGAACCTCCTGGTTACACCAGCCCACAGGGGATTATTGTGTCCGTCCGTCGTGCAGGGAGGGGCTGGGTGGGGAGGGGCTGGGTGGGGTGGTGCTGGGTGGGGAGGGGCTGGTCACCCCGTGGTGCCCTTATAAAACTCAACGTTTAACCTACTCACGCCGGCTTGTGCCCGCCCTCACAGTCGGGCATATTTGCGGAATACACCACGCCGCCGTTGACCCTGGCCATTGACCGAGCAACCCAACGTTCCTACCAGCTCCCTCCGCAGGAATGTGTTTGTTAATCCACTGCTGGAAGAGGGCCTCCCCCCAAACACTCGGTGGGCGACAGAGAGAAATGGAGCAAAATCAGTTGTGCTGTATTCTATGCTCCCAGTGCTTCTCGCCTTCAACCAGCACTTAACCAGCGTGGTGAAGTATGGTCAAGTAACCCCCACGACGGCGATGACGTCCTCATTCAGCAACGGATTGTCACACAAGGGCTGGTTACATACAATTCGATATACTAAAGAGTCTGCACGTCTAAAGTTGTGGCTATGTTGACATGGGCTCGTAATTTTGTTGGCCACAATTTGATGAAGAGTTCACGTGTTTAAGCAGCGTTCATCACCAATTCTCAGGCGGGCGGCACTTTCGCAGATAAGGGACCGTCCATAAATTACGTCACGCACCTAGTGGGGGGGGGGGGGGGGAGGGTTCAAACATTTGTGACGATGTGTGACGATGGGGGGGGGGGGTTGAGAAATGTGACGTCACCTCAAAATGCGCAACTTTAAATTAATATAGACAACACGTTCTACTTAATTAAATATACTTTTTTTATAAATGTTTTCTCCTACAACATCAGAGTGCAGCGCCACATTAAATACGCACTACAATGACTATAGTTTAAAGCGATTTGAAGCATGTTTTATTTGAGGGGGGGGGGGTCTGACTTTTTGTGACGCCGTATGACGAGGGGGGGGGGGGGCAAAAATCGTCCAAAATCGCGTGACGTCATTTATGGACGGCCCCTAAGACATTATCAGTGTGAGAGCGTCCACACCATTTGAAACCATTGGGGGGTTTGACAGCAGCACGATGATCATGGGGAGGTGTCACAATGTGTGTATTTTGGGGGCCCCACTAAAGGCCACTAGGGGCCCACCAGTGAGTGGCCCGCGGTGTCCTTCCAATGAAGAAAACTGCTCTAGAGGTTTCGTACCTAGTGTGGGACCACCAACGCGAGAAATGCAGCGCCTGCCCTTGGGCTCTTGAACAACAGAGCCCCTGTGGGGGTCTCCTTGTGCCGCACAGGGACAGCTGCCACTTGGGGTGCCCCTTAAAAATGTATTGTTGGTGAGATGTGATGTCAAAAAAAGCACTATTGAGACACACCTGCGCATAGGAGGGGGCTATGTCTATATCACTACTATAATGAGCCAATAATGTATGTGTGTCCCTCGCGTGACGTCACTCCATATGCCGCACCCCCCCATCATTAATATTCATGAGTGGGTGGATTTTTACACTCACACAGAAGGTCGAGCGGAAATATTTTTTCGGAGCAAATTCAGTTTAAGTTTGACGTTTCTTTATTGAAAGTTAATCTAATAAATAATTGTACGCTGCAACAAAGTGGAATTGGTGTCTTTATTTCTTCAGCACTTGAGACAAAAGGTATGTCTAAATTATGCTTCTACATTATGGTAAAATAGACATTTCTCGGTGATTTTCCAGATATTGTATCGATTTCCAATTTATTTCAACCCCAGCGACCGAAAGCAGAAGAGAATAAAGTATTAGAGCAGTGAATTTGAACAAATTGAAGGTCAGTTATATACAGTGCTACAGTGACATGAAGTGAGGTGTTTTATGACGTAGTTTTGTGTAAGAATCCCTGCCATTAATCCAGTGCTACAGTGAACTGCAGTGAAGTGTTTTACGACTTTGTTTTGTGCCAGATTCACTGCCATTAATGCAGTGCTACAGTGAAATTCAGTGAAGTGTTTGATGACATACTTGCAAGATTCAATGCCATTAAATTTACACAAAATATTATTATACTTTGCAAAAAAAAATTCGTAAATATTACAGCTTCCGTCCATGGACGGCCAAACAAGCTAGTAAAGTAAATAATTTGGGTATGATTACGTTGGCTGTAGGTACAGAAGCCCTGCTTTGACACAAACGTTCTAACATGGATCGTTTGTAATGATCAACCCATACGGTTTACCCGTTTTCTTGTACAGGGAAATTAAGTAAAAAAACATGTTTTGTATATTTGTTTGTGTTTCTCCCTTTTGATGGGACTTTGTTGGATGAACTTTGAGATTTATGAGGGTACGGGCTGACCAATTAGGTCTGAATTGGTCTGTAATAAGGTAGGCACTGATAAGGGGTTGACAGGTATGTGATCATCGGCTTTTTAAGTTCCATGTCTGAAAAAAAACACAAGTAGCTGTCCAGCATTAACACACATATTGAGCGAGTGGGAGCCAAGTCGTTTGGACCATCACTTGAAGTTGCCTCATGATGTTAAACTGAATGCCATTTTTTTTATTTCAGGTCAACATGTCTGCCAATATAGAAGATATTGATGAAGAATATTTCTCCAGGCAGTTGTGAGTATTTGCTTTACCCTGGACATGGTACACATCTTACAAAGCAAGGAAGAAAATGTATGCATATGCATGGATTCGGAAGTATTGAATTATTTTGATTCATGTACTACCTGCTATGTGGATCAGAAATATGGACATTACCAAATAAAATTATATATTTTTTTAAAGTGCATAGCTTAATGGTAAAAGTAGCACGTGTAATAGGTAGCATATGAAAATTAGAGACGGCATTTTGAATTAGGAAAGTAAGTGAGCATGGGCAGGATGTATGAAAAAATAAGAATAGGATTTACCCTTCCTAGCAATATAAAAGGTGTTCAGATGTTCAAACACCAAATCGAAACTTTGTGCAAGGAATCAAGTTCTGCATTAGCCACACGTACTTGTGGTGAACACGCAAACAAGCATGCTCTAGTAATATATGGCATTGTCTTTGAACTGATTGGCGTACACCAGAGACAGCCTTCTTCAGACCCTAGTCTCACCGGTGTGAGACCAGAGAACGCCAAAAGGCGGACAGCACAAAGACAATGCCACTATCAGAGCATTTATAACTCGGGGTGAGCAGCTACAAACTGGGACCTTTTGCCAGTATCAATACTGGCTAAATAATACTAATACTTGCAAAAAGCTCCCATTTTATGGTTATGCTGCATGGCTAGAAGGGTTAACAAGACGTCAGAGTAACAGCCAAAGGAGACGACATGGTGCAGTAAAATCAGCTCGTGTGCAAGCGTTATATGGATCGTTCCATCACATTGTGACCGTGATTGATGGCGAAAGCTTGGAAAGACCTTTATCTATAGAGCTGATGAATTAACTTTTTCTCATGGACGCTTAGCATAGGCCCAAAGGTGCAAAATATCAAGCTTCCAGCAAGAACAAGCAGAGGGAAAAGAGACGATGGGAGAGAATTCCAAAGTCAAGCAGTGTAGGGGGAAGAAGCCAAAAGGGAAGTGATTTGAGCTGCAGTAACTCTAAATATGGAACTTCAGGCCAGTGTTGGATCAATGTTGGTCCAATGGTTTTAACCACATGCCAACGTTGGCCCAACGTTACATGTTTAGGGATGGTGATTGAACATATGATGATGATGGCTGAAATTCGGATTCAAACCGACGATCGCAGCAGTGCAACGACGATCGAAGCAGGCTCATGGCTTTTGAGCCACTTGGGGGACCACCTGTTGGGTTTGTTGGTTTGTAAACGTGCCTCGAGGTGAGCGCATCGCCTGCTGATGTTGCATTTCTGTCGCGCCACTCCTCTGCATAAGGTACGTGCTGGGGCACGAGGCCACGCGGCGGATACAGGAGACCCATGTGCTCGTGAGCGGGATGCATGGCCTCGGACTGGAGGTCGCTAAGAACGTGGTGCTGGTCGGTGTAGGGAAGGTGACGGTGCACGACACGCAGCCACTCACCAGGAGAGACCTCTCCTCACAGGTGAGGAAGGCATTGGGGGTGGAGCAGAGGTATCCGGTTATCGGTATCACCGTCAGGTGCATCGTGCTGGGAATGTTTGTTGCAGGTTTCCCACCTTCGAGAAGCAGAATATGGGGGCAGGCACCATTTTTAAGGAACCCGAGTAAATAGAACGCAAAAAAGTAGTCAATTACGTTTTTAGTCTGATGAATTGACCAATTATCCCAGCAGTAGTTTACTGACAAGGTCCCCTTCCTGTACAAGTATCGGCACAGCTGTGGACATCCTTGGTGAACATTATTTTGGCCGCGCCTCCATTATTGTTTACCATCGCCATCAACCCTCAAGAGACACTTAAAAACTCACCTCTATAACCATGCTTTGCGAACGACTCTGAGCTTTGCTCCGCGCCTCTGAGTTGCGGCCATTACGTCCACAAATTTGCGCGCGTTATAAATTGCATTATTATTAGCGACGTGCCCTGGCCAAACCAACCAGCTTTTCTTAAAAATTTGAATCGTGTCATTAATCAGCGTATATTCTCTCATCCATACGTTCCTCTTTTTGTCCCTCGGTGTAATTCCGATAATTACAGTATGCATCTCCATGCTTTTTGCACACTCTTATTAGTTTTTTTGTAGCGTTTACGGCAGTGTTTTTCACTAATTTTCAGAGGGGTGGCCACTTCCGCCGATAAGACATCATCAGTGGGAGGACTGTCACACATTTGAAACCATTGGGGTTTGACAGCAGCACGATGATTATGGAGCGTGTTTTCACATTTGCGTGTTGTCAGGGCTGCACATCAAGGGCCACACTAAAGGCCACCAGGGGCCGCCAGGGGCCCGTGGGCCTTGCAAGCCTTGCAATGATGAACACGAGTTTACACGAACGACCTTTGTATTCTAACGTATAAATGGAAAGGAATGCTCATGCTTCCACTTTGGAATCCCAGTTTAAAAATAATCTTTGTATTGACGCGGATGCTCTGTGCACTGGCAGTTTTATGGACGGGAGAAGGATCTGCAGAGGAATCGTGCTCAGCTGTCCCAGTCCCACTTGAAGCAGCTGAACGAGTTTGTGCGCGTGTCGGATTACAGCGACTCACTCACGGAGGAGTTTCTCTCGCAGTTCCAGGTGAAGAACCCCTCCCCTCCCCTTTTGAAAGGACAAACGGCAGATTTCATGTCGCTAGTGTAGACAATCCCAGCTGTATTTTTTTCATTGTCAGGGTGACAGCCACCTCGTCGGCAGTGTGGAGGAGAGGAAGAGGGGGTGGTGGGGGGGCGGCGGCACTGAGACCAACGTAGAGTTTGGTCAGGGGGCTCCCGTTGACAGTGTGCATCACGGTCTGTCACCGACCGCATCCACTCAGCTGTAAACACCAAACACAACAACAACCCCCATTCGTCACTAGGTGACGGCCACGTCACCACGGTGTTTGTGCCAGGCTATGTGCACTTTAAGGCCACGTGAAGTGTTGAACGCCCGCTGGCAGGAGGTTATGGGACAGACCCAAGTGCCATGGGTTGCCTGAATGACATTACTGGCACCTAGACACCCTGGCCAGTCACACTGCGTGGTAACAGAACATATTTTGTGGAGGTAATGTTTTGGGTAATGGCGATTTTAGTACAGAAACAAGTCAACCAGAAAATATTTTTTATGTGACTTTGATAGCAACAATGTTTTACTAGCATTTAAGATAATCATCGTGTCAACATAGAGCATTCTAATGCAATGTACAGCCCTTTCTCAATCATACATTACCACACTGCTCACTACAGATTGGTGAAGAGGGGGAGGCCTAGGACCAGTTCAAATATATATGTGTATAACTTCCACTCTTGTTAGCTGTATCCGGGAATAAAATTACAGTTACCGGGCTCATAGAGCAGTGGGCTAACCGCGGCGCAACCACTCTGGTGGAGGATTATGGGTAGTAAATTATAAATAAACAGACACCACGTAAAAAAAACAACAAGTTAATCCATCAGGCTTTGGGCCAACGTTTTCCACATCCACGTTTCTCAGCTCACGACGATGCCCGGTGTTTGCTGATTGGTGCAGGTCGTGGTTCTCACCAACTCCTCCTTGAGTGAGCAGCTTCGTATTGGGAGCATCTGTCGCGCCCATGGCATCAAATTCATCATCGCGAGCACCCGCGGCCTGTTCGGGTAACCCCCACACCGCCAACGGCAACACCCCCGTACCTCCGATTAGCACGGTCGACTATGTACGGTGTGAAAGAAATTGAACGTATGTACCACTCGGCTGACATGAAGCAGTGCGACCTTGCTGCACTAAACTTTCATGGGCGCACGTACCTGGCTCTTCCTGCTCGCTGCTTTCAAACTGTTTCCTAAAACCTTCCTCTTCAACCACGTCTTCATACCCCCTTAATTGCTTCACTTCTCTCCTTCCCTTGCGCGGTCAATCCTGCGTCCTCCGGCTCATGCCGTGTAATTCTGCGCTCTGAGATGTTTGTAACGCGATGGGCACATGACAGTCGTTCGGTGTTTTGCAATGCGTTGTGCATAACTCGAAAAAAATTAATCCGTTTTTGCAGCCACGTCGCTCATTGTTGAGCCATTACGACGAAGCATGGTGTATGTGGTAGTCCCTTGGTTAACAGTGACATCGGTTAACAGTCTTCCAGTTAACGTTTCGCCTCCCAAAGGACCCCATGGTTTTGACTAATATAAAAATGTTGGTTTAACGATATGTTTATGTTATGCACGCGGGTGCCAATTTGGCCAATCCGAGCGCTCGTAAGTGGGATGAACATGCCTCAGACAATAAATTAAGCCCATTTATGAGCGTTTAGACCGCGGCTGGATTTGTTTACATTATGTTTTCTGTTTTGGCAGTGGAAATAAAATCTAAACTATATTTTTATGGTCAAAAATATCAATTTCCGATCGTCTTGGAACGGATTCATACTTTCAACATGTAATTTCTTTATGCCATTAAAAGTAATTTCGGTTGACAGTAGTTTCGTAGAACGAATTAAAAACATTAACCGAGGGACTTTTGTATATGAAACAAGCTTGTATAGTGCAAGCCACGACTGCCCGCCCTTGCCTCTTGCTTGGACCATCCAGCCCAAAGAGATCGTTTAAATTAGGCAGGGCATCTGGGAATGCATTGGGGCCTGCTGAGGATAAGTAAACAACAAACCAATCCAACTAGCACCTACATCATGTACTGATTTCATTGTTACATCTCCTTAGCGGATGTAATCTCGGACATGTTCCTCTCCTTGGCTGCCACTCGGTTATTATTCTTGACCAGTGATGTACCTTAGCCAAGCCCAATTACTTTGCTTAATAGTTTGAAGGAATGTGTATATATGTGTTGCTAAAAACACAAGACGTGTATTCCAACCCATTTAAATATATGTGAACTGTGACTAAGCGGCAGTAATCGGAGTCGCGGACAAGTCGGGCTCTCCAAGTGGAATTCTCCATCACAGCAAGTGTCATGGTGTCTTGGTGCAAATTGTTCTTACGTCTGTCGCATAACAAAGCAAACCATTTCTTGTGAATTAAAATATTTGGCGACGCTGCTGTTGCTGCAATGGCATTCGGGCACAAGTACAACACAACCAACAAAAACACTGAACACATTCACCAATAAGACCGTGGCCATAAAAATAAATAAATACACGTGACATTTTGGGCAATGTGCTGTTAAGAATGGAAACTGTAAACCCTAATATATTTATTCTTTGAAGGCCGCAATGTCATTGACGAATGTGTGGAGTTAATTTCTGGTGAGAATAGTTGCGTTTGGAGCCATTGAACCTCCAATTAGCACGGTTGGCTACGTACGGTGCGAAAGAAGTATGTGTTAGCAGAGCTACAGCGGGACTATCCATATGTATGTGTGTATGTTACATTTTTTTCGCACCGTACGTAGTCAACCGTGCTAATCAGAGGTGCGGGGAAGGACAATGAAGTAAAAATTTCGTGTGTTACATTGACATTGTCACACATAATGGGTTGCTTCTGCCTTGAGATGTATTTCAATGTGAAACAAAAATCAATCTACGCCTTTGCGGATATTTATGATGATGATTGTGGTTTTGGTGATGATTATTTTTTGTCATTTGTAGGCAAATATTCTGTGATTTTGGAGATGAATTTGTTGTGGAGGACCCAAGTGGAAAGACTATCACCTCCACCGTCGCATCCATCAGCAAGGTATGGGAGGCTGCAATCACCAGTCTGTAGAGATGACCTCAAGTAGTTGTTTTTACATTAAATTAAAAATATATCGTGGCAATGCCATCACTTTGACCAATTAATTAATGCAGTAGTAAAGCGTGGCTGTAACTACTAATAAGAAAATCACTCTTTAAGCAATTGGCCAAATGATCCAATGTACAAAACCCTCCTGAACAACAAAACGTCTTCAGGTTCGACAATAGATACAAGTTATTGATGGAATCCAGGACAAAGAGTGAGAGAAGAGTTAGTGGGGAGATGGATACAGGACAGAGAGAGATGGAGCATTCAGAGAGAGGTTGAGATGAGCATCTTGCGATCAAGCGGAGTAATAGTCATGAATCTGTAATGGACCGCTTGATATGCTCAATTACACAGGCCCCTATAAAAACAGCAGCTTCCCCCGTCACCTTTCCTCCCGAAGGCAGGAAACCCCCTCGCAAATCCCCGCCCACCCCCACCCGAGCATCAACGCATTTGGAGCCATTTTTTGTGACGAGTCGAGCATCCGAACCGATAATCGATCGAGTAATTCGATTACTTAAATAATCACATAGTCTCTCTGTATCTCTGCTAACACTGACCCACTGTGGTGGGCTGTTTCGCACCATAGGAGAGCCCCGGTGTGGTGACGTGTGCGGAGGCTGAGGGCCACGACTTTGAGAACGGGGACCTAGTGGTGTTCTCCGGCGTGCGAGGCATGACGGAGCTCAACCGTGGCCGACCCCGCACTGTTACGGTCATCGGTAAGGGAGCTTCGTTTTATGCACCTCCGCGATCGGCACGGTAGGTTACGTACAGCGTGAAAGGAGTTCAACCTGCATACGTACGTAAACGCAGCCCATGGACGCGGCTAGTCCACGGTCTGGTTTGGAGAGCCAGGTGCAGTCAAGCTCTTGCCTAGTTGTGACACTCACCCATAGGTGATCACAGAGAACAGCATATATGTATCGTGATTGTTCTGTGTGTACATTTTTTAAGTTTAGTTGTACAACAATAACAAACACGATTTATAATGCGCGCATATTTCGGGAATCGGGATGCAAAGAACTCAGAGGCACGGAGCCAGAGCTCAGAATCCCTCATTTGCCAACCTGAACAGGTGAGAGCCTTTATAGGCGAGAGCGCCTGAACAGATGAGAGCCTGGACGGGTGAGAACCTGGACGTGTGAGAGCCTGAATGGGTGAGAGCCTGAGCGGGTGAGAGCCTGCACCGTTTGAGAACCTGAACAGGGTGAGAACCTGAACCGGATGCACCTTCAGCTGTTGCTAAAGGTGGGTGGTCATTGGATGCAGTGCTAGTGCAGTGGCAGAGAGTTTCCGATGGCTTCTGGTGAAGCTGCGGAGAAATAGCGCTCAGCCGGGATGGTCCTGGTTCTGAGTATGATGAGCAGGTTAATACTTCCAGCCAACTCTCAATTATCCGGGGTGATCGGGGGGGGGGGGGGGGGGAAGCCCAGGTTCCCCAGACAAAACAAAACCACGGATAATGCAAATCATATGTAAGTTAGGCTAAAATAAATATAATCTACTGAGCTGTATAGAATGGGACGGTACAGATGTAGAATGTCGTCATCTGTTTTTATTGCTTTTTAAAGTGATTGGTTGTTAGCGGTAGTGATACAGATTTGTATTTTTAGTGCATGGTGTACTGATATTTTGAAAAGGAGCATCGGGCCAATTGTGTTTCGACCGTCGTTTTCCGAGATTTCACGGACATTATATTCAAATTCAGGATTTTCCATGACTACACCGTGAGCTCCGTGTCCTCCTTGTCAGTGCTTAAGCCATCGTGTCTTGTGTGTGATGTGAACAGATGACAAATCCATCAGTGTTGGAGACACCAGCGACTTATCCGACTATACCGAAGGAGGGGAAGCGATCAAGGTTAACATTCCACAGACCATCAAGTTTGTAAGTTTATTTTTATTTACGTTTTATAAGGTGCAGTAGACTCAACAAAAGGGCTTCAGAGCGCCAAATAGTAAAATGTATACAAAATAAAATACATCTCCAGTTCACCTGACATTTCCTAGGAAATTAGTACATTTTTAGTTTCTTTCTAATTGGGAGTATCTCTGCAGTTCTACAAGGCAGAGCGTTCCAAATCTGAGAGCCAAGGACCGAAAAAGCCGGAGCTCTGAAATGTTTTATTCCGAAAGTGGCTGACAGAGGAGCCCGGTCAGAGAGTGAGAACCTCAAACTCCTGGAAGGATTGTAAAGCTGCAGAGTGCTTTGTGAATCAAGCACAGTAATTTTAATCATGCACGGAGCTGATTTGGAAGCCAGTGTAGGTGCATGAAAGTTTGGGAGATTGGGTCCCGACGAAAACGACCAGTCGGTCAAAAGTCGTGCACAGGAGTCCTGAATGTTCTGCAGTAGTTTAACTCGACCCAGTGGAAGACCCACGTACAGGACATTGCCAAAGTGGAGACCATATGTGACAAGGGCATTCAGGAAGGTAGCATCATTTCCATCAGTGAGCTTATTTCATATGTACATTATTTAACATGTAAGGGTGGAGTGGTGGTGCAGTGTATACCACACAGCGGCTACGAACCCGGCGACCTGAGTTCGATTCCAGGCAATGGCTAATGTCGGTGAATTTTACAACGTCGGTTTAACGGCTCTGCAATAATAGACAACATTTTTATTTATTTAACAAAGAACATGCTTTAACTTCAGCGTCCAACACAAGCCTGAAGCAGCTTTAATATATATTTAAGATAACAAATGTTAACCCTTTTCCGTTCCGAGACATCTGCAAGTTGTAGGGTGGGTATCCCGTTCACTGCTGAATCTTGGAACATGCAAGCAGTTAGCGTAATTTATTTTTAGAGAGGCGTAGCACCGTTGTTTTTAAAGATATTGTACTCACCGTAGATAATTTTAGCGACACCACCACGTTCTACGATAGACGACGTACACATAAGTCATCGGAATGAGTTAAAACACAAACCTACGAGTGATCACTTGAGCATCATCGCATTCAGAGCATTGTCCTTGCCTGTCCCCTGTGCAGTTGCCTTTGCAAGAAGCTCTGGTGAAGCCCAGGTTTCAGGAGGGATGTGACCAGACTGTGGCCCCCACCCTGCACAAAGCTTTCCAGGCCCTGCACAGGTTTCAGCAAAAGCATAACCGTTCGCCACGGCCGCACAACCAGGTGCGTACGGCAATCGCACGCAAGTCGCTCGCCTCATCTTTTCGCATCACCATCATCATTATTCTCCCGATTTTTTTACCCTCCCAGTTGCGGTGCTATCAGCGTCATGCCCGCCCCCCCTTTCCCGATCCCCACCCTGACGCCTGTATATTTGTAGTTTGCATGTTCTCCTTGTGGTTTGCTGGATTTTTCTCCGGGTCCTCTGGTTTTTCCCTCCACATTTAGAATCGACATGCGTTTAGAGTATTTGGCTACTGCTATACATTTCCATTTGATAAGCCACTTCGTTGAGCGATCATTTGTGGCTAGGTCGCTTATGAAAAAGAGCTACCTGGTAAAATAAAAAAAATAAAAAAAGTTTTTTGAAGAATGTTGAGTGGAGTGGTGTTACATTGGTAACAGTGGTAAGCGCGCTGCTGTGCTCTGAACCCGGCCACCCGAGTTTGATTCCCGGCCCCAACCAACATCAGTGGCGAGCGTTACCCGAACCCACCTTAACCAATACACCATGCGGCAACCTGCATTGACAAGCGTGGTGAAGTATGGTAAAAAAAAAAATAGCCAAACCGACACGGCATGGGGAGGCCTTCATCTGCTGGTGGATTGAGAAGGGCTGGAAGTAATTTGTATGATTTGACATTTGTAGAAGAGTTTAAAAAAAGGGGGGCTGAGCCCTCAGTATGGCGGGGAGCCACTGGAGGGGCACTAAGCCCCTCTATGAACTATAAAACTATATACTATTTTTATTTAATCACGTAATGCCCACTGAGCTATATAGCTCATTTTCAGATGCTACCTGGCCACAAATGATAGCTCAACGAAGTGGCTTATCTCGTGGAAATTTATAGCAGCCAAATACCCTAAAAGCGTGGTGTTAATTTTAAATGTGGAGGGTAATACCGGAGGACCCGGAGTAAAATCCACGCGACCACAGGGAGAGAGACACACAAACTCCAAATACACAGGCGTCAGGGTCGAGATCGAGCCCACGTCCTCCTATAAAGCAGACAAGGTAGTTAAAGTTTCAGCACCATGGCGCCCCCCTCCCTGCCCCCCCACCTCGACGCCACAGGACTGAAGGGGACCGTCTCAATCCTGACATAAACCAACGTGTTGTTGCCGCTCCCCTCTGCCCCAAGGCTGACGCGGACGAGGTTGTGAAGGAGAGTGCAGGGGTGGAGTTGGGGGTGGACGTGGGGGTGGAGCTCCAGGAGTGGCTGGTGCGACGATTGGCATTCACGGCCCAGGGAGACCTGGCTCCACTCAACAGCTTCATCGGTGGGGTCGCCGCGCAGGAGGTTATCAAGGTGGATACGTCTCTAGATTTGAAGCTTTCGTGACTGCAAGGATCCATACTCTTTGGTTTTTTCGGTAAAGTCACGTAGGTTAAAAAAGAGAGAAAACAAATAAATTAAATCACGTTTCGGAGGCAACACAAGCCTTCGTCTTCAGGTGGCACCGTCACAGCAAAAATCACTGTATCAAGGGACCTGAAGACGGAGGCTTGTGTTGCTTCTGAAACGTGATTTAATTGATTTGTTTTCTCTCTTTTTTAACCTACGTGACTTTACAGAAAAAAACAAAAAGTATGGATACGTCTCGTTTGCCTGCAGGCGTCCATCTGACTGCCTTTTAACTATCCCAAGAACAGGGATAGGAATAGATGACAAAGCTTTTGCCCCGTTGCAGCACCCACGTTTTGGAACAACCTTGTTTCGTCCCTGAACATCGTAAATCTTCCTTCGAAAAATATCCTAAAGCAGAAGATTAGTGCTGGATGCAAGCGCATTTTCAAATGTGATTTGTAACTTTTATTCTTACCAGTGTACTGATATGAGAATAGGTTTTTCCCTTTTTTTCTGGCAACAAAACAGGTGTTAAGATGTTAAAACACCAAACTGAAACCTTTTACAAGGAATCATGTCTGCATTAACCACAATGCTTGTGGTCAGAATGCAAAAAAAAAAACGTACTCTGATAATATATGCATTGTCTTTGAAACTGATTGGTCCACACCAGAGACAGCTCCAAAGAAAGCAGAGACAGCTCCAAAGAAAGCTGTCTCTGGTGTGGACCAATCAGTTTCAAAGACAATGCATATATTATCAGAGTATGCTTTTTTAGTTTGCATTCTAACCACAAGCGTTGTGGTTGATGCAGACATGATCCCTTGTAAAAGGTTTCAGTTTGGTGTTTTAACATCTTAACACCTGTTTTGTTGCCCAGAAAAAAGGGGAAAACCTATTCTCATATTTTGATACTGGCAAAGGAGGTCCAATGAAGTGTACTGATAGTTCAATTTTAATGTGCAGTTGTATTGCGGGACTGCGAGTTGTCTTGGTGTGGTTGTGAATGTTCTTGCTGTTTTGCTGCCTTACCCAAGTTTGGGAATCGGAGTACTTAGGCAATTTATACTTATTTTACGTATTTATTTTTAGTGATTTGTATTCCTTTCCTACACTTTGAGCTCTGATCGATGTTTTGTATTGTATGCTGTTGTAACTTTCTGACCCGCCCCTGCTGGACATCTGTGAAAAAGAGCTTTAGAGCTCATCGGATAGCTCAAGGATAAATAAAGATTCTGATTTAGCAGTCCACGGTTGGGAAAACTTCTTCCTTACTGAGAGCCGATTAGGACCTTTGGACACATTTGGTGTGCGACCATACGTTACCACATACCTCGGTCTTGTCCAACAATAATAATAATCTTCTTGGTTCTTTCGGTAAAGTCACGTAGAAGGGAAGTAATAAAATAATAAAAAATAAAACAAAATAAAATTATTCTCACGACGTTTCGGCCACAAGGCAAGCCGAAACGTCGTGAGAATAATTTTATTTTTTATTTTTATTATTTTATTACTTCCCTTCGACGTGACTTTACCGAAAGAACCAAGAAGATGAATCCCTGCAGTCACGAAAGCTTTAAATCAAAATAATAATAATAATAATAGTTTTTGAATTAACGTGCGTATTGACCGAGTGTAATTAACGTGCCCTTGCAGTGACAGAGGTGGCTTCACCTTATCCATGGGTGTGTTGGAATAGCAACGATTGCCAATGTAAATTCATGCCCAGCGTGTCGCATATGGTGATGCTGATAACTTCACCAAGCCCTGTCCGTTACCTCCCGTGCAGCGGCACACGTGGGGACAGGCGAGACCATTTTTTTTCCTCCTCCCCACTAATCTGTTGTTATCCGATTACACTGGTCAACTAATTTCAGGGTGCTGATTCCAAATCTGATCTCAGATTTTCTCTATCACATCTAATTTTTATGCTATCGGCATACCCCATTTTCATTGATTTTACCCGAAATTAACTCTGTCCCTTATGATTGCAAGTTGTTGCGAGTCAGTGACTGCTTTTGTATTAAAATATGGTGCTGTATTTTTAGGATAGTGTGGTTATAATATAATTTTATGTAGATATCCACATTTATTTTATATTTTTATTCTGCAGTTATTATTGAAAATGCAATTTTTGATATCTCAAAAACCTGATGTTGTGATAGACAAAAACTGATGCCAGATTTGGAATCAGCACCCAAAATTTCATTAAAACCGTTGGAATACCTTATGCCAGAAAAAAGTGTGTTGACCAGTGTTAGTCGAGTAATCGAAACCGATAATCAGTGGTGTGATCGATTACTTTTATCGAGGGATTACATTCCGGGTTTAATCAATTTGGGTTGCAGTTGGTCGCAGAGGTGAACTTAGAACTGTGCGTGTTTGCGGCAAACTCTCTGCATCTCCTAGGCCTGCACGGGCTCCTTCATGCCGCTCAATCAGTGGATGTATTACTCGGCGGCAAAGTGCCTTCCCGATGAGGGCACGGGCACCGTGGATATGGAGGAGGCCTGCAAACCGGTATGTTATCTGTGTGTGTGTGTGTCATCCACACTCGGGGGTTCTCAAAAATGTTCACGGTGCCTATCGCAATGGTGACAACCAAGAGTGGTTGGTGTTAAGCCAACCGTGGTCAGTGTTGAATGCACAAATGGTCGGGTGATGAAATACGAATGGCCCCTGTAGCTCCGTATCCGCCCTTGTAACTGTTGCAAGAGTTACTCTGGACCCTGTAAACACTACGTATGTACGTATGTTAAAGTTCTTTCGCATTATTATTATTATAACAAACTGCTTAATCTGGGGGTTCACAGTCCTTTGTTTGTTGACTCTGTTCTCTTTCCCCCACCCGTGCACCTTGATGCGTTTGTTCTTTGCAGACGGACAGCCGCTATGATGGCCAAATCGCTGTGTTTGGAAAGAAATTCCAGGAAAAACTTGCTTCCCTTAAGTACTTCTTGGTAAGATTCAGTGGAACGGTGACGGTAACTGTCTGGGTGTGTAAGCGGTACAACTAAACTTAAACTAAACTATTTTTCATTTTACCAGGTAAGGCCCACTGAGCTATACAGCTTTTTTTCAGAAGCGACCTGGCCACAAATGATAGCTCACCGAAGTGGCTTATCGCGTGGAAATTTAAATCAGCCAAATACTCTTAAACGTACTTTCCCAAATGTGGAGGGAAAAACCAGAGTCCCTGGGGAAAAATCCACGTGGCCACGGGGAGAGAGACATGCAAACTTCAAGTATGCAGGCGTCAGGGTCGGAATTGAACCCACGACCTCCTCCATACCAGGCGAGGTAGTTAACATCTCACCACCGTGGCGACTGCACTGGGGCCCACAGAACAGGGAGGGGGGGGGGGGTCCAGGTACCGGGCTACAAAAATAGGGAGGGTAAACTGGACAAGGGCCCATTTCATGCCTTGCAACGGGGGCCCATGCTGGCCATACTACACTACTGCGATAACAGGGATTGCCGGAGATAACTTCACTTACTGTGGAAGTTCCGTAACAACTCCGAAATGTTTATTCAGTTGATCGTATCAACATTTTTTTCTTTTTTCGTAAGCATTCAATCAAAGTTTTTTCAAGGACCCAGAATGCAGTTGGAACATCACAATTAGGGAGGGACAACACGTAGCGTATGACAGGCCGGCCGTAATGCACCCTCATAATTCGGGAACGAACGAGGGCATCCGGGCTCGCCGGTAACGATTGGGAAGAATGTATTCAAGGGGGAGGGAGGAAAATGTGAAAAAAGAGGGGGTGGTCGGGGACAACCCATGTTATATTAAATCGAGATGCAAGCCCAAGAAGAAAAAAAACACAAGCTACTTTTGTTTCATCAAAACAACATCGATCCACTTAGTGGCTCTCGTGATGCACCGCACGTTGTGACGGCATTGCGATGAGTTTTCAGCTTTCACTTCTTTTGAGGATTTTAAGTGATTTCAGCATTTTTTGTTACGGCTAACAGGTCGACCCTGGAACGACGTAGCCTGCTGCCACAGTTAACGGATCTATACTTCACGATGGTATCCTGTCATGGCGGCTGACTTTCGGATTGGTGACCTGCTTTGTTTGTAACGCGTGGTTGTCTTGGAGCTGCTGACACCATCTCGCGTCGTAGACGCATACGCCAACCCATATACTCATTAATTGGCTGAAAACATCTCAATCTAAGCGCCTCCACGTGTGCTGATTACGCTGCATTATGAGATGCAGTTGCATGAATGATACACTTTATTATTGTTGCGTAGTACTTGTTGACGCCAAGGGGAATTGTAGAACCAGACGGAGACGAGGATTCTTACTTAAGGCTGCTTGCCGTTTATTCACACTCTTACACACTCTGTCCACTGTACACTCACTGGTTGTTACACTCTCTGAACTCCACGCTTACACCCGTTATGGCGCACGTCAGAACTCTGTCCTTTACGCGGACAACCCTCCAGCTATCTAAGCCCCGGTACGGCTCCCCTTTGTCTACCCCCTCGTCTGCACCGGGCGGGGGATCATCCAACACTGCCCGGCGACGAGGTGAGACCTCTACATCTCGAGCCCTTCTTCGGCGGCTGGGATGTTTTCCACGTAGGCTCTCGTTCCTCTGCCAACGGCGACGACTTCACTCTCCCTATGGCGACCACCTCCCTCTCCCTATGGCGACCCCACCGTCGTCACGGGTCCCCCTTAAGTAGCCCTTGGCGGCTCCTCCCCCTAGCTCGGATCCCGTCTTTGTTTCACAAAGGCACCCCCCCCCCCCCTTACAGCACCCGTGACATGACGTCATTCTCCGCTGTCAACTCGCTCGCACCTCCCTGTGTACGCTCCCTCATGGTTGCTCACTCTACTCCTCTACATTATTATTAAAAAGCTTTTGCTGTCACCCCACCACTGCACGCTCCTTAACGCCGCGTGATTACTGCTTTCAATTATTGTTTCTCATTAACAGTTTGCGTTACACAACCTTGGTTCAGTGAGATGAGGGCCGTACGTATAAGTATTTTTTTCTGTGGTTGCATATTTCTTTGAATGCATGCCCACGAAACCCAATGCAAGGGCTCCCCTTTTTATCCCAGGTGGGTGCTGGGGCCATTGGCTGCGAGCTGCTGAAGAACTTTGCGATGATGGGACTGGGTGAGGTGACTGTGACCGACATGGACCACATTGAGAGATCCAACCTGCATCGCCAGTTCCTCTTCCGGCCTGGAGATGTCAAGGTGCCGTGCACGGCTTTTTGCGATGGACGCGTATGAAGTTAAGACCCACGACGTCTCTGGTTTCCCATTGCGCCATCGACGCAGAAAATTCGATGTAAACAACACAACCGCATAAAATAATAAATAATAAAAATAACAAAAGTCATACGTTAGTTTATATTGTACCCAAAATAAAATTACATATCTCAAAGCGCATTTTTTTTTTGCCGAGGGTATCCCCTAATAGCAGCTTGTCCCTTATATGGCACAAGGTGAACAGAGGACAGACGACATGTAGTAGACATCATAACGTCCATCCAAGTGACTTATAGCATCGCGCAGCCTGCAAGGACACGCTCATTTCTATTCTGTGGCCCACCATAAAAGAGGAGTTCCAGAACCCGCCCTGGTGGACACCGGAACATGTGCTCGTCCCAGAAGCTCGCCCTGCCCATGCCTCTGTGCGCCTCCGCCCCCGTGCCCTAACGCCCACGGTGTTGCCAACAGAAGCCAAAGTCGGAGGTGGCGGCGCGCGCCGCTAGCGAGATGAACCCCGATGTGCGCATCAACCCGCACAGGCTCAGCGTCGGTCCCGCATCGGAATCCGTTTTCGGCCAGAGCTTCTTTGACGAGCTGGACGGCGTGGCGACCGCCCTGGACAATATCGAAGCACGTGAGTGGAGGCTGGGGTCACTGTGAATTGTTTTATTGTTATTATTGTAAAGCAAAAATGTGGAGCTTGTCCACAAGGTGGCTCGAGGTGGTGTGATCTGCCTCACAATCAGAAGGGTGTGATTTCAAATCCCTGGTTGGGGGTTGACTCAGCCCATCACCTCTCCGGGGCTTGATAAAACGATGATCAATTTGTAGGGAAGTCAACGGTGGTTATTCTGTGGATATGCTCAGCCCTGCGATAGGAATTTGCAATTGCCACCAGTGGCTCTGCAGGGCTGTATACAGGGGATGAGCACTAATGCCTCAATGCTGCTCATTTGAGCAGGAAATCATCATTTTGACTTAACTTTTTTATTTCACCAGGTAAGGCCCACTGAGATGTGTAGCTCTTCTTCAGAAGAGACCTGGCCATAAATGACAGCTCAATGGAAATGGCTTGTCACGTGGAAATGTATAACAGCCAAATACTCTAAACACACATTGATTCTAAATGTGGAGGGGAAAACCGGAAGAGCCCGAGTAAAATCCACGCGACCACGGGGAGAGAGACATGCAGACTCCAAATATACAGCAGGCATCAGGGTCACGATCGAACCCGCGACCTCCTCTATACCAGGTGAGGTAGTTAACATCTCGCCACCACGGCGACTTCCACTAACGAGCGTGTGCGATCTCTTTCCAGGAGAGTACGTGGACAGGCAGTGTGTGAATCACCGCAAACCTCTGCTGGAAAGTGGCACGGAGGGGCTGGAGGGCAGCGTGCAGGTGGTGGTGCCATTCCTCACGCAGTCCTACGGCTGCGTCGCCAACCCGACAAAGAAAACCATCCCTTTGTGCAGCGTGCGCAGCAATCCCAGCACCACCGCGCACACTCTGCAGGTATGATGAGCACATCGTCATCATCGTCATTCTCATCATCATCCGGCCGGGTGGTTCAGCGGTAGTGGCTGGCATTCCGAAGGTTGCTAGTTTATATCTTGGATGTGGGAAGAGTTGGAGGGGGGGGTTGACTCAGCCCATCCTCCCTACAGGATTGCTGACGTAATTACCATTTGGTAGGAGAGGGCAACGGTGGTTGTCCTACGGGGAACCTCGCCACCGTCATAGGGATGTGGAATTTAAACTATTGAGACAAATTACCCAGTCCCTGTCCACTTCCAACAACACTCCACGTAATTGGCCGTACATCCCAAGCAAGGTTCTCTTGAAGAAGAAAAGTGCCACGATTTGGTGAGCCTTTTCTGGAAGACCGTTACAATTAGTTGATGAAAGCGGCTGCCAGGAGTGGTCAGGAGCCTGTTTGGAGCCTTGGAAATGATAAGAGAGCTTATAAATTACTAGCTGTGCTACCCGGCTTCGCCCAGGACTTGGATCCACCACGCCCAGCCGCCTTTGTCTCCCCAGTGGCGATGTTCACACACCACACCAATTACTCGTTTGAGGCTGAGTCGACCTAGGGGAGGCCCAGGACCGGTTCAAATAATCGTCACCGGTGTTGGCCGTGAGCGGGAATCGAACTCGGGTCGCGGGGTTCGTAGCGCGGCGCGCTAACCAATACACTACGTTGCGTTACGCTTCCACATGCGCGGGTCACGTGACAGATTTGACGTCACAGCTCAGTTGCCATGCAAAAATATGAATGCATTATTGAGCTCCCCCCCCCTCCCAAAAAAAAGAAAGTGTATTTTTATAATTTTTTCATGGTGTACAGTCTGGAAAGTACCCACATGGCAAATTTCCAGTTTGTTGCATGTCGGGAAGTACGCTAAACATTTTGAACAGACACACATTCACAACTTTACCTTTTATATACATGGAGATTATACATTATGGATGACCAGGTGGCGCAGAGGTCAGAGTGGTGAGTTATCACTGCGGAGTTCCTGGGTTTGAATCCGGGTTGGAGTTGCCACGGTGGCTAAGAGATGTTAACTACCTCGCCTGATCTACAGGAGGTCGTGAGTTCGATCCCGACCCTGACGCCTGCTTTATACTTGGAGTTTGCGTGTCTCTCTCCCTGTGGTCGCGTCGACTTTTCTCCAGGTCTTCCGGTTTTTCCCCTTTACATTTACAATGAACGTGCGTTTAAAGTATTTGTCTGCTATAAATGTGCACGTGATAAGCCACTTCTGTTGAGCTATCATTTGTGGCCAGGTTGCTTCTGAAAAAGACCTGTATAGCTCAGTGGGCCTTAATAGGTAAAATAAAAACATGTTTATTAAGTGTACTGAGTTAACAGTCTTAGTTCAGTCACCAATGGCTGCACACACAAAAAAAAAATCTTGTTAAATTTGAATTTTCATTCACGTTGGCTAAATTTACAAATATTTGTTTTTCAATTCGACAAATATTACTCTCTGTGGCAGGGTAGGTGGAAATTGCTGCGTCATTGTGTCGATAAAATATCACATTAACAGCTTTTGTAAGTTATTCTGTGAACATCCTTCCGTGGACAAATTCTATAACATGGGACGTTGCACTGCACACAAGAGCGTGACACCACTCGCACAGTCAGGATACAGATACAAATTGGGGACAAAAACGTGAAAAAAATTGTCTGCAGTGAAGTGCCGTTGAAAATGGGGTAGCTCCAGTGCCGGATGAAGCTAGTGCGGGGCCTGTGACATATGTTATAAAGGGGCCCTAAATTAAAAAACATAAATATTACAACACAAATTTGTAACTTGCATAGTAAAGTAATTATATTTTTTCACTTGCTGTACAGCCAGATAATACGACAAATCGCTAACCTTATACACATAAAAGTTGAAGGCAGTGTAGTACTATAGTAATAGAACGAGTTTAGAATTACTGAACCGGAATTTATAGCTTGAAAGCATTTAGTGCGGGGCCCTTGAAAGTGCGGGGCCCGTTGCATATTCTACTTTTGCTCCTAGGATAATCCGGCATTGGGTAGCTCGCAGGGATCGCGTCAGTGAGGGGCAGCCCTCTCTTGATCCCTGTCTCGCTTGCCACCCCTAATCCCCTCATCCTTGAAACCCCTTGAACCACTGCAGTGGGCGAAGGAGGAGTTTGAGGAGCTGTTTGCGGTCCAAGTGAAACATGCCAAGGAATGCGTCCAGTAGGTGGAGAGGCACTGCATTTATGGCATTTTACACAAGCACAATCATTACCTCTCGCACGCACGTGCAAACAAACACACACACATGCATAGTGCCCGAGCAAGGGCAGGGTATGTACATGTTTTGTTGAACTTCTTTCGCACTGTACATAGCCAACTGTGCTAATTGGAGGTGCGGGACAGGGTGGGGCAGGGTGGGGCTGGGTGGTGGTAAGGTGGGGTGGGACAAGGCAGGATGGGCATGGCTGGACAGGGTGGGACACGGTGGGATAGTGGGGCAAGGCGGGCCTGGCAAGGCAGGATGGGGCAGGGTGGGATGGTGAGGCAAGGCGGGGCATGACAAGGCAGGGTGGGGCAGGGTGGGTTGGTGGGGCAAGGTGGGACATGGCAAGGCAGGGTGGGGCAGGGTGGGATGGTGGGGCAAGGCGGGGCATGGCAAAGCAGGGTGGGGCAGGGTGGGTTGGGGAGGCAAGGCGGGGCATGGCAAAGCAGGGTGGGGCAGGGTGGGTTGGTGGGGCAAGGTGGGACATGGCAAGGCAGGGTGGGGCAGGGTGGGATGGTGGGGCAAGGCGGGCCTGGCAAAGCAGGGTGGGGCAGGGTGGGATGGTGGGGCAAGGCGGGGCATGGCAAAGCAGGGTGGGGCAGGGTGGGTTGGGGAGGCAAGGCGGGGCATGGCAAAGCAGGGTGGGGCAGGGTGGGTTGGTGGGGCAAGGTGGGACATGGCAAGGCAGGGTGGGGCAGGGTGGGATGGTGGGGCAAGGCGGGCCTGGCAAAGCAGGGTGGGGCAGGGTGGGATGGTGGGGCAAGGCGGGGCATGGCAAAGCAGGGTGGGGCAGGGTGGGTTGGGGAGGCAAGGCGGGGCATGGCAAGGCAGGGTGGGGCAAGGCAGTATGGGCATGGCTGGACAGGGTGGGTTGGTGAGGCAAGGTGGGACATGACAAGGCAGGGTGGGGCAAGTCGGCCACCCCGGGCACCCCTCTGACCTGAATGGGAAACCAAAATGTTGTAAAAGAAGACATCTATGGTGGTGCTGGTGCTACAGCAGCTGAGAGGGGCGAGGAAGGGGGCGTTGGAGGATGGCACATTGTCGCTGGCACCATGTCCAGCTATGGTTTTGCACACACACACACACATATAGCAATCAGTGGGTTTGTTATAAATATTAACAGCTGTTGTTTACCATTTTCCCTTAGTGACTGTTTGCTTGCTTGTTCATTAATTACATTTTATATGACTAAATCGCCCAGAATGTGCCCCATTCCATACAATCGTATAAGCTAAGCAGATGTGTAAGCCTGGATAGTATTTGGGGAGGCCCTCATCCAGCAGTAGAATTGACAAAAAACGGGTAGCTGTGCAGGTACACGTTGAATATTCTTTTTTTGGTTTAACACAGGTTTTAGCGACCAACATTATCCATAAGAGAGCTTTTTTTTACGGGTTAGATCGCATAAATATAAATGTGTTGTTATAAACCTGCCACCACCCAACACAGCCAATTGTTTTATTTTTGTTAACGTCCCATAGAAGTGTGCAGGCTCTTGGGGAGAGGGTACAATCCCTTTCACTTGGGCAGGCGAGCGGAGGCGACGCCAGCCTGGAGGGGTGTGTGGCCTGGGCTCGGCATCGCTGGCTACAATCTTACCACGACCACCGGATACCGCCGCCGCCGCCAGCGACGACGACGACGGTACCAGTTCACTCGCCCACTGCCTCTCATCCAATGATGCATCGTTCATTCATTCACTTCCTTTTCCTCTTCTTTCCTGTTTTTGTAAAAAAAATGCATCTGTTTTATTCTGGTTGTGCTTATAATATCATAGAATTACGTTGTCTAGGTGGATTTTAGTTTCTAAAACTAAAATAAAATGGGGTTTATACATACTCTTTGGTTCTTTCGGTAAAGTCACGTGGGTATAAAAATAAAATAAATCACGACGTTTCGGGCGCAACACAAGCGTCCGTCATCCCACCTGATGACGGACGCTTGTGTTGCGCCCGAAACGTTGTGATTTATTTTATTTTATACCTACGTGATTTTTTTTGGTAATTGTCTGTGGCAGAAAGGAAACTGGCAGCTAGCAAGGAAAGAGATGTAGAGGGAGACACAGACCATCATCCTCTTGTAGAGCAACAACTGCAATTTCATATCGACGTGGTTAATGAGCCAGATTATTGCGTCAGGAGTAGCGGCAGAGGGCATCGCTGTAGCGACGCCCTCTTCGTGTTTGCGAATCGGGCATTGAGTCGTTATAAGTCCCATGAACAAAGACCGAGATGGATTGATATTTTAAATAATGCCATTGATCACAAGGGCCCATGTGTGACTGAAGTAACATAGTAGTGTATCTGTCATTTTCTCTAAATGTTCAGAAATCTGACCTTTTCACCTATCCGCCTATACCCCAGTCTCCAGTCAGTCGGATATGGGACAATGTGCCATGTGTGTAATTTACTTGTGTGTGCGTGTGCGTGTGTGCATGTGTGCGTGTGTGGCAACAACGACAACTGCCATTCGCCACTAAGTGGCGGTGACGTCACCACGACGCTTGTGCCAGGCCATGTGCACCTTGAGGCCACGTGAAGTGTCGAACGCCCGCTGGCAGGAGGTCACGGGGCAGACCCAGGTGCCACGGGTCGACTGATTGAGATGACTGACAATGGCGGTTGTTGTGCATAGTGGCACAGTGGTAGAGCAGCGGATAGCATGCTGCGCCACGAACCCACCGATCTGAGTTTAATTCACCCTGATGGCCAACACCAGTGACGATTATCTGAACCGGTCCTGGGCCTCCATTAGTTCGACTCAACCTCAAATGAGTATAGCTGATGCAGTGTCTAAACATTGGCACTGGGGAGACAAAGGTTTGGTGGGCTGTAATATTGCCCACCCACTTGCTCGTGTGCCGTGCCGGCCTTCATATAAGTGCGACTCGCTAACAGCAGTTGCCCCAACAGGCTGTTAAAAACTATACCAGGGCCTCTTTGTCTTTGCAGCAAACCTCTTCCAGCGTACGCAGCCCCAAGTGTCTGGTGTTCAGCAACACAAATGTGAGTCCTCCAAGCGACCCGACAAACAGCAGACGCTCGAGCACTCGAGAACTCCTTGCTTGCAGACTCCCCTTGCTAAGTGTGGTTGATCATAAGACCGTGGTTTAGCAGTTACAATTATCGAATCCTAAATTATTGAGGGTGTATTGGGACTACGAATGTGGCACTCCTAGTTTTGACTTCCATTCACGGCTCGCGTCAGCGGCGAGTTATATCTGAAACCTGCACTGGGCCTCGCCCAGGTAGACTCAGCCTTTAGATTGAGTACCTTGTGCAGTGTGTAAATGTCGGCACCGAAGAGGCAGAGGCGACCATCGTGCGCGCCGTGCCGTCACTCCGCGGTGCTCGCTAGCAGCACTTGCCCCAATGGTCAGGGCGATACCGGGGCATCGTTGTCTCTGTATAAACACAGGCCCTGCACGTGGACTACGTGGCGGCAGCAGTGAAGCTTTACGCTCGTGTGTACGGGTTTCCGGTGCCGACGGACCGGGCCTCTGTGGAGCGGGTTCTGCGGGAGGGTAAGAGTGCACCAGCATATAGAGCAGTGTTCTTCACTAATTTTCAAAGGGGTGGGGAGGCCACTTCCGCCGATGAGACATCATCAGTGGGAGGGCCGCCACGCATTTCAAACCATTGCGGTTTGACAGCAGCACTATGATGATGATGTTGATGGGGGGTGTTTCCACATTTTGTACATTGTCAGGGAGTGGGGGCACACGTCAGGGGCCACACGTCAGGGGCCACACTAAAGGCCACCAGGGGCTGCCAGTGGCCCGCGGGCCTTGCAATGAACAACACCGATATAGACACTCGCGATTACCGGTACGCTTCTCTAACTTTTTTCCACTGCACAACCGAGCCATGCCGGGGCCGTGCCAAGCCAGCCGAGCACCGATCAGGAGGTCGATAAGTTTGCTTTTTTCCACTGAAACAAACCGAACTAGTCCTCCGACATCGGACGCAATGAACCGATATGCTCCCCACTGTCTATTCTCAATGCCTTCGCCAACCCGAACGAAACCGGCTCGGCAAAGCACGGTCAAACCAGTCCCATGCGGCGTGTGGGGAGGCGATCGTCCAGCGGCAAATATTAAAAGGGCGTGATACGTTGTACTGTACACACGTGCGTGATGGTGACGGCTTGCTGACCCAACAGATGGATCGGCGTCAGAGGAGGGGCTTGGTGCTGAGTTGCCAACCCATGAATCTCTGGGACAGCTCGGCATTCAACCACTCGTGTTTGACAAGGTGACTCCCTCTGGTGGTGTCAGCACTTAAGCATTTTACAATTCACATCACGACTCCATACTAATAACCCAACACCCGATTCACAAATCCGAAGGAGGCAACCCACCAATAACACTCCGCTATTGCTGATATAATTATCTACTCAGCCACCCGTACTCTTGGGTGTGCTCCTGTCCTGGGGGTGCTACGAGGTTGTTAGTCTCGGCCACCGGTCATCGACCCTGCAAGTGACATATTCCTGCTGAAGGCCACTGACTTCTCTTAGCAGTCCAAGTGAACTGGAAGAAAAAATTATATAATTTTATCGGTACCGAGGCTCCCGCAAGGCCATATGGCACAGTTTGGCGCCAGCTATCATAGAGTGCAGTTGTGTCACTAAAATTCTCTGCGGTGAGTGCAATGTCTTTTAAAAACAACGGCGTGATGCCTCTCTAAATAGAATTAACGCTGAAGCGCTTGCCCGTTCCGAAATTCAGCGATGAACACCGACTCTGCAGCTGCAACTGGAAAGGGTTAACTTGCAATGGAATAGATGAATGGACATGTGCAAAATCGTGCAAAAATCGTGGCGGAACGAAATCAGACAAGCGGTGTTTGCACCATTTTCTCGCCGCTCTGTGTTTCTAGGATGATGATGATCACATGAACTTCATTGTTGCTGCTTCCAACCTAAGAGCCGAGACATATGGAATCTCCCCAGCGGACAAACACAAGGTGTGGTTTCACATCCATCACTCGCAGGGGATCTCCGAGGAACTCTTGGTTGGGGGGAGGTTAACTCAACCCATCATCCCTCTGGGGTCAATAAAACGAGTATCACTTTGTATGTATGTTAAACTTACGTAGCCAACGGTGCTAATTGGAGGTGCGGGGGAAGGAAAACAAACAATAACAAAAAGCAGTTCTTGAATGAGTTATCAATTTAGATTGAAAAGTGCATAGCTCCAATGGCTCCCTAATACCGAAAGGAAGAGCGTTCCAGACGGCCGCAGAAGCGCATCTGAAAGCTCGCGATGCGCTGACCGTCGTCATTGTTCGATGGCCAGCCCGAAAGAAGCCGTCACTGCTGCCGCAAGGATGACTGGAGTTCGTGCGACGGTTTTGTGTTCTGTGCTCGCGCGCAGAGCAAGAAGATCGTCGGCAACATCATCCCCGCCATTGCCACGTGCACGGCGGCCGTGGCGGGGCTGGTATGCCTGCAGCTGTACGCGGTGGCGCAGGAGCGCGGGAACAAAAGAGATTTCCACAACGCGTTCGTTGACCTGGGGAGGTGCAAGTTCTCGATGGTCAATCCTGCAGGACCCACCGCTCACCAGGTGTCTCATCAGCGTTTTCTTCTTTCTTGTCGTACGGCTGATGTAGATGACTTTTTTTTGGTTAGCAGGTAAGGGCCACTGAGCCATATAGCTCTTTTTCAGAAGCAACCTGGCCACAAATGATAGCTCAGCGAAGTTGCTTATAACGTGGAAATTTATTGTAGCCAAAAAGTCAAAAACGCATGTTTCTAAACATGGAGGGAAAAACTGAACCCAGAGAAAACATAACCACGAGGAGAACACGAAACTCCAAATATACAGCAGGCGTCAGAGTCGGGATCAAACTCACGACCTGTATACCAAGCGAGGTAGTTAACATCTCGTTACCATAGCTGTTGCAGAGCAGAGCAACAGCTACAATTTTACATTCAGGTGGTCAAGCCAAATAACCGTGGGATGGATGATGTCAGCCTTCTCGTGGCCCATCCTGTTACGTGAACAAAGCATACAACGAAGTTCACAATGCCCTGTACGTAGACGACCGTGCTAATCGGAGGTGCGTGTGTTCCTGTCTGCCCCTCGGTGCAATTCCACGCGAATATCTCTCAACGATTCGTTTCAAACACCTCGACTTTTATTTCCTTTACTTAGGCCGTGTCCGTTTTCCTAATCCATCTGTTGTAGCAGGGTTAATATTCGTCAATTGAAAACCTCGTTTTTTTGCACCCTTGGTACGTTTCCTTGTGCTCGGTGTGCCACAGTATCTCAATAAAGAGTGGAATGTGTGGGATCGGATCGAGGTGGATGGGCGACAGGACATGACCCTACAGCAGTTCCTGGATCACATGAAGGTGAGATGGCGACACAAAAGAATGAGGCCAGCGGTGGCCAACCGGCATCTCCCGAGCCGCACGCGGCTCTTTAGTCCACCGCATCATGTGGCTCTATCGAAGGGGTATAACGTAGAGCGTACTCCTATGACAGTAGCAAAGAATAATGAATGTCTCCCGTGCTGTGCCGAAAACTGTCTATACATATACATACATGGCTCTTTGCAGATCTCACGGGGTTGGCTACCCCTGCTGAACTAGGGCGCTTATATAAAAATTAATGTTGAGTGACAATTGCGATCAATTCTTGGTGGGGGGAGGGGGTGCTTTTTGTTAACGGGGTATTTGTTTAAAAGAGCGCACACACACGGCTGTCGAGATCAGTGGCGTGGGCGTGATTGGCGTGTGGGCCCCGGGTTCACAGAATGAAATAGGGCCTTCTGTCCCAATTTCCCTTCCTCTTCGAAGCTCAGAGCCTGGGCCCTTTCGCCGGCCCTTGGGCCTCGGTGCAGTTATTTTCTTTTAAACACAAGTTTGCTGAGCACAGGTCCAAAGGTTTAAAATGCCAAGCAGACAGCAACAAACTGCACTGTCAAAGCTGCAATAGATAAAGAGCGGAACGCATGTTTGAAATGAGCGAGATTATTACGAGAGCTTGTCCGACCTGCTGTGTGGTGGATGAGTGAGTGGGTGAGTGAACCTGTTGTTCTGACCCGCATCGTGGTGTTGGTTACAACACCACATGACATGAAACGGTCTGTCTGGCAGACCGAGTCTTCAACATGGGTGATGGAGGAGGAATCGACGAGTGAAAGTTCACAGGAACAGTAACCATGGTCGTAGTAGTAGCGATAGAAGAGTGATAATGAGACGACTTACCGCCGGTGAGCGTATGACTGGAGTCAATCAGTAAGTGCTGGATCATCATTCAACTGGATTATTTTACGTTAAATTATATCAGGTGCGGTGAGGTAGGAATTGGGTCCTCCATCCCAGATATGAGAGCAGTTTTCTAACTTTGGCCGATTTGTGCTTTGTATAGTGGTATTAATTATTCAGAGTTAAAGGAGACTTTGGCAGACAAGAAAGCCAAAAGTTTATTCGATGCTGCCTTAGCCAGATTAGTAACACAGCCATTCCATGACAGGTGACATGAGATTGTTGCGCCAAATAGATTAATGACTTTACTATTATGGCTAAAAATATAATTGTTACATATGATGGGAGGTAACCGTGGAATTGGCAGTCTTACGTGATATTATCATTGTTGTACTGCCTGCATGCTCAACACCTATGCCACTGGTTCAGGCTCAAGTCAAAATCTGTCCGGAGTTTATCATGCTTAAACAAATGGTTACTGGCAAACATTGGCACAGAGAGGTACACACACTGTACTGGCGGTCTGCTCTCTCACATTCCTCACCTCCCAGCATGAGAGAAACTAATGCTAAACCGAACTATTTTTTATTTTACCAGGTAAGGCCTACTGAGCTATATAGCTCTTTTTCAGAAATGTATAGCAGCCAAATACTCGATAAAAGCATGTTCCTAAATGTGGAAGGGAAAACCGGAGGACCCGGTGAAAAATCCACATGACCACGGGGAGAGAGAGACACGCAAACTCCAAGTATACAGCAGCCGTTAGGGTCGGGATCGAACCCACGGCCTCCTGTATACCAGGCGAGGGAGTTAACATCTCTTAGCCACCGGGGCGCCCCCAAAGTTCTAGTTCACCGGTCTGTCGAGTGCGCAAAACCACCTCAGTAATCTGACTTTGAATGTCCCCTGACAGGCGGAGCACGAGTTGGTGGTGACAATTATACTCTGCTCTGGACAGTTGCTTTACCCGCCGTTGAACGATGATGACCTCTCAAAACCGTACGTATAATAATAGCCTGTTTTTTCGTAACGCAAATTTGATATACAACGCGATGAATGTTTTAGGGAACACATTGTTTGTAATTAGGGATGCGAATAGTATAAACGCGATTGAGTAAATGGAACTACGTCACGCGAGTAGGAATAAGCGGCCATACGGCTGCCTCGGTGTAGCGACCCACACGCCTCAGTCTTTGTTCGGCCTTTCATACGCATTTCACGTGTTATCGTGGACTGTGCTTTACCCTGCATGTCGCAGTGTTCTTCAGGAACGCAACCACCGCGTTATAGAACACTGTGGTAATAATAATGAGTTGCCTCTGATGGAGCCACCCTCCTTCAGGCTTGCGGCATCTTGAAGCGCTCTACACGGGATTAGCGACTCGCATCAACCTCCCGTCTCAAGACATTTGAAAGTTGGATCGTGGTGCCACGCGTGCGTTGTTGCTGAAGCATGTGTTTGTTTTTAGCAGGCTTTCTCAAATGCTGCCAATGCCGGCCGTGCCCGGTGCGAGATACTTGGAGCTCGTGGTGGCTTGTCACGGCATCGACAGTGAACAGGAACTAGACGTGCCACGCATCAAATACATCTTAGCCTGAGTTCATCAGGTGCGCAGGAGTTGCAGCAAACGGACAGCACCACTGTGTGCTTGTGTACAGCGAATGAATGATAGCGTCGATCGTGGTGAGGCTGCCAGGCCTGATACTGCACTAAAACAGATTAAAAGCACTCAAAATTTATTTTGCTGTAAATTTAACGAAATGTAAAATTGTGCACTTTTGTTATAATTCAAACATAAAAATGTGGGGTGCATTACAACAAACATCGCCGCCAAAGGTTTAATGTTTGCGAAGTACAACACGAGGACAGGTAGTCCTCTACTTATGATCGAGATGCGTTACGACGACCCCATCGTAAGTCAAAATATCGTAAGTCGAAGATGGCCTAGCCTACCCAGGAGTCTTAAAGAATGGTGATAATTTATCAACAGAGCAATTTACAGTACTGTACTGTATAAACTATATACTGTATGTATTTATTCATTACAATATTGTATTGCACAGTAAAATGTTAAGTAAAAAAAACAAGGTATATTCTTAGCCTACCTATATGAACTGCAACTTAATAGAAAGTTTTTTCAGGAAACAATCCTATCTGCGATAAAAACGTTTCACATGCATTGAACGTATCGTATCGTGGTAACCCTAAAATGAAATCGCTAAAGCTACGTATCATACATGCATTGAACGTACAGTATCGTACCTCGTACGTTGCTGTTTGCCTGCCACGCGAAATTTAAAATATTTTACAATTTTGTCATCGCTATCGCCATCGTAAGATCAAAATATCGTAAGTCGGACCATCGTAACTCGGGGACTATCTGTACATCGATTATACCATAATAAATATTAAAATACATAATGGTGTATTTTACTGCAGCGTTCACTTCAAGTTTTCACCATCCGACACTCGCCAACAGCGTGTGGTCCTTTTAAACAAATGCCGCTGCGTTTCCGCAAAACCCGCCTGGCGCAGTGCAGCAGCAGCACTTGATGGGAGCCAAGTTCACTGCGAGTGATCCCTGCACTTGTGCGGGGGGGGGGGGGGTGCACTTCCATGAATAAGTGATTCACCCTGCAGAGTCGTCAAGCACAGCAAGAGAGGGCTGACAGACCCCAGGTGCCGTTCGAGAGGAACCACCTTAAACAGACTGTTGGGGCAAGTGCTGTTAGCGGGCACCTATTTCATGTACGTAGAAGTTCTTGTAGCCTAGCGGACCGCCAGAAGTCCACGGACCACAGATTGGGAACCGTTGGTGTAGGCCAGTGTTGATAATTGTTTTTTTACCCTTTTATCTGGCAACAAAACTGACACCTTTTTTTACAAGGAGTCATGTTTGCATTGACCACAATACCTGCGGTCGGAATGCAAACAAAATAACATCAAAAAAGATAAAAGGGTAAAAAACCAATTATCATTTTGCTACTGGCAAAGGAGGTTCCAATGGTGTAGGCCAGTGTTCTTCATCTGTAAGGACTACGGGCCACTCGTGGCCTTTCGTACGGCTTCTGATGTGCCCCCCCCATTCCCAACAATACACAAATGTGAAAACACCCCCAATCATCAACCTGTCAAACCCCAATGCTTTAAAATGTGTGGCGGCCCTCACACTGATGATGTCTTATCGGCGAGAGGCGTACAGCTGAAAATTAATGAAGATGAAAACGGTGTAGACAAGTGAGTGGTTGACCGACATGCCTTGAATGCCGTGAATACACCGTAACATCGCCATCTACTGGCAGCCGAATGTGTAAATACCGTACCCTGCACAGGGATAGCTGCCGCTGAGGGCCCCCCCCCCTGGCTAGACACTGTAGCAGGGCATTGCGATGGTTGAGATGAGGCGTACTAAATCTAACATACTTTACAAAGAAGCACTAAGCAAAATAGACAACGGTGGTTTCATTAAAGCTTAAAAAAAACCGCAACACTTTATTTACAGACAGCGATTTCATTACGGATGACACACGGTTTTTGGATCGACTCTTTTCCACAATGTAAAATATACGATGTTAAATCACAGCAAACTTTGTTAGCAGACGAAACATCTACACCATGCACGAGGGATGAGTTGGACTGGAGGCTTCAAGGACGATCGTGCATGGTGCTGCCAAGCGGTGTTACTGGGGCAGTAGCTATTCCAGCGTAACTACCATTTGTGTTAAAAACATATACAGTAAACCTTGGATTGCGAGTAACTTGGTCTGCGAGTGTTTTGCAAGACAAGCAATTTTTTAAATAAATATTAATTTGATAAACGAGCGAGGTCTTGCAATACGAGTAGTACGTGTATACGTTGTCTACCGAGCATCACGTGATCACAACTGATATACGAGTGCTTTGGATTTCAAACACGTTTCCAGAACGAATTATGCTCGCAATCCAAGGTTTTACTGTATATATGTTGGATGCTTGAGATGAATTGACTGTAAAAGGGTGTTAGGGCGGCAGCAGCAGTAGGTTAATAACGGGCTGTCGAGTTATGTTGTTAGATGTACCAGCTGAAAGTCACACGCACGCAGCAGTGAGGCAGCATCACACGTTGTCGTGCGGACTCTCCACCAAGACTAAAACTGATCTCAGCCGGAGTCACCTTAGGTAAAGGTGCAGCCCTGCAATCGCGTACTTGCGCTACTGCTGGCGGGAAGGGCCTCCAACAATTGTCAATGCTCACGCGACGTACCGATTAACTGTGGTTGATCAGTTTTACACTGCCGCTTGGAAAGAAACTTGCCCCGTTGTTTGCAGCTGCCGCGTCGCGAAATCGAACCAGCGACCTCTGGATCGCCTCCGTGTGCGAACCATGACACCACAACGGCAGCATGCCTGGGGGGATAGGGGGGGGGGTTACCTCGCCACCGCACGAATGTCAAATTATCAGAATTTTGCCGTTAAAAGCAACCATACAATTACTGCTTGGATCTAATGGCCACGCTAAGTTAGCCACGGGTGCATGGTGTAGACTGACACTCAACCACGTTTAAGTTATTTACGTTCAATAAATACCATTTTTACCCATATACATTTATATTTTTCCATGTAAACATGAACACACACGGACACGTGACAACCTTCAAAGTGGATCGCAGGAGGACAGCGGTCAATTGTATCTGCAGAACGGCAATGGGAAGACTTGCGCCTGCCATTAACGAGGCAGGAACCACTGCAGCTACTTTTCTACGATGCTTTGTGCCCGTTCAATGTTTCCATGCTAACTGACCATATACCAACATCATTTTTTTACATCCAATTTGTATTTGCACACAATAATGCTCCACTAACAGGCTGCAGCTGGTGCAAGAACCATGACACAACACCACACCTGCCTAGTTCTCCATTGGCTGCCTAATAAGCCACGAACAAAGTAAACAATTCTGTATCTCATCATTCGACCTCCTTTGCCAGTACCAAAATATAATAGGGGTTTTCCCCTTTTTTCTGGCAACAAAACTGAAACCTTTTTACAAGGATTCATGTCTGCATTAACCACAATACTTGCAGTCAAAATGCAAACAAAAACACACTATGATAATATATGCATTGTCCTTGAAACTGATTGGTCCACACCAAGGGACGGCTTTCTTTTGAGCCTCGACCCAATTGGTGCTCGAGCCGTCCCTTGGTGTGGACCAATCAGTTTCAAGGACAATGCATATATTATCAGTGTGTTTTTTGTATGCATTTTGACTGCAAGTATTGTGGTTAATGCAGACATGAATCCTTGTATAAAGGTTTCAGTTTTGTTGCCAGAAAAAAACCTATTACACAATTCTGCTTCTCACCTACCGAGCCCTTCGCGACGTTAGCCCTGCATACCTCACTGATCTACTAACCCCACAAGCTCCTCCGTGGAATCCGAGATCCTCCGATTCTGGTGTTTGTTCCTCTTATCCTTTAAAGAGGCCTAAAAGAGGCAACTACCCTGGTTGTAAGTCTAAACTAAAGACGCAACTTGTTCTCTCTAACTTTCAATACAATTTGTAGTCCACCGCCACTCTGTGATTTTTTCACTTCATATCCTTGACCTCTACATTTATTCTCGTAATCTACTGTGCAAGGGTAGTAGACTTTGTCAATACATTTCTGTCTTTAGCCATTGCCACGACTGCTCTTATAATTTCCCCAAAAATTTGACTTAAAAAAGGGCATTCCATCGATAAAATGACTATGGATTAGAACACGTTCCTTCGGAGTGGGCAGGTAGGAACTTGGTTGGACAGCGCATTCGTGCGATCCGTGTCATGCGGCGCGTCACGTGGTGCCGAGCCCGCCCGAAGCGCTCTATGAATTACGAATCGAGGGTGTGGCTATGCATGACAGACAAATAATCCCTGGTGGGCAGTGTGGAACTGTTGCTCCTACCTGTAAAATTGTTCCCCTCTATCTTGCACCATTTGTAAGGAAGACAAGATAAGCTGTTGAGTCGCCACTATTTGAACAGCCACAGGTGACAAGACATGACATCGATTTCCCATTACAATGGACCGATGACAAACGTTTTGTCACTTGCTAGCGCAGCCCTCGCAGTAACTGGCTTGCCGAGTGATGGCGCCTTTGGAATTGTCGCCGTGATTTTTTGAACGCAGATGCTCCGCAAGCCACGCCAGGCCCACGGCGCTGGTGAAGCGCCTCGGTGAAGGTGTCCCTTGGGAGCGTGGCTGCATCCCAACGAGCCCCTATAATCGCGACAAACTTTGGCGTTCGTCTACTCCTGCATCGTGGCGAGATGTGCAAGTGGGACAGAGGAACGTCACTGACGCACATTACAATCGCGTTTCAAGCCCAGAAAATGACTGCGGCCTGGATACTTCCTCTGTGTACGTCACATTCCTCTGTCCTGTCGTACACCCCCCCTCCCCCCCCATATCTACCCAGTGGCAGACAAACACCAAGTTTTGTCACGGGCACTCAACTGCTCCGTCATCTCCGTTTAACCTCGTCAACCACACGTCATAACCTTCCACATTTGTCCGCTCTGCCAGTCCTGGACCGAGCTTTCCCCTTCCCTTTCCCTCTCTCCCCCACACCCGTCTCCTCTCTTATTATTCATATTATTGCTCATATTATTGCCCATCCCTCTAACTTCTTACAGCCTCTGTTGTTTTTGAAAAAAATGTTTGGATGAATCAAAATTTTTGCGGGCATTCCCTATTTATATATGACTGAGAGTAGTAAATCCCTCTGCAGGAAAATCGTGAGACTCAAAAACTTCCTTATGATGACCGAGTGTGCTTCTTTCTACAAAATAAATACGCACCGCCGTTTCCGTGGAGCATCTGGAGATGCGATGGCATGTATGTATGTTGAACTTCTTTCGCACTGTATGTACCCAACCGTTGATAATATGGACGTTAAATAAACCCACACCGCATTGTGTAACGGTACTGTTAAAAAAAATATGGGAGGCAATCACCATGACGAAAATGTCTGCCAAAAACATTCACCTGGTGATGTTAGAATGGAAAGACAAGAACGTTCGTTTGAAGTGTACTTCAAAACTACATGCCGGGCCAATTGGACACGTAGTATCTGGGCAAGGTTCCTTCAAAGAGACGCTCCATCCACGTGTCCAGTCCGGTCAGTGCCCACTCCGGCCGGAACAAGCTGCCTGCGGAGATGCCTGCCGACTGCTGACGAGCAGATTTCTCGTTTCCGGGTTCAGACGACGATGTGGAAGAGGAGCGACGACGTTCATCTGCGGACACAGGCGGCGGTGTTGATTTTCCGCTGGTAAAACGTGTAACGCACACGCGCGCGCACGCGTGCGGCATCAAGCTGAACAACGTCACTTTTCGTCAGAGTGCTTTGGGAAGTGCCCTCTGCAATCACTGCGTGCGTGGAACAGAGATCAGAGAGCTGGACGCCAAACTTAAGCGACATGTAAATGAGTTGTTGGTCGATGCAGAAGTCTGGAAGGGAACTTGTTAGGCAAGTTTTGTAGGAAAAAGTGGTTGCGCTTGGTAGGATAGTTCTCTTGCTTCACCAGTTAAGGCCCACTGAGCTATAGAGCTGTTTTTCAGAAGCGACCTGGCCACAGATTATAGCCCAATGAAGTGGCTTATCGTGTGGAAATTTATAGCAGGCAAACACTCTAAACCCATATTGACTCTAAATGTGGAGGTAAAAACTGGAGGACCCAGAGAAAAATCCACGTGACCACGAGGAGAACATGCAAACTCCAAATATCCAGGCGTCAGGGTCGGGACGAACCCACAGCCTCCTGTATACTAGGCGAGGTAGTGGACATCTCGCCACCGTGGCACCCACATGTTACCGTGACAGGCACGAGAGTGGTCTCCAGAAGTCTGGTGACCAAGGGGGAAGTCCTAGGAGAGAGGCAGTCAGTTATGGGCCAGAATAAGTGTGGACTTGAACAGGAGCAGGGAGTCAACAGCATGAATGGATGGGGGAAGGGGGCAACCAAGGAGTTTGAGGTGACCTCCCACTGGGCGAAGGTCGACTGGGGGCTTCGATAGAATGTCGTGTTTGCTGAAGCGTAGAGTGTGTGGAGGGGAGTAGAGTGAGATGAGAGGGGAGAGATAGGAGAGTGTCTGGAGGGGACTAGAGTGAGATGAAAGGGGAGAGACAGGAGAGTGTGTGGAGGGGAGTAGAGTGAGATGAAAGGGGAGCGACAGGAGAGTTGTCTGGAGGGGACTAGAGTGAGATGAAAGGGGAGAGACAGGAGAGTGTGTGGGGGGGAGTAGAGTGAGATGAAAGGGGAGAGGTAGGAGAGTGCGTGGAGTGGAGTGAGATGAGAGGGGAGAGGTAGGAGAGTGCGTGGAGGGGACTAGAGTGAGATGAAAGGGGAGAGACAGGAGAGTGTGTGGAGGGGAGTAGAGTGAGATGAAAGGGGAGAGGTAGGAGAGTGCGTGGAGTGGAGTGAGATGAGAGGGGAGAGGTAGGAGAGTGCGTGGAGGGGAGTAGAGCGAGATGAAAGGGGAAAGACAGGAGAGTGTGTGGAGGGGAGTAGAGTGAGATGAAAGGGGAGAGGTAGGAGAGTGTGTGGAGGGGACTAGAGTGAGATGAAAGGGTAGAGACAGGAGAGTGTCTGGGGGGGAGTAGAGTGAGATGAAAGGGGAGAGGTAGGAGAGTGGACGAAGGAGAGTAGAGACAAGAAGTGAGAGGTAGGCAGAAGTGAGTCCATAGGATATCCTGAAGACTTTGATGTACGTGAAGCAGTGCATTGACCCAAACTCCAATTCACTGGATTAAAATACCTTTCAAAACTTTATTCATGACAGCAAAAGCCATCTTGTCATCGTCCGTGCTGGCCTGCTGCGATATCCTCGACTCCAGGTTGGAGCGCATGATGCAGAAGTACCGGCGGTGCGGATTGATGGCGATCACGCACACGGGCGCGTTCCTCAGCGTGATCTCGGCAGGGTCACACCCTGGCAGGGACTCGCATCCCGCGGCAGAGAGAACCGCGTTCACCCAGTCGGCGTGCTTCTTCAGAGATACAAAGCCAAAGTGCAGGTAGCGGTTGCTAGGGTTGAAACACAAGACACAACGGAAGTAACGGTGAGAATTGCACATTTGCAACCGTTTATATTTTCGCAAGCGTCAATATTTTGCGTCTTCACGTGCGTGCAAAGCAATTTTAATTTAAGACGAGTAGGCATTTGCGACCAATATTACGGTCCACAGTTGATTTTCAGGACGGATCCCCATAAGGAAAATGGTGTGTCGTACAGCTTCAACCATCTGACACGGCCAGTGAATAACGAATTGGCATATTCTGTTTAAGTGACAAACCTTACTAATTGGCTGTGTCGGGTGGTTGTGGGTTTAACGACACATTTATATTTACGTGATTTAACCCCTCAAAAAAGAACCTATATTACCAATGAATAAAGTTGTCACGTGAACAAATGCTGCCAATGTATTACTGTTTCAGCACACCGGTGTGTCGACGAGACATTCACATACATATAAAATTAAGTTTTGTATATACATGCAAACTAGTTACACTAATGTTTGTGGCCCCCATATGCGAAGAGTTAGGAGAATGACGCCTTGATATGGCCTTGTATGGCTTTCAACAGTGGTAGAGTCACGGGTGACTTTTATCTGCGCACTTGCAAACGTACAAGAGCAGGTTATGAACGTTCTAACGGGAATGAGTAAACAAGGCAGAATATGGAAGGACACTCGACTCTTGACAATAACACTGTGTGTGGCGATAGCAGATTGCGTCACCGCTTGGATTTTTGAGGAGCAGTCCCAACACTCACCGGGAAAACGGTTTCATGATGGAGGCGAACACCGAGAGATAGTGATGCGGTGCCATGGCAATCAGTAGCACGGTCATATGACCCGGACGAAGGCCACCCAAGTAGCTCGAGCAAAGGTCGCCCGTCAGCTCCGTTAGTTCCAAGTTCTCTCCGCCTGGCCTGCGCATCAACCGTCGCAGTGAGCGCTTGTGACCAACAGGGGTAACAAAAGTAGCCGAGCATCGTCCCGCAAAAAATGGCACAAGAAGAGCACAGATGTGCACATCGTACCTCAAACTCAAAACTGTACTGAAAAAATCACAACAAAAATCCCGCGCTCAATTGCTTTGAGATGCGATTCAACATCTCTCTGGCGTCCCCCAAAGCAAACACAGAATTCAAGAGATGGCCGGGTGGTTCGGCAGTCCAAGTGCCGAGCTGACGCCGCTAGGATCTTGGGTTCGTATGCAGGTAGGCACCTGTGATTCAACTAAGTTGTCAGTCGTGGTGGAGTTTATTGTCTCGGTCTGGTCACTAAGTACACAACAAAAACACGTTTCTTTCTGCATGTAATTCGATTAAAGGCCAGCTCTCAGAATTCAACAAATATTGGGTTGACTATCATAAAACAAACTTTACTCTCAGTGGCAAAGTGCAAAGTGCTGCCCCCAGCTATGCACATTGAACTTCCTTCGTGAAAGAAGTTCAACATACATGCATTGAAGGGATCTCAGAAACAGCCCTGCGATATCCGCTAATGTGATGGATTGCACGCTGCGATAGGTCCAAGTGGATTTTTCTATCTCATGACACAATCTGGCAATCGTACAATCAGGACATCGTTTTGACTGTTAACATAAGTGGACTTGGGTAGGATGCATCGCTAGAAGGAATGACAGCTGGTGGTCGAGACTAACAAAGGAGTGGCAGCCAAAGGCCAGATCGCGCCCAAGACAAAGCAGCTCTCGTGCAGAAGCTATCTTGACCATTTCATCAAAAGACTGTGATACCTTGAGAAAGCCTTTATCCAGCAGTAAGTTGATCGTGTGGTAACTCACGGTGTTTGCGAGGAGGTTGCCGGCCGTGGTGAACTCTGAGGGCTCTGCCTCCGTTCCCTCTCCCTGCCACTGCTGGGTGTGTCACTGAGATACGCACATAGAAAACACGGCGAACAAATATACACAAAGGCACGTGTACAATCATCCACGCGCGGCCTTTACAGCACAATGGGCAAATGCTGTTGGTGACCACCCATTGTTGTCGGCAGAGTGCACGAAGGGGTCGCGTGGTCAACACCACGTCTGGCCGCCTTCGTCACCCCAGTGCTGATGTTTACACACCACGTCAAGCAAAGTACTAATTTAACGCCGAGTCGACCTAGGGGAGGGCCCAAGAGCGGTTCAGACATTCACCACTGATGGTAACCGTTGCCAGGAATTATACTTAGGTATTTTGAGTTCATAGTGCTAACCACTACTGCTCCATGCAAACACACACGTGAAACATGCATGCGCAAACCTTGAACATGTGGTCTGCTGGTCATGTGACGCATGGGTCGACTCACGTGTGAGAATCACTTGCAACTTAGAGCAAATTACGTACAACTCATATGCCTATGTTGCATTCATGCTGTAGTTCAAAAAGAGGTACAAATGGGACAAACTCCACCGCCCCCCTCCAACCCCTCCCTCAACCCCCTCCATGAAACATTACAAACGGTATGGCAAAAGTAAAACCGGACAAAATCCATTCTTGAACCAAACCGTGACCCCGAATCGTGACCCCAAAACCGTGACCCCAAAATCGTGACCCCGAATCGTGAACCCCAAATCCGTGACCCCGAATCGTGACAAAACATTGAAGCGCTGGAGGAGTGAATCGTTAACAACACTAAAACCAATTGGCGCTTTGTTCTCCGAGCGCACTGGCTCCCGTTGGAGAAATGGGGAATTTCCAGAACTGGCCCAGGAACTCCGGTCAAAGGTCAGTGGTTTACTAGAGCCTGGAGATGCACCTACACATTTCGTTAGAGAGCAGGCGTTTTATGACCCTGAATGTTATGTGAAGCAGTGGAGTGGGGACAGCACTCTTCTGTGAGCATACAGTGACAGCAGCCATGAATGAATCAGGATATTTATTCATACTGGAGGAATCTGATGAGCTATAAAGCTTTTTCACAGATGTCCAGTCAGACTATGCAGTGGCTTCCGTAATAGTATTGACACGATGCATGCCAAATGTGCTTGGCGAGTACCTGAAAGCATTGATGATGAAGGTTCCAAAGAGCACAAAGAGGACAGAGAAGACGAGAGAGAGCACTGGCATGAGCTCCCGCCTGAATTGGGACAAAGCACACACACACACACAACTTTACTTGTGTTGTCTTAGAACTAAACCACAAGGAGACGTCTGCTGGAGGCAACGCGTTTATTGTAACAACTCTTAACACTCTGTTAACACTACTCTGTTAAACACTACTCTGTAACACACTACTCTACAGGAAGGGGTACGGCCCCTTTCACCCGATAGCCTAAGGGAGAGACAGCCTCCCTTCTAGTGTCCTACACATGTCGGGCTACGCTACACGCCAGCTACGCTACACGCCGAGCTCTTGCGACGGCGGATAGCGGAAGACTGGACAGACCCATCCCGGGGTACGCAGGGTGTCCGAGCTACCTCGGCTCCGCTACAACCGGCTCCAACGAGAGCCTCGGTTGAGGGTCCCCGGGTGCTGGTCCAGTCTTCAGGTCTTTAGATGTCTTCAAGCTTGAGTTGGCGAACACTGCCCGGCCCGTCCAGAGGGCTGGCCTTGTATCCCCAGGTGGGGGTCAACCCTCCCCTCATGACCCCCCCTCCAGAACCTTCTAGAAGGTCTTAGAGGGCCTTAAATCTTAAGGGGTCTTATGAAGTGGTGGGGGGACCCCCCCCCCCTCAGCCCCCAGCCCCTGGGGGGTCTGGGGTGTCAACCTCCGGTCACCGGGGGGGGGGGGGGGGGGCGGGGGTTTGACCTTCGGTCAACCCCTACGCACCTCGCTCTCTCTCGGCTGCCCCCTGTCGGCCCGTGAGCAGGTCAGCTACCTACAGCACCTTATGGCGCAACACTTGCAAATGCATTTGACTCGTGCATCCGTGTCTGTTTATACATGAGTACAATAATCGCCCGTATCTAATCAAATTATTACCTTTATATAGCGTCGTTCGTGTAATCGCTGAGGAACCACAGACAAGAGCTGGAAGGCTGCCAGGCGGTGAGACGTCGCCAACAATTGTTTTTCAGTTGTCTATCTATGAAGTTATCAGCCAATTCGGGACAGATCCGCATAAGGAAATGTATAGATTTCAAGCCACAACTGGTGAGCATTTCAAAGGGATGTATGACCTGCAGGCCTGTGGCTGCTGGCAATCTTGCTGTTTGTATAATTTCCACAATTAATGACCTTTATGGTTTATTTTCAGAATTTTATTGTTTTACAAAGCTTGAATGTCAATTAATACTTCCCCCCAAAACATATTTTCGCGAACATTAATTTGACTAACACCAAATTTCTGCTGAAACAAAACTCTTGACTTATGGAATGTAGCTCACTGCCGCAGATGTACCAATAATTATAAAGGAGTATTATTGCGTGTGAAATAAAACAAAAACCACCTACCATCGGATCAGATGCATTTCTGACCAAATGTCCGAGAATATATCTTCAAGTGCACGATACCAACGAACTATTATATTCTGAAAGGCAGCATGTGCACATGAACACAACGATCGTCGGTTAGCCTTACAGAACCATAAAGGACAAGGTGCTGTGGGTTAAGCACCCATTAAGGATTGCACGGCACGCGTGAGTACGTACTGCAACAACACCATGCATGTCCCGCCGACCTTTAACCTCTCTCCAGTGCCGGTGTGATCCCACCGTACAAGGTACACATTTAAAGGCCGAGTTCACCTTCAGGAGACCCTAGGACAGTTTCAGACTCCGCTTGGCCAATGTTGTGGAAGGTAGGGGAATAAAATTTGATGGTTGGGATCATTGAACTAACCACTGCACCATCACTCCTTCAGGACGTACACAAAGATACAGATGGTCCGCCACGTACAGCCAATTACCCTGCAGGGGTTTATCCTTGTGTTTTGACCGCCGTGACTTGTGCAATTATCTGCATGTGTTTAGCGGATAAGAGTTGATACAAATTCCTTCAATTATCTGCAATTTATCCCCCCCACCCAGCACCCCACGAAAATTCTTGGCTCTCCCAGCAGATTCTAAGTTGTGTGATTTTATTTCCCCACCCCGTCCACATAACCAGTTCTGCTGTAGTTAATTTCATATCGTCAGTCATGCTTTGTGATCATTGGTGGGTAGACCGTAGTAACTGTCACGGTTGATGACAACCCTCGAGCATTAGTCAGGGTTAACTAGAATAAAATACAAAATTATGCATTTAAATTTGTTTACACTGATGCATCACACTGGTGCACACATCCAAACAAAACATACATCCACACTCATCAGAACCCACACACAAAAGACAAATATCCCCCCGTATAGACGTTAACAGACTGTTGGGGCAAGTGCTCTTAGAAGGAGCACCTGTGAAGGCTGGCCCTGCACGAGGACTTGGGTGGCCAGCACCATGCCTGGCCGCCTTTGTCTCCCTAGTTGCGATGTTTACACACCGCACCAGGTATTCATTTGGATCGACCTAGGGGAGGACCAGGACCGGTTCAGATAATTGTCACTGGTGTTGGCCGTGATCGGGAATCGAACTCGGGTCACCGGGCTCGTACCGCAGCGCGGTAACCTCTACTACACTACCGCTCCCCACCATAGCCCCAAACCACGCTGACACACACACAGCCTTTCCACAAATACAGCATGAGCAAGGAACACGGCACATACCGGAGTGTTCTCGTCGTGTAGATGTGGCAACGTGGCCAAGTAAGGGAGCTTTTTCATTCCTCTGCCGACGATGTCATCGACGCGTTCCAGCAGGAAGTGCACATCCCATTCCAGGCCCTTCCAGTGGTCGGCCACCAACTCGCAAGCAGCCCTGCCAGATGGACTCTCTCGCCAAACGGCAATTACCTGGCGGCAGGCGAGGCGAGAGAAAGCAGTGCAGAACGTGAAATAAAATTGAACGGCTTAGTAGCCCCGAAGAATGAATTACATCTAGGCACCAGTTTATACTGTTGTGGCTATTTTGTCAATCCACTGCTGGATGGATGAGGGGCCCTAACCCCGTCACGGTGGTGAGTGCGGGTTGGGGACGGCATTTAGCAAAGATGTGAGAGCGTGGTACAGTACAACTAAAATCTGCTGGCAACGTGGCCCCGGTCAAGCTACACGCATGAAACCGTATTCACGAGGATCGATCATTTACGACCTATTCAAATTATTATCGCCAGTTACACTAAATCCGTTACATTTCATCACGGTACAAACAAGACAATATCAGGGCTACTGGGCTGCAGGCCCAATGCTCTGACGTCATTGCACCAAGGCTTCATCAACCCGCACCGAGCTGCGTGGTGAATGACAGTGGCGCTGTAGGAGGGCTTCGTCCACAGCAGTGGATCGACAAAGGATCTGCGCATCATGGTGTTTGAGTATTGGCGTGTTCGCGTGTGTGCGAGCCTGCATGTGTGCGATTGTTCGCCTGTGCGCGTGTTCGGCTGTGCGCGTGTTCGAATGTGCTCGTGTTCGAATGTGCGCGTGTTCGCCTGTGCGCGTGTGCAAGTGTGCGTACGCTGTTCTCCCCGGTTGCGCCCACAGCGTTGGCGAGCGCCCTCGTGAAGTCGGGCTGCGTGTCCCGCGACACGTGGATGAACTGCGCCTTGGCCTGCATGGAGGCTGCATTGAGAAGCCCAGAGATGAGCGCCAAGTCTTCCGACACCAGAACCACGCACGGCCTAGAGGAAAGGGATGCATTCGTTAACTTCCGTCGAGAGAAAACGCACACAGCTGAATTTTAAAATGCTTTCAAGTTCAGGTTGAAAGCGGAATTTCATTTAGCTACGTCTGCCTGTCCGTCTGTAAAAAGGGGGTTACACAATAACTCTCATGAAGACGATCCAATATAATTTAAACTTATAGTGTGAAGTTGCAATAAAAAAACTTAACTAAAAGGATGGATTTGGCGTGCCAGGCCATAGCAGCCAAATGCTCTAAATGCATGTTTCTACATGTGGAGGTAAAAACCAGAGGACCCGGAGAAAAATCCACGCAACAACAAAGAGACATGCAAATTCAAAATATATAAGTGTTAGGGTCGGGATTGAACCCACGACCTCTGGTACATCAGGTGAGGGAGATAACATCTCACCACCGTGGCGCCCTATACATATATATGTAACGTGCCAAACACATTCCTGCGGAGGGAGCTGGTAGGAACGTTGGGTTGCTCGGTCAATGGCCAGGGTCAACGGCGGCGTGGTGTATTCCGCAAATATGCCCGACTGTGAGGGCGGGCACAAGCCGGCGTGAGTAGGTTAAACGTTGAGTTTTTTAAGGGCACCACGGGGTGACCAGCCCCTCCCCACCCAGCCCCACCCCTCCCACCCCCCACCCTCCCCACCCTCCCAATCCAGCCCCTCCCCACCCTCCCCACCCAGCCCCTCCCCACCCTCCCCATCCAGCCCCTCCCCACCCTCCCCAACCAACCCCATCCTCCCCACCCAGCCCCTCCCCACCCTGCCCCTCCCCACCCTGCCCCTCCCCAACCAGGCCCTCCCTGCACGACGGACGGACACAATAATCCCCTGTGGGCTGGTGTAACCAGGAGGTTCCTACCAGTATAAACTTCAACGTGTGTCTGGTCACATCTCCCCGTGTTAGGGAGGCACCTGTTCTGCTGGAAGGCCCCTCGAGCAGGGCACAGCTCCTCAAAGACCTTCTGACTGGTCAGTCGGGGAACCACCAAGAACTTGTTCCTCGAGATGATTTCATCCAGAGCCTCCCTGTTGATGTCTTTCGTCTGAAAAAGGGAAGGTTCAATTCAGGTGCAGTCCTGCAAATGCCTGCTCATGCCACTGCTCAGATCCTCAACTAAAGGGAGCTCTACGGGGTGCTTGGCCTACTCTTTCGCACGTTGGCCAGACATCTCGGAATGTGTGGGAGGACCAACGCTTTACCCCACAAATGACAAAACACCCCACCGTCCTGTCAGAACCAATGGTTTCAAATGTGTGGCGGCCCTCACACTGATGTCTTATCGGTGAAAGTGGCCCCCTTCTAAAAATGTGTGAAGAACACTGGTTTCGAGTATTTGGCTGCTATATATTTCCACATGATAAGCCTCTTCATTGATCTATCATTTGTGGCCAAGTCGCTTCTGAAAAAGAGCTACGTAGCTCAGTGGGCCTTACCTGGTCAAATAAAAATTATTTTTTTAGTTTAATAGTTTAAGGATTTTTGATGGATTATCGCATCGCAGGACCACGAGAGATGGCGGCGGTGGATCGAGCAGTGGATCGATCATGCCTGATCATGATGTAAATTGATGATGCTGATGAATAGTGAAATGTTAACACAAACTCGTCGAATCGGGACACCTGAGTGAGCAGCCTGGAGATGTACTGCATAGAAGGAGCATGCTGTGAGTAATCGATGATGACAACGATGACGGTGATGATGACAAAGACGACAACGATGACGACGATGAAGATGATGACGACGATGAAGATGATGACAATAATGAAGATGATGACAATGATGACGACGATGATGACAACGATGAAGAAGATGACAACGACGACGGGAGCGGCGAGACCTGCAGGATGTCGGCGGGCTCCACGGGGCTCTCTTTGAAGAGCAGCAGCGTCGGGGAGAACGCGTTCACCCCGAAGCGGCGCAGAGTCTCCTTGTGGTGTCCCCCGGAACCGAAGGCGAACCCGAACCGCACGTAGTCCCAGTACGCGAATGCCGTGAGCTGGCGGGAGAGGCATAGTCCGTTCGGTCACTGGCAACACCCGACTAGCCCTGGCATTCAAATCCGTGGTTGTACTGTCGTACGGCTCTCTCCCATGAGTTTCTTTCGGGCTAAATCGCGGTGTTGTTTAAAATAACGATGTTCGACGTTTCACTGAATAAGCTCTTGGCACACATTGCGGGGGGGGGGGGGGGCGCGCGAAACGTAGAACGTCACGCAGAACAACACGGGGTTTCAACCTGAAAAAAAAAATTCATCGGGAGAGCCAGCAGCGGGAGAGAGCTGACAAGAATAAAAAAACGAAGCGGATAAAACGTCGCGAAGGCCACAATCAACACGGGTCCTGGTGTGCGCGATGCACGGTGTAAACGTGGCCCACCTTGTAAAGCAGGGACGGTGTCGTGCGTGCGGAGAAGAGCAGAGCGCGCGGCTTGCTGTCACTCACGGCACCCTGCAGGAACGGCTCGATTGAGTCGGCATCAACCTGTGGGGCGGTGAACACGAACGTAGAGAAGGGTGAGTGGGGCTCGGGGCGGGAGCCATCACGACGAGGGATGATGGCCCGGCGGCTCGGCACTCAACGACGTGGAGTGGCGGACAGAGGAGCACGACGCGCCCGGCAGAAGGCCCAACGCGGAGATGGTGTGATAAAATCACGTCGCGTGCAGGAGCTAGACCAGCGGTAGGCAATCCCTAGACGAGTCGGTGGGCCACAGGAGCGGCCCCTCCTTCGCCTCGGTGGGACGCAAGCTTGACATCTTGCTTGTGCACTAATCATGACCTCACGCGACATCCTAGACTGGTGTTCTTCATTGCAAGGCCCACGAGCCACTGGCGGCCCCTGGTGGCCCTTGACGCGTGGCCCCTGACAATACACTAATGTGAAAACACCCCTTGCAGGCAGTGTGGCGGCCCTCACACTGATGTCTTATCAGCAAAAGTGCCCCCCCCTCTGAAAATGTGTGAAGAACACCATAGACATACTGACATCGGGCCACCACAAGGGGTTCCAAGGGATGCGTGCAGCCCGCTGGTCGCAGGTTGCCCATCACTCAACTACATGGATTGCTGTGTAGATCACATGCACCCACCCAACCACCCAATCCAACCACCCCAACCCAACCATCCGCAACCCACCCACCCCAACCAATCCCAACCCTCCCAACCCAACCCCACCCAACCAACCAACCCACCCACCCAACCCACCCCACCCCAACCAAATCCACCCCAACCAAACCCACCCCACCACAACCCCCCAACCCAACCCACCCGACCCCAGCCAACCCACCCACCCCACCCGAACCAACCGACCCACCCACCGTCTGCACGAGCTGGGACGGCAGCAGCGAGTCGAGGTAAGAGAGCAGCGCATCGCGGGAGAGCGTCCCAGAGAACACGTGGCTCTTCCCCGACAGGACCGCGACCACGGCGGGGACCGTGCGCACGCCCAGCCTCATCACCAGGCGCGCATCCACGTCCCCGTCAACCATGCCCACGCCCACGCCTACAAGAGCGAGCGAGCCACACAAAAGCGTTCTCGTGCAGCACGGCAGGGTCTCGGACACGGACCTCTCGGAGAGATCCAATTGGCTGAAGCGGGTTAACCCTTTTCTCGTTCCGAGACGTCTGCCAGTTGCAGGGTGTGGGTCCCCTGTTCACCGCTGAATTCTCGGAACGCGCGAGCAGTTCAGCGTTAATTTTATTTAGAAAGGCGTAGCGCCGCTGTTTTTAAAGCTATTGTTACTCACCGCAGAGAACTATAGCGCCACGACCGCACTCTATGATAGCTGGCGCCAAACTGTACCACAGGCCCATTTAGGTGTTTTCGGCCAATTAGTTAGTGTTTGCACATCTGGGAGGGTAAAAAGAGCACCTGGAGAAAATGCACGTGTCATGTTGTTGGCTGTAATCAGAAGGTATCATACCTTGGCTTGCCAGGAGAAGCCAGTACAGCAAAGATGTGAACGATACCTGTTCGGTTTGTGTGGGATACAGCATTTCCCCCTAACATGCATGGGTTTTCTTCTGGTGCTCCGGTTTAATCCCATATGTAAATACTCCAAAATTGGACGATAAAGCGTTTAAATATATAGAGGACAGCAGAGTTCGTGCAATTGTTGGCAAGGGTTCCCACTCGTCCGTGGTTCCTCGCGCATCCGAGTAGTTATCTCTCTACGAGAGTGAGCAATTACTGTGCGTCGCATTGTAAGTTATTATTATTAACTTCTGGGTTGCCACGGTGGCGAGATTTTAATTACCTTCTAGGTATACGGGAGGTTGTGGGTTCGATCCCGACGCTGACACCTGTATATTTTGAGTTTGCAGATCCTCCCTCTGGTTACGTTAATTTTTCTCTGGGTATTCCAGTATTTCCCTCCACTTTTATAAACATGCGTTTAGAGTATTAGGCTACTATCAATTTCCACGTGATAAGCCACTTTGTTGAGCTATCATTTCTGATGGCCAGGATGCTTTTAAAAAAGAGCTATATAGCCCAGTGTGGCCGTACTTGGTAATATAAAAATTTTGTTTAATAGTTGAGTTTATTATCATCAACAACAATCAAGAACCCGAAGCCATCAGGAATCCTAACCCAGGAAACCCACGAATGGGAATCCACTCTGCCTTACCATAGCCAAGCAGCGTCGGAGCTGTGCTCTTCCACATAGGCAGCATTTGCCGGCAGGCGAGGCAGGCTCGTGACGTCACACGCAGCATGAAAGGCCGCTGGGAGCTCGCCTTGAGCAGCCTCCCCTCGAACGCACGCCATCCGACCTGCTCCTCTCCGTCCAGCCTGTTCCCGTGCGACACGACGCATCGCTCAGACCCATTCAATACTTATGTTGTATCGTAGACGGAGGTACTCGGAGACGGAGGTTGAGTTAGGGGCTTCCGCCAGGGTTTATTAACACTTATCACTATCCCTGGTTCCCTCTTTACCCCTTCCACTATCCCCGTTCCTCCAGTGACCCCGCTTACGTTACGGGGTCTCCCTTATATACCCTCGGAGGGGTGATGTCGCGTGCACTGCCCAGCGCGTGCGACCCCACGTCCCGTGAGGTCACCGCACCTGACAGCGCACACGACGCCACCACTCTCCACTACTCCTCTACATCACCCCCCCCCGTAAAAAAAAAACAGCCGACCCGGCTGCAATCAACCTTAGGGCAGCACGGCCCTTCAAGCAGAACAGTAACAACAAAAAAACAAAACAAATAGAGCCCGAAGGCCTCATCCGCCGGATAGCGCCGAACGGGCGCCAGGGGCTAGGCCCGCTGAACGGCCATCAGGGCCGTCACCGGAGCCGCACCCCCCTCGAGCGGGTATGCGCTGCTGGCCCGCTCCCTCGTGCGGTGTCCGCCACCCGTGCAGGTGGGCCGTCAGCGGGCAACAGGCCCACCGCCGTGGCCTCCGGTGCCTGGGGGGTCTCTGTCGGCCTCACTCGGGAGGGGCCTGGGGGCACACACACAGGTCGGACGTCACCTCCGTCAACGAGACCCGGCCGGTCAGGCACGCCGGATACATCATCAGCCGGCCGCTCCGGAATTGGGGGTGGATCCCCCAGGGTAGATGGAACATAACGTTTGAGCCGGGACGGGTGCACTATCCACTGCCTGCGACCGAATCGAATCCGGACGCATTGCGGCCGGCGGACCTCCACAACCTCCACGGGTCCCTGCCAAGGGCGATGCAATTTGGCCGATGTGCCAACGGGGACCTGGGGACAATGCAGCCACGCTTTTTGACCCGCTACCCACGGGAGGCCAGCTGCCTGGTGTTTTGGCAGCCGCTCATTAGCCGCCTGCCGGCTTGCGGAATTCTCGGCAGCGGCCTGTCGCGCCTCGCGCAGCCGGTCAAGTGCGACCTTCAAAGGGGTCGGCACCGACGACCCCTTCTTGGAGGAGCCAACGTCCATCTGGACGTGCACCGGGGGCTCCGGTTCCCTACCGTACATTAAATAAAAAGGCGAAAATCCCGTGGAGGCATGAGGGGCCAACCGATACGCCGCCAAGACCCCCGGGACGAACAGGTCCCAGTCTGACTGGGACGTGTTCACCTGGTGGCACAGCATGGACGTAAGGGTGCGGTTCAAGCGCTCTACCATCCCATCTGACTGGGGGTGGTAGGGCGAGGTGCGGATTTTCTTGGTGCCAAGGAGGTCACACACCTCCTTGAGCAACCTAGACGAGAAATTCCGCCCCTGGTCAGTCAACAATTGTTCCGGCGCGCCCTTGTCAAACACGTATCCCTGGACGAAGGCCTCGGTGATAGAAGAGGCCAACTGATCGACCAAAGGCCATGCCATGGGCCAACGTGTGAGGTACTCAACGCCCACCAAGAGGTATTTGTGGCCCCGTTGGGATGCAGGGAATGGCCCCAAAATGTCGAGCGCCACGAGCTCATTAACGCGAGAAACCCGGATGGACTGCAGCGGGGCCCGGTCCTGGACAACTGGGGCCTTCCTCCGCGCGCAGTCGTGGCAACCCTTCAAAATCAGTGCTACGTCACCCTCAACACCCGGCCAGTAATAGTCCCGCTTAAGGGTCAATAAGGTCTTGTGGTAGCCAAGGTGCATAAGCTTCTCGTGAATGGCTCGGGTTAATTTACCACGCAGGCTAGTGGGCACAACCACACAATAGCGTTCCAATTGGGCATCCCAACGCATGAGTAGTCCGTCATGCACGGCGATCGCCGGGGCAGCCGACGAAGCTAAGCTCCGGGCGTTATGTCCGACACGGCGCCGTAGCTTCAGCAGAGAGGAATCCTCCATCTGCAAGCCGGACCATACCTCCCGGGGAAGTCCAAGGCCGAAATCTGCGGTCGACGCCGCACCTGGAGGGGTGTCCGCCTCGGCCGACGCGACCAACTGGGCCGCGGCGTCCCCTGGGGCCTTGCAACGGCTAGAGCCCAGGGCGCAAGCACACCCGCCGCCTGCCGGCAATCGGGATAAACCGTCCGCATTTCCATGCTGTGTCCCCTTCCTATGGATTACATCAAAAGGGTAATCCTGGAGCACTTCGAGCCAGCGAGACAGCTGACCCGAGGGCTGACTAATCTTCAGCGAATATTGCAGGGCCGCGTGGTCGGTTCGGACCGTAAACAGCCTACCGTACAAATATGGTCTATACAACTGAACAAAATAAACTATGGCCAAAAGCTCCCTCCGGGTCACACAATATCGCTGTTCCGTCGAGGACAGAACGCGACTGCCATAGGCTACCACCCTCTCAACCCCGTCGACCACCTGGGCCAGGACAGCCCCAATTCCCGTGTCGCTGGCATCGGTATCGAGCAGGAAGGGTTTCGTAAAATCCGGGTACCCCAAGGGCGGCGCATCCGCCAAGGCCGTGCGAAGCGCCGCAAAAGCCGCCTCCTCCTCCGCGCCCCAGTGAAACCTTTGTCCTTTGGCGGAAAGGGCGTGCAGTGGCTTCGCAATTGTCGCAAAATCGCGGACAAACCGGCGATAGTACGATGCGAATCCAACGAAGCTACGCACCTCCGCGACAGATGTGGGAGTCGGCCACGTCCGGACACAAGCCGTTTTATCCGGGTCCGTGGCGACACCTGACGTGCTAACAATGTGTCCCAAATACCTCACCGATGGTTGTAGCAAGTGGCATTTCTGGGGTTTGAATTTCAAGCCAGCAGCACGCACTTTGACGAACACCGCCTCAAGGCGTTGCAAGTGCTCGCCAAACGTACGGCCAAAAACAATAACGTCATCCAAGTAGATTAGACAAGACTCCCACTGCAGCCCCGCCAAGACCATCTCCATGAGACGCTGGAAGGTGGCCGGGGCCGAATGGAGACCCATAGGAAGCCGATTGAACTCGAACAACCCCTGGGGCGTGCGGAACGCTGTTTTGGGTCTAGAGGCCTCATCCAGTGGCAATTGCCAGAAGCCGGAGAGCAAATCTAAAGTCGAAAAGAACCGCGCGCCCGAGAGGGCGTCCAAGGAATCATCCATGCGAGGCAATGGATATGCATCAGCCACCGAGATCTTGTTCAATCTACGAAAATCGACGCAGAACCGGAGACTCCCGTCCCGTTTCTTGACTAGCACAATGGGGGCACCCCAAGGGCTAGTAGATGGGGAGATGATGTCCGCCGCCAACATTTCCTCGACAGCCGAGCGGACATGATCTTTTTCCGCTGGGCTAAAGCGGTGGGAATTAAGTCGAATGGGGGCCGCGTCGCCCGTGTCTATGTGGTGGTCCAAAAGAGTAGTGCGACCCAGATCAAACTTACTTTGGCTGAACACATCGGTGAACCGTTCGATGAGGTCGCGGAGTTGCCGACGTTCCCCGAAGGACAACGAGGCATTCTCGTCGCACAACGTGGCGATCCATGATGCGTCGGGGTCCCCCGTGCGCATCACGCCCGCCACGACCCCTCCATCCGGGGCAGCGCTCTCGGGTGGAGGAGCCGGGGTTGCGTGTGCCAGGACGGCGCCGGCCGGGACTATGACCGGCAAGGGTCCCGAATTGAGGACCTGCAAAAAAAGGTCCTGGCCCCCCGACACGGCTGTCAAGGCGCCCACCAACCCCTTCGTCCTTGAAAAGTAGCTTGACGGGGACAGGAGGATACCCGTCTCCGTGGAGCCCATTTCGAGCGGTTTGCGCAACCTAAGGGGTATCAGGATTTGTGACGCCGGTGGTACGGTCACCGGCACTTTATTCAAGGCCCGTACACCGGCGACCAAGGGAGACAGGACGGTAGGTGATTGTAGGAATTGCAGCCGCCTCCCTGACGGCATTTCCACACAGCCCTGGTCAACGAGAATTCGGATGGGCATCCTAGACAAAAAGTCGGTCCCCAAGAGGCATGGCACTGCCAAGGTCCTGGAGACCAAAATCGGCCCGGCCAACTCAATCTCGTCAACCCGAACCGACGCTACAACGTGGCCCAGGATGCCCAAACTGCCGCCGTTCGCGGCGACACAAGCCCCGCGAACCGGCCTTAATGGACCCACGCTGCGGGGTAGCAGCCCAAAAATGGCCTCAGAAATAATGGTGGCCGACGCCCCCGTATCCACCAGGAGGCGAACGTGCACCCCTTGCACATATCCTGCCACCGCTGAGGAGCCGGCAGCTGCCGCCACCATCCTATGCGCAAGCGCATCCCAGTGGCGGGTCTGTCTGGGCCATTGAGGGGGTGATGACGATGGTGCACCCGACCCTTCGAGGACAACCCCATGACGATGGGCCCTAGCCCCGCTAGATGCATGAGGTGAAGGGAGCGGCCGCGCAGATGATGCGTCGCGACTCGCCTGGGGCCCCGAACCCGATGCCAAGGAGGGTCTGGGAGAAGGTGGAGTCCCTTTTCCAAAGGCCCCCAGGGCATTCCGGCAGCCCCGCTCAATGTGGCCCCGCTGACCACAGCGGAAGCAGGCCACCGTGTCCGCCTCCTGTGGACGGGAAGGTCCCGGCCGCCCCCGCTGCTCCGGACGGCGACCACCCGTCCCCCTTCCTCGACGATCGGGCATCGCCAGGGCCGCGAGGGTGTCCCCCCCGTCCGGCGCCAGGATCCCCGCACACGCCGCCATCTGAGGCCGTTGGCGGAGGGAGAGGTGCGCCTGAATGTTTTCTGCGACCGCCAAGGATGTGATCTGCCGATCATTGTTGATCGACAGAGCAATTCCTAGCTCCCTTGCCAGGTCAAGCAGCTTCCCCAAGGCCATAGAATCAAGTGCCCTGCCGTACAGGTCAGGGTATGCAGCCTGCGCCAGGGCCAGGAGCGAGCAGCGGAAGGCCAGCGGCAGTTCCCCCTCCTCCCGCCGCCGCAATGAAAACTTTAGCTGCGCGGTGGACGGCGGCTCAAAAACGTTGGCCATTTGGATATAGGCCGCCGGGAGTGTAGCCCGATTGGCCGGATGGATGGACTTGAAGGCCTGCAGAGCCCTTTCGTCCAAGCAGGTCGGAAGCGCCGGCAAGGCCTCCTCCATGGACCAGCCGACCGACATGTATGCCGCGTCGAACCGGTCCTGGAAGGCCGACCAGTCGCCCCCTTGCGCGACAAACGGCGCAACGTCGGGTAACCTGCGCTGCCATTGGCCGCGCGGCGCCGCGAGATGTGGAAGCCAAGCGGCACCTGCGGGCCACCCAGCGGACGCGACGTGTTGCGGCGGTGGCAGCATTGCGGCTCCCGCGGGCCACGCCGAAGACGCGGAAAGGTGCGGTGGTGCTGCGGCCCCCATGGGCCACGCCGTAGGCGCAGCGAATTGTGGCTGAGTTGCGGCCCCCATGGGCCACGCCGTAGGCGCAGCGAATTGTGGCTGAGTTGCGGCCCCCATGGGCCACGCCGTAGGCGCAGCGAATTGTGGCTGAGTTGCGGCCCCCATGGGCCACGCCGTAGGCGCAGCGAATTGTGGCTGAGTTGCGGCCCCCTTGGGCCACGCCGTAGGCGCAGCGAATTGTGGCTGAGTTGCGGCCCCCTTGGGCCACGCCGTAGGCGCAGCGAATTGTGGCTGAGTTGCGGCCCCCATGGGCCACGCCGTAGGCGCAGCGAATTGTGGCTGAGTTGCGGCCCCCATGGGCCACGCCGTAGACGCAGCAAAGTGTGAAGGCGCCTGCGCTTTCGCGACCCACCGGTCAGCGGCGGCGTACGAAGCCACGGCGTCGTCCCGCGACGCGGCGAGGGACCACGGCGTTGTAGCCTCAACGGGCCACGCCGAAGACGCGGCGGTGTAATTCGGGCCTGCAGCGGCCCCCGCGGCCCACCCCGCCGGCGCAGCGAGGTGCGGGACAGCGGCCGCAGCCGCGGCAACCTCTCGCGATGCGGCGAGGCACCACGGCGTTGCGGCCTCCCCGGGCCACGCCGTAGACGCGGCGGTAAAACACGGAGCCGCGGTGGCCCCCGCGGCCCTCCCCGCCGGCGCAGCGAGGTGCGGGACAGCGGCCGCAGCCGCGGCAACCTCTCGCGACGCGGCGAGGCGCCACGGCGTTGCAGCCTCCATGGGCCACGCCGAAGACGCGGCAGAATAACACGCAGCTGCGGCGTCATCCATGAGAAGGGACGCAGGCACGGCGAGGTGCAGAGCCGCGGCATCGCCGGTGTCCGGCCCCGTGAGCGCAGCGACAGGTTGAGCCGCGGCAGCACCCGCGGCCCATTCCGGCGGCACAGCGATGTACGGGGCAGCAGCAGCCGCCGCTGCCCACCCCGGCGGCCCGGCGAGGACGGCACGCGCGTACTTACCCTGGGCCCCCCCGGCGGGCGCCGCTTGATGTAGAGCCGCGTCGTCGCCGGCGGCTGGTCTCGCAGGAGCGGCGTGCCGAGAAATCCCGGCCGCGTCGGTGGAGAGACGCGGCGTCGCGGTCGCCATGGCAGCCGTAGCAGCGGCCGCATATGGCTCCCGAGCCAACATGGCCGCCGCGGATTGCGTCGCAGCCAACATGGCGGCCATTTCCGGTGGAGCGGTCGCTGGGGCCCCCCCGGCGGGTGCAGCTTGATGTAGAGCCGCGTCGTCGCCGGCGGCTGGTCTCGCAGGAGCGGCGTGCCGAGAAATCCCGGCCGCGTCGGTGGAGAGACGCGGCGTCGCGGTCGCCATGGCAGCCGTAGCAGCGGCCGCATATGGCTCCCGAGCCAACATGGCCGCCGCGGATTGAGTCGCAGCCAACATGGCGGCCATTTCCGGTGGAGCGGTCGCTGGGAAAACTGCGGCGCTTTCAACGTTGGCAGTTGACAGTTGCTCCCGTCCCGCGTGCGGGGCGGTTGGCTGCGTCCGCGCCTCCACCTTGGCCAACCTGGCGGTCAGCTGCCCCACCGCCTGCAGGAGCTGCTGCAGCAGAGCTGCGGGGACGCTCTCCGTCTCTGGCGGCGGCGGTGAGCTGGCACTCCCCGCAGCCGACTCCTCCCGCTCCGGCCCGCTCGTCTCCACGGGAACCGTCACCGGGGTCCCGGGCTCCGGGGTCACTGCTGGAGCCTCCTCTCCGCCTTCGGCGCCCTCCAAGTCATGTGCCGGTGGGTTCCTACGCCGTGCGCCCGCTTTATACATGTTGGCGACGGTGTAAACTTCTGACACCAGTTGTTGTATCGTAGACGGAGGTACTCGGAGACGGAGGTTGAGTTAGGGGCTTCCGCCAGGGTTTATTAACACTTATCACTATCCCTGGTTCCCTCTTTACCCCTTCCACTATCCCCGTTCCTCCAGTGACCCCGCTTACGTTACGGGGTCTCCCTTATATACCCTCGGAGGGGTGATGTCGCGTGCACTGCCCAGCGCGTGCGACCCCACGTCCCGTGAGGTCACCGCACCTGACAGCGCACACGACGCCACCACTCTCCACTACTCCTCTACACTTACAACGAAAGTGAATTTTTGAACAAAAATCACAAATTTTAAGCAGTACGCGCCGCGTGCGCAACACGTGAGCCCCGCAGAGAGACAGCCAACCCCAAAGCTGCCCTCTTATTCCATGCAACTGTTGCTTCTATGAAGTAAGGTCAGCTGAAGACCGCTCAGGTTGTGGCGAGGTTAACAATCGAAGCCTCATTAAGGGGCCCACACCGCTGCTCCGCACGGCCTTGGGTCTGCCAAGAAAACTGTGGTGGCTCCTCCGTCAACCGCTGCAGAACATTGACTACTCACTGCTGCTGCAGCTGGTGTTGTGCACGTCTCTTGCACGCGTGGGATGCTAAAGAAGAACCCCACAGTGCCGGTGACCGCAGCTACCAGAACCACACAATGGGCCACGTCGCAGTGACAACTGCTTCGTTCCACTTGGCCTGCTCTCCGGCGGACTGCACAGCACTTGTTGCGCTACTCCCAAAGCTATAATCACATGGCTCACAAACTGAAACCTGCACGTATAATTTACACGTAACTTTACCATGTGCTAGAAGAATGATTGCGAATGGTTTCAGAAGCTAGATGCCAATGTCGAGGTCTGCTACTCGCCACGACGAGGAGGGTTCAGGAGAGAGAGTTTGTGTCGTTTTGCGGTTCCTCCTCCGTTAAAGAAGCACACACTACAGCGGTCCATAGTTTGGGTTGTTGCGTGGCCACAACTGCACAACTGTTACTTGTCTTTCATTTTCTATTTAGGAAGGAGGCGTGCGCAATGGCCTGTGGTGTTCTGGAACATGCAGCTGGCACGCATGTTGCTACGCTGCCGTAGCTGTGAAGGCAGCACCACTGCGCCGATCATGAAGCCCTCCAGCCAGGCAGGGTTGCCAAACAACAGAAATGAGATGCTGGCAGCAACCACGCCAGACTGCAGTTAATGTTAACCTACATGTCTTTACCAATCTACTGTTGGATTAAGGCCTTCTAATGTCATGCCTGTCTTGCCGTGCTGGCTGACCATTCTTCACCATGCTGGTTAGCGCGGGATGGTGAAGGGTAAAAGGGGTGGTGGGGGGATCGAGCAGGACTGGATTAAATATAATTCTTCACCAATCTATGAGGTTGCCAGGTTTTTTGAGCATTGCGCTAACCACTGCGCTGCCGCTCCGTTCAATGCAATCATCACAAGCGGCCAATCGCAAAGCGGGTCGGACTCGGATGTCACCGTGCCACCGGGAGGGATGCACGTCATTGGCTGGGCAGTAACTACAGGTACCGCCCACTCCGGTCTCAACCAATCAGCCCTTAGGGGCCGTCCATAAATTATGTCACGCGATTTTGGACGATTTTTGACCCCCCCCCCCTCGTTACACGACGTCACAAAAAGTCAGACCCCCCCCTCAAATATGACGTCACAAAGCTCTGCCCCCCCCCCCCCAAAAAAAAAAACATGCTTCAAATCGCTTTAAACTATTGTCATTGTAGTGCGAATTTAATGTGGCTCTGCACTCTGATGTTGTAGGAGAAAACATTTATTAAAAAGTCGATTTAATTAAGTAGAATGTGTTGTCTATATTTAAAATTGCGCATTTTGATGTGACGTCACATTTCTCAAACCACCCCCCCCCCTCGTCACACATCATCACAAATGTCTGACCCCCTCCCCCCCCAGGTGCGCTGATGCCACAGCATTCATCACCGGGAACTGGTGCCCCCCCCCACCTCTCATCCTCTTGGAAGAAGGAGCTGAAGTAGGGATGTGCGAAGAAGGAGGAGAACGGGTCGTGATGATGGAAGTTGCCGCCCTGCTGGAACTGAGCCCCTCCGCCATGTGCGCTGCCAAACCGGTCGTACTGCGAGCGCTTCTCCTCATTGGACAGGACCTGCAAACAATCAAAGCAGCCGTGAGAAAACGCCATCTTCTCCGTATGGTTCGTGTGACTAAACTAAAATTTGTAAAAAATTATTTTTTCTTTTTCGAGTTAAAGCTTTCGTGACTGCAGGCATTCATATTAATGGTTCTTTCGGTAAAGTCACATAGAAGCGAAATAATAAAATAATAAAAATATAAAACAATACAATTTTCACGACCTTTCCATTGCAACACAAGCAATCATCATCAGGTGTGAAAACCACAGCAAGAACATTTTTCAAAAAAATTCTTGCTGTGGTTTTAATAATTTTTATTTTATCAGGTAAGGCCCACTGGTATGCAGGAGGTCGTGGGTTCGATCCCGAACCTGACGCCTGCTATATATTTCCGTGGTCGCGTGAATTTTTGTCAGGTTTTCCCCTCCACGGTTAGAATCATCGTGCATTTACAGTGGTTAAGCTGCTATACATTTCCACATAGTAAGCCATTTCGTTGAGCTATCATTTGTGGACCGGTGGCTTCTGAAAAAGAGCTACATAGCTCAGTGGGGCCTCACCTGGTAAAATAAAAATAATTTTAGTTTTCAATCCATTGACTGATTCAGCACGCTTGGCTATGGACCTCTGAACTTTAACCCCAAACTTTGCACAATTTCACGCTCCCCTCCTCCCCCCCTCAGCATCATTAGCCAATTCAGACCTTGCTTTTTAAATCTTATCCGTTTTTGTCATGTGGCTCTTCGGCATCACTGCCTCACTGGTGGAAATGTGCGTACGTCTCTCTCACCTCGTAGGCTTTAGTGATCTCCACAAACCGGTCTTCCGCATTCGGATCCCGGTTCTTGTCTGGATGCCTGTAAATAGACGTACAATCATACGCCCGATTTACATCTTACCCTTTTTATTTCACTTCGCAACTACGTCATCAATTTTTTAATACCGCTACCCAATTTGCGTCGCCCCAACCACACACTTATATCACTGACAGCATCATCCGACCATTCTGGTATCCATCGCCTCAGCCTTCACCGCCACCTACCCTATACATGAGCTACTTTGCGTCGTGCAAAGTAGCTCGTGTAACTAACTATTTTTATTTTACCAGGTAAAGCCCACTGAGCTATATCGCTCTTTTTCAGAAGCGACCTGGCCACAATTGATAGCTGAACGAAGTGGCTCATCATGTTGAATTTGTATAGCAGCCAAATACTCTAAACACATGTTTCTAAATGTGGAGGGAAAAACCAGAGGACTGGGAAAAAAGCCACGCGACCACAGGGAAAAAAAGCAAACTCCAAATATACAGCAGGCGTCAGGGTCGAAATCGAAACCAGGCGAGGTAGTTAACATCTCGGCACGGCGGTCTCGCCACTGTGGTACTTTGCGGGACGCTGCCATGGAGAGATGGCTATCACGCCGGACTAGCAATCCAGACGTCACCAGTTCGATCCAATCGCCCGGCAAGGCAGTGGAAAAAAAATCACACAAAATTATCAAATCCCCAACCACAGCTCTGTCCCCACAGCAGCACAAATGGGTGCAACCCCAGTTTGTCGATTGGCAGGTCATGTGTGGCGAGTAGGCTGAACGCGAAGGCATCATATCCCCTGCAGAGGGGCACGACAGAGCTCCCTCTAGTGGATGGCCTTCCACCAGCAGTGGGGCACGAGCAATACATTGCAGGGCTGCACCTTCATCTCTTCGACTATAACTTCGTATCCAGCCTTGTAGCTGTGCTACGCTTGGCTTTGTATCCGGTCACAATGTGCCGCCGAATCGGTTCCCGTCTCAGTGCCGCTGCTGGCTCTGATGCGTACCACTCGCGGGCGAGCGCCTTGTAAGCCTTCTTGATGTCGCTCTGGGGTGCGGAGCGAGCCACCCCCAGGACGGCGTACGGGTCAAAATCCAGGCCAGAGACCCGGGGCAGAAGGCACAGGAATATCCACACGAGCCTACACACACACACACACGCAGATGTTTATATACCAATATGTCTGAGTAAGGATGGTTTTGAATGATGTATTCACGAGAAATATGGACACATTGAGAGACAGAAAGAGGCACAGAGGTTAAAGACATCATGCTGACTTTTAATATCCTCCCACATCTATACTTTCCGCTATCACCAACCCGCACACACCAGCGTGATGAAGTATGGTCAAACAGCACCCATCATCTGCGGCCTGTACGGCATGGGGGAGGCCCTCATCCAGCATTTGGAATTGATGAAAACGGTGGCCCCGTGTGTAAATACGACACTTTCCAGTGCAGTGCAATTCTGCTTCAGCCGCATTGGAGATCCAAGTGGTCCTCTGTGCTGAACAGGCCGTGCATAACGCTGAGCTCAGCGACGGTCCTGCACCGGTGAGTGAGGTTGGTGTGAAGATGACTGTGAGCAGTGAGTGGACCGCTGTGGAAGAGCGCTGCAGGCCTGGCGGCATAACATGGTCGGCAGGTCACCCTGGTGCAAATAATTTAACGCGGGTGGGAGAGGGCCTGCAGGATTAAATTTCCCCACCCTCTTCGTAGCCCGGCGCCCGAATCCCTTCGCTTTGCCCGTGGGCCCCGTTGCAGTTGCACCGCCTGCACCCTCGATATCAACGCCACACGGTCCCCTATGTTAGTCTACAGCTCCCATGCCAGTCTATAGTTCTATTTATGGGTCCAAGTGGTATAGGGTGATTCACATGGGCCCTGGTGTAACAAATGAGACCCATCCCCTGTCAAATTCCGCCCCTCCCACCACCCCAAACTACTCCCCTTTCGTGGCTTGGCACCTGGGCCAGCCCCAATGTCCCCTGGCGCAGTTGAACCGCCTTCAAACTGGGTCGCTCCAGCACTGCTGCAGGCAGCCACGCAGGAGGTGCAAATTCCTGCTGGAGTGAGGCGCGAATTTCTGGCATCTATTCGAAGAGACGAGCCGACTTGGCGGACATGGTCGTCTGCTTCGTACCAACGCGTGCACCGCACCATCTGCTACTTCATTACCAGGCTATATTTAACATTTCACAATTTGTTTCAACTGAGTACCACCTTGCCTGGCCCCAACATGGCTCTGAGAAATGAATGTGTGAAAATGTAAAATCAATAATGCACAATGAGTGCGACGGACTAAGACACATTTTAAAATCGCCTCACGTACCCCCTTGGACATTCTGGGTCCGCGTACCCATGATTGAGAACCCCATGTCCCACGGTGTACAGATACCGTGATAAGAAGCATTGCCCAACGTATTCCGCGTCCTGGATATGCATGGATGTACTGTAGTCTTTATTTGTGACCAGGTGCCAACCCACTGACACAAGTCTCCTGTTCAAGCGAAACGTGGATTAAAGAAATAAACAATAACTGGCACAACAAACACCATCTTGATCTGCAGCTGCATTTAGACACGAGGTCCACATGTACAGCCGTTGTCGATCCACTGCTGGATGAGGGCCTTTCCACGCCGTTGATGTCGGAAGGAGGGATATTTCACTCAAGCTTCACAACGCCGGTCAGATTGGATTGATTGAAAGGCAGGGAGCATAGAAGTGCAGTACAACCACTGATGTTGCTCCGGTGCCCTCTGCTGCACAAGGTTGCTTCGTAAGCATTGAATGTCTGTTTTTGAACGGTGGTCGCCCATTCAAGCACTGTCCATGGTCAAAGCCTAGAGCCACACTCGGATACCCGATAAATTATGAGGGTTCAGTGTTAATGCCAGAGGCTCATAGAGCCAGACTCAGGCTCACACAGGGTTCAGTGTTAATCACTGAGGCTCACAGAGCCAGACTCAGGCTCCTTCCATCGGGTTCGGTGTGAATCACTGAGGCTCACAGAGCCAGACTCAGGCTCACACAGGGTTCAGTGTGAATCACTGAGGCTCACAGAGCCAAACTCAAGCTAACACAGGGTTCAGTGTGGATCACTGAGGCTCACAGAGCCAGACTCAGGCTCCTTCCATCGGGTTCGGTGTGAATCACTGAGGCTCACAGAGCCAGACTCAGGCTCACACAGGGTTCAGTGTGAATCACTGAGGCTCACAGAGCCAAACTCAAGCTAACACAGGGTTCAGTGTGGATCACTGAGGCTCACAGAGCCAGACTCAGGCTCCTTCTATAGGGTTCGGTGTGAATCACTCAGGCTCACAGAGTCAGACTAAGGCTCACACAGGGTTCAGTGTGAATCACTGAGACTCACAGAGCCAGAACAAGGCTCACACAGGGTTCAGTGTGAATCCCTGAGGCTCACAGAGCCAGACTAAGGCTCACACAGGGTTCAATGTGAATCACTGAGACTCACAGAGCCAGACTAAGGCTCACACAGGGTTCAGTGTGAATCACTGAGACTCACAGAGCCAGACTAAGGCTCACACATGGTTCAGTGTGAATCACTGAGACTCACAGAGCCAGAACAAGGCTCACACAGGGTTCAGTGTGAATCCCTGAGGCTCACAGAGCCAGACTAAGGCTCACACAGGGTTCAATGTGAATCACTGAGACTCACAGAGCCAGACTAAGGCTCACACAGGGTTCAGTGTGAATCACTGAGACTCACAGAGCCAGACTAAGGCTCACACATGGTTCAGTGTGAATCACTGAGACTCACAGAGCCAGAACAAGGCTCACACAGGGTTCAGTGTGAATCACTGAGACTCACAGAGCCAGAACAATGCTCACACAGGGTTCAGTGTTAATCACTGAGGCTCACAGAGCCAGAACAAGGCTCACACAGGGTTCAGTGTTAATCACTGAGGCTCACAGAGTCAGACTAAGGCTCACACAGGGTTCAGTGTGAATCACTGAGACTCACAGAGCCAGAACAAGGCTCACACAGGGTTCAGTGTGAATCACTGAGACTCACAGAGCCAGAACAAGGCTCACACAGGGTTCAGTGTTAATCACTGAGGCTCACAGAGCCAGAACAAGGCTCACACAGGGTTCAGTGTTAATCACTGAGGCTCACAGAGCCAGAACAAGGCTCACACAGGGTTCAGTGTTAATCACTGAGGCTCACAGAGTCAGACTAAGGCTCACACAGGGTTCAGTGTGAATCACTGAGACTCACAGAGCCAGAACAAGGCTCACACAGGGTTCAGTGTGAATCACTGAGACTCACAGAGCCAGAACAAGGCTCACACAGGGTTCAGTGTTAATCACTGAGGCTCACAGAGCCAGAACAAGGCTCACACAGGGTTCAGTGTGAATCACTGAGACTCACAGAGCCAGAACAAGGCTCACACAGGGTTCAGTGTGAATCACTGAGGCTCACAGAGCCAGACTAAGGCTCACACAGGGTTCAGTGTGAATCACTGAGGCTCACAGAGCCAGACTAAGGCTCACACAGGGTTCAGTGTGAATCACTGAGACTCACAGAGCCAGACTAAGGCTCACACAGGGTTCAGTGTTAATCACTGAGGCTCACAGAGCCAGACTAAGGCTCACACAGGGTTCAGTGTGAATCACTGAGGCTCACAGAGCCAGACTAAGGCTCACACAGGGTTCAGTGTGAATCACTGAGGCTCACAGAGCCAGACTAAGGCTCACACAGGGTTCAGTGTGAATCACTGAGACTCACAGAGCCAGAACAAGGCTCACACAGGGTTCAGTGTGAATCACTGAGACTCACAGAGCCAGAACAAGGCTCACACAGGGTTCAGTGTTAATCACTGAGGCTCACAGAGCCAGAACAAGGCTCACACAGGGTTCAGTGTTAATCACTGAGACTCACAGAGCCAGAACAAGGCTCACACAGGGTTCAGTGTGAATCACTGAGGCTCACAGAGCCAGACTAAGGCTCACACAGGGTTCAGTGTGAATCACTGAGGCTCACAGAGCCAGACTAAGGCTCACACAGGGTTCAGTGTGAATCACTGAGGCTCACAGAGCCAGACTAAGGCACCCTTAGGGTTCTCAGGATTCTGTTATAAACACACGCGTTTAAAGAGAGGGCGCAGCCGACAGTATCCGCCTGGTTACATTGCTATAATGGTAACAACTAGCAGCAGCAACAATAATAATAATAACATCAAGGTTGATATGTTGCTAAGGTTGAATTAGTATTATCAATGACAGCCACCCACACCGCTTGCGCCACCCCCGCTCATCGTTGCCGCGAGCCTCTTCGTTATCTCGGCTCGGTGTGACAGGCGCAGGGAGGACGAAGAGGAGAGAGATAAGAGAGAGAAGAGGAGAGAGAAGAGAGAGAGAAGAGGAGAGAGAAGAGAGAGATAAGAGAGAGATAAGCGGAGCGAGAATGCTCACCTCATCACCTCCATCGCCGCCTTCTCCACCCCCCCCGCGCCCCGCCCCTTGGATCGTCACGTGACCCGCCCCGCCCCTTGGATCGTCACGTGACCCGCCCCGCCCCTTGGATCGTCACGTGACCCCCCCCTCCCCTTGGATCATCACGTGACACGCCCCCCCCCTCTCCCCGTGCCTCGAGCACAGTGGATGCCAGATTAGAGGGTCAGAGCTTTTCTTTATTTTAAACTTCCTTAACCACTCGAGGTTAAATAACATTCGAAATAACATTCGTGCGTCCCGCGGTCTGCCCACTGCTGGATGATGCACGCGTGGTTGAACTTCTTTGGCGCCGTACGTAGTCGAACCGGTTCATTTGACCGTACGTCGTCATCCTGCTTAGTTTAGGGGCCGTCCATAAATGACGTCACGCGATTATGGACGATTTTGACCCACCCCCCCCCCTTCGTCCTACAATGACAATAGTTTAAAGATTTTTGAAGCATGTTTTATTTTCAAAATGGAAATATGGTTTTGGGAGGGAGGGGGGGCAGAGCTTTGTGACGTTATATTTGAGGGGGGGGGGGGTCAAAAATCGTCCAAAATCGCGTGACGTCATTTATGGACGGCCCCCAATGTCTATCAACTGCTGGATTATGTAAAAATGTTTAATTTCTTTCGCACTGTACGAAGCCGAACCGTCTGGGAAGGGGTTTATTTGACCGTACGTCGTCACCCTGCTTAGTTTAGGGATGGCCAAATTCCAAGATTTGTTTGGAGTTTAAGTGGCTGTTGCCCAGTGAAGTAACGAGCGTGGGGGCAAGGGGTGCCATGACCCCCCCCCCCGCCCCTGGTGCCAAAGGCTCTGAGTTGGGGCCCCTTTGACAATCACCACGAGATATGTTTTCAACAGTTTAGTATTGGAAGTAAGTTTTTGTTACGTAAAGAAACGCAATGTGACGTAACAGAATTCGCTTTGAATGGCAGCATCTTGAGTAAAACAACTTTGGACATAGAACTCCGTTTGCTGTGATATTTATTGCATCAGATACGCGTCAATGATATTGCAATGAGGTACTACTACCTGGCTGAAGTGGAGCGCCCCTACAGCGTTAAATGTTCGAGACCGTAATGATGTGATTAGGCGAGAGCCGCGATATGTAACCTAACTAGGTGCGACCGTGCGAGACAAATCAAATATTTGGGCCCCACCTCACCGACTGCTGCACACCCTGAACTGTTAATGTCAGGGGTCCTCAAACTTTTTAAACAGGGGGCCAGTTCACTGTCCCTCAGACCGTTGGAGGGCCGGACTATATTTAAAAAAAAAACCATGAACAAATTCCTATGCACACTGCATATATCTTATTTTGAAGTGAAGAAACAAAACGAGAACAAATACAATATTTAAAATGAAAAACAAGTAAAGTTAAATCAACAAACTTTCCAGTAAAGTTAAATCAACAAACTTGCCAGTATTTCAATGGGAACTATGGGCCTGCTTTTGGCTAATGAGATGGTCAATGTCCGGTTCCATATTTGTCACTGCTAGTCGTAACAAGTGATGCAAGTGTGCATCCGTTAGTCTAAATCTGGTTGGAGATTTCAAATGTTTCATTCTGGAAAAAGTCTGTTCACAGACATAAGTGCTGCCAAAGATGGTTGCCATTTTGAGTGCATGGTTCCTGAGATAAGGATATGTCTCAGAGGGGAGAGATGCATAGAAATTATGAAGGCTGCTTGACTTGAATGCGTCTTTCAGAGAGTCAAAATTCTGCAGTTCAGCCAGTTCCATTTGGTAAATTGTATCCACATTTTCAATGTCAATAGAAAATGGGTTACGGAAAAGCTGTATGTCCTGTTCATGGAGATGAAGCTCTTTAAATCTAAATTGGAACTTCTTTTGCAATTTTTCCAGTGAATCCGCACATGTTTTGTTTGGGAATGCAACCAATGGTTTTTCCGCTAACAGATTTTTAGTTGTGGGGAGATGGCAGAAGTTTTCCTCCTTCACTTGTTTGATGAGGAGGCCTAATTTTACTTCAAATGCTTTGACATGTGATTGCATATCACAGATGAGCTTCCCCTTTCCTTGAAGGTGCACATTGAAACTGTTGAGTAGCTCTGTTACATCTGTCAGAAAGGCAAGGTGCCATTTCCATTCTGCATCATTGAGCTCTGGTACTTCTTTGTTTTTTTAAAGCAGAAAAGCTGTAATCTGTGGAAGTAAGTCATAGAAACGTTTTAAAACTCTCCCTCGACTCAGCCAACGGACTTCTGTGTGATACAGAACATCTTCATAGTCAACATTTAGCTCAGACAGAAATTCCTGAAATTGTCTGTGGTTTAGTGCATGACCTCTAATGAAGTTAACACAAGATACCACAAATTTCATAACAGAGTCCCACTTCAGTGATTTACTACACAGCGGTTGTTGGTGGATGAGGCAGTGTATGGCTATTGGATGAGAATGGTTATGTTTGTCCATCTCTTGGTTAATGCGAGCAATTACTCCTTTCTTAGACCCCACCATACTAGGAGCACCATCAGTTGTCACACTGGCTAGTTTAGCCCAGTTCAGCTCCAAACCATTCACAGTTTGGCAAACCTTTTCATAGATATCCTCTCTTCTTGGTTCTTTCGGTAAAATCACGTAGAAGGGAAGTAATAAAATAATAAAAATAAAATATAATAAAATAATTCTCACGACGTTTAGGCCACAACGCAAGCAGCCGTCCTCAGGTGAAAACCAGGTCTGTCGGGGAGACAGCGTCTGAATGAAACAGCACACGAGCTTGGAGCATATATAAGCTGGGTTGGAAACGGGGGAAAGAGCGCCCTGACAAAAGAATTTGCATATCAAGAGGAATTTTGCATATTTATGGGAAATGCAGGAATGTGATTAGTACTACATATGCAGCACGGGCATATGTAGTACTAATCACATTCCTGCATTTCCCATAAATATGCTAAATTCCTCTTGATATTGAAATTATTTTGTCAAGGCGCTCTTTCCCCCGCTTCCAACCCAGCTTATATATGCTCCAAGCTCGTGTGCTCTTTCATTCAGACGCTGTCTCCCCAACAGACCTGGTTTTCACCTGAGGACGGCTGCTTGCGTTGTGGCCAAAACGTCGTGAGAATTATTTTATTACTTCCCTTCTATGTGACTTTACCGAAAGAACCAAGAAGATGAATCCCTGCAGTCACGAAAGCTTTAAATCGAAAGATATCCTCTCCTGTAGTTGTTCCTTTGATGCTTTGCAGTGCAGCAAGCTCTTCTGTGACTTCGAAATAGTCATTCGTCGCACGAATAAAAATTTGAAGTTGTGCAGAATCACGAACATCATTGCTTTCGTCGAGTGCCAAGGAAAAATAGGAAAGTTTTTTTGTGGAGTTTTGCAAATGCTGATGCAAATTGTCTCCCATTTCTTCAATCCTCCGTGTAATTGTAGGTCCTGAAAGACTCACTGTACTAAATAAATCGGCCTTCTCTGGACACATCTCTTTGGCAACAGAAAGAAGGCATTCTTTAACAAATTCTCCCTCCACGAATGGTCTGCCAGTGCATGCTATTAGCTTGGCAACTTGAAACCTTGCTCGCAGTGATGAAATATTTAGCTGCTTCTGCTTCACAAAACTATTTCGCTGAGTTGTTAATGTATTTTTCAGTTTTAATATTTTATCTTTTCTCACTTCTCCGACCAAACAAGCAAATGTATCTTTATGTTGAGTTTTATAGTGTTGACGTAAATTGTATTCTTTGAACACAGACACTATATTCTGGCATATCAGACACACAGCTCTTTCCTTGTACTGCATGAAAAAATAATCATAAGTCCACTGTTCTTCCTACACTCCGAGTCAATTTTTCTCTTTCTTGACATCATTGTTTCCTAGGGAGTCAAAATTGCTATTAGTAAAATACCAATATATACAGCGCTACAAAAACAATATACCAGCAATAACTTTGCCCACACAGAGACATACAGACTGCACTGCCCATCAATGCAGTCTGATTGGGGGAAACTCCGCCCCCTCTCCCTCTTCCACCAATGACCGTCCTTCTCATGTAGAAAAAAAGTAACAGACAGGCAGCGGCGGCAAAAACACCCGGCGGGCCGGATAAATGTCCTCGGCGGGCCGCATGTGGCCCGCGGGCCGTAGTTTGAGGACCCCTGGTTAATGTCGTCACGCCACTGATCATATGGTCTATCCACACTGCTGGATGATGGGCTCCCCCAATGCCGTGTGGGGTCGAGGAGGGTTATTTGACCATACGTCATCATCCTTCGTTTAGGGATGACCAATTCCAAGATCTTAAATTTTGATTTAAAGCTTTCGTGACTACTTGATATGCAAATTGATATGCAAATTATTTTGTCAAGGCGCTCCTCCCCCCTCCATCCCAGCTTAAATAGTCGCTCCAAGCCTGGGGTGTGTCATTCAGACTCTGTCTTCTCGACAGTCCTGTTCTCCACCTGAGGACGGCTGCTTGTGTTGTGGCCTAAACGTCGTGAGAATTATCTTATGTTTTTATTTTATTATTTCCATTCTACGTGACTTTACCGAAAGTTCCAAGATCTTGTTGGTGTCGATTCCGAAATCGATGGATGTCGTTCCTGTCTGACAAAAGCTTTGTGTCATGTCTGTGGCTAAATATGGACAGTAACAATATTGTAGTGTCAACTGGCTCTGGTAAAGTCGCCCCGATGCCGGGATGTCACAGAGGCAGGGCCACGGGCCCACAACGATCCTGCACGCGGTAAAGGAGGGCATGCCGGACTGATAGGTGAGGAAAGTAATTGGTGGAAAATATTGGTTATGTTGCAAAAACGAAATGGCCACTTGCTGTCTTATGATTTTAATGAGGTGGGTAAAATTGGAACCCTCACCTCACAGCCAGCAGCGTGAACTCTTAGCATACAGATTAGAGAAACATCAAAGTAAAACAAAAACCTCTATTATGGTTGTTATAAAGAGTTCTAAGTATATGAATGCTTTTTTTTACAGATACTTAAGATGTGGTATATTTAGATGCTTTATAAATGCAATTAATATGACTATAAATGGTATGTCATGCAGGTTACATCATTCAAATATTTACATATTGAAATAATTATTTTACAAGTACATAAAGTACATCACATGGGAGATCCACTGATAAACCCATTATAAAATGAGTCTCCTTATGCACGCTGATCAGTCCTGCGAATTAAATATATGCACTTTATTTTTTGTAATACACTGTACAGTACATTTAAATAACACAAATAAAAAGCTTTTTTTTTTTTTCTAAAGCGATGTTGAAAAATATTTGGTGGACCAAAACTTCCATGACATTTACCACAACGAAGACCCAACAAAACTGACCGACTGCGTGTTTTAAGCAGGCCAAAAGACAATCCATTTAAATCTCCACTTTTGAAGTGCACAGCAGCACCTAGAGGCATCACCAACAGGTATCTATCTACACTATGGGAACCTCATTTGCCAGTAAAAATATAATTGTTTTTTTTTTGTGCGCCTTTTGGCGTCATCTGGTCCAACCCATGTGAGACTAGGCTCTAAGGAAAGCTGTCTCGGGTGTGGACCAATCAACTTCAAGGACAGTGCACATTATCAGAGTTATGTCTTTTGTTTGTATTATGACTGCAGGTATTGCGGTCTATGCAAACATGACTCCTTGTAAAAAGGTGTCAGTTTTGTTGCCAGATAGAAGGGTAAGAAACCAATTATCATGTATCTATCTCTGTGCACCAACCAGACAGTGCCTTCAACTCTGCTAGGACCAGATTCCATCTCGCTCTTGCACCGCTGATGAGAGTGGCGTGCTAAAGGCAAATTGTGCTAAGCCCAAATCTCCTCTTTTCTGTCTTATTAATTATAGGTCTTTTATCAACAGACCAAGAGACAAGAATCGAATTGACTTGCATGTGAACATGAGGAAAAATTCACCTGGATTGTGCCCAGTCACCTGATATCTCGGAAGTTAAGGGGCCATCCATAAATGACGTCACGCGATTTTTGACCCCCCCCCCCCCCGTCGTCACACGGCGTCAAAAAGTAAAACCCCCCTCAAATGACGTCACAAAGCTCTGCCCCCCCCCCCCCCAAATAAAAAACATGCTTCAAATCGCTTTAAACTATTGTCATTGTAGTGCGTATTTAATGTGGCGCTGCACTCTGATGTTGTAGGAGAAAACATGAAAAAGTCTATATAATTGAGTAGAACGTGTTGTCTACATTTATTTAAAGTTGCGCATTTTGATGTGACGTCACATTCCTCACCCCCCCCTCGTCACAAATGTCTGACCCCCCCCCCCCCCCAGGTGCGTGACGTCATTTATGGACGGCCCCTAAGCTAGCTTGAGTCTGCAAAGTACTTGCCTTGGCTGCTGACCGTGCAAAAAAAAATGGGTTAAATTATCAGCAATTGCGGGTTTACATTGTCGGCAGCAGATGGCAGTGCAACATCATCAATCGTACGATACTATGCTTCCACGTCCATGCTGATCGGCATTCATCAACCCCCACTGACCTTAGGTATGGTCAAATAAACCCCCTGGCCCACACGTGACGAGGCCTGCATCCAGAAGTGGATTAAACAAAATAATGCACAGTATGTAATTCCATTGTCTGTTCATCTATTGGATTGAGTGAACTAACAAATGCTGTACATCTGTTTTTTTCAATCCACTGCTGGATGAGGGCCCTCCCCATGGCCTCCGGGTCAAAAGGGGTTAATTTACCGTACTTTACCGTGCTTGTCAGCGTGAGTCGGCAGCATAGACATGGGGGCATATAAGTACAGTGCTGTACAAGAATGTATTGTGTTGCATTACCAAGCCATATGGCAATGTTTGTGCATGGTGGTCACTCACCCAAGCAATATATCCATTCTCAAGCCTGCTTAGCTTCCGAGATGAGGCGAGATCGAGTACATTCCGGGCGATTTGGTCATACGTGGAGCCCAAATCTATATAATATGGTTATAGCCTTGCCTCTCTAATGACATCTCACCGTTTACAGGCCCTGAAGGAATTACGCTAGAAACTGACCCAGAAAACAAAATCTGTTATAGCAATTTGCAAAAATTCAGGATCGCACGGCTTGAAAGGCTTGGCTGCCTTGTGGCCAAACCAGGCTGCTACACATATAGTCATATTTATAGAGATGATAATCATACTTAACATTTAACAAAGCACCTTTCTACAAGGCACTCAATGCACTGTATATCACAAACACTGATTAAATTAAGTTATTACATCGTTGGTCTCAGGCAGGGGTGGGGAACGTCCGGCCCGCGGGCCGTATGAGGCCCGCAAAATCATTTGGTGGCCCTGCCAAGGCAACTGCAGGCTGGACTCGAAATTCAACAAATCTAGGAGCAAACCTGGAAAAGCAGTTGCGAGTAGCAACATCATTAATACCAGCTAACATCACACGCCTCGCCAAAGAGAAGCAGTTCTAGCCCATCCCATTAGGGGTGAGTTAATTAAATGTTTGACCAAATATAACAGGCTAATTTTTAAGTTGATAATTTTGTATGGCCCGCGAATGATGTTATAAATATCCAAATGGCCCTTGGCAGAAACAAGGTTCCCCACCCCTGGTCTAAGGGGAGGAAAAACTAAGTTTTGGCTGGCTGTGACCAAATTTCATCTCGGAAGCTAAGCAGGTTTGAGCCTGAGCATTTCTTGGATGGGTCACCACGAGGCGTTATTTTTTGGATAATGGGAAACAATACAAATGAGACGACACGCATGACACAAAGCAGAATCGTTTTTAAATCAAAACGCAATCCCCCAAAGCCTCAATTCATCAAATAAATTGGGCGATAAATCATTAAAATGCCAACTTTTGATACTTCACGGAAACCTTTAATCAACATACATGGTAAATCATGCAGCAAAGTACCAAGTGACGATGAAGGGACAACGCGTTTCAATGGGCACTCACCTGGCTAAGGATATTTAACGATGACAAGGCAGTGCTCATGAAGTACGGTACTCAAACATCCCGATACTGCCCAGTCACAACTTAATCACAGACTCCTGCCTATCGTTTCACTACGAGTTTTGAGTCGCACATTACTGAAACCATAAGCAGGGCGATGATGAAAACACGTAAATTCAGATGCTTGAGCCATCTTCATGATAAATATAATGAGCAAGAGGTAGTGGTCATATGCTCTTCATAGCCCTGCCCTTAGTGATGACAATTCCACATTCACGCGGCAGGGACAAGTACATTCACAGGAAAATCACTTAACTTCCCACAGGGCAGTACTCGCAGAATAACGGACTGCACTGAACCCTTACCCGCATTTACCAATGCCACCCGGCCATCATTCTCAATAACTGCTCGCATGTCATTGCCGAAAGCTGTAAAAATAACATCCAGGCGGTCTCCCTGAATTTTGACTCCTTACTAAAACAGCCTGCGACGTTACAGGGAGTGTGCCTGAAATTCTCGGGTGAATGGCCTGAATCATGTTCAGTGTTGACTGCAAAAGGGCCCTAGACCACCTAGGAATGCCCTGGGAATCATCGGTGCTGCCTTGGCTGCTCAGGGTGTCGTCCTTGGGGCTCGTTGGCATTGTTGTTTTTGCTGGGGCCTGGGGCTGTATCGCAGAGATGCCCTCTCCTCTCTCCCCCGTGTGTCCCCCGTCTTAACCTCCTGCCCCTTCCTCCACGTCTACCAAAATGCTATAAGCTTAATTTTTGTCAAGTGTCTTGAGATACGACTGCTTTAGACACGCCACATACAATGAAATTGTCGTTTTATACACATTCACAACTAAAGTTCAACTCTAACAACTTTAAATAACACACACAAGTGCAAAACATAAATATTCACAGATTGTATGACAACAATAAATAAATCACATTCAGAAATACAAATAACTGCTGATAAAAAAAAGTTCAAATATTTGTCGAGAGAAATATGTAAAAATAACGTTTTATGGTCAAGACAAAGTCAGCAAATAAAGATGTGACGTCTTCTACATCTGTACGAGGTGATGCATTGTCACAGGGGACAGCTACGAAATTGGCCACCCAGTGCGACTCCTGGCCATGGCTAACGTCAACGGCGAGTGACATCAGACACCGGTCCTGGGCTGCCACCACCACAACCACTTACTTCCTCAACCTGCACTGGCCAGCGTGGTGAAGTATGGTCAAACAACCCCACGACTGACATGGCTTTTGATAGACCTTCATCCCATCCAGCATTGGATTTTCAAAGGGCTGTAACTTAGTATTGTTACATCTGCATCGGTAATCTAGACTTTTCGATTCTGAGTGCAGTATATTTAATGGCGGACATACTGTATTCTCCAGATTATAAAGACACACATTTTCCCTCTAATTTACAGCAAAAGTTGGGGGTGCACCTTATAATCTCATAGCTCATTAGATTCCTCCAGTCTAAATAAAAATTGGTTCTGAATCTGGTACGCGTGCGTTTGTGCATGCGTGCGTCCATATTTCTATAACTTTACTGACACAGGGCACAGGTTATGGTGGTGTGTCTTACTCTCCGGAGCAGCTTGCAATCCGGTGAGAAAACGGAATGTTGCGTCTATGAATGGGCGAGTGCACATGGGGTGCTACCTGCAGTTGAACGCTATCCTTGATGTAAGCGACCGCACAAGAACAGCAAACCGCCAGCGCTCCTCTGCGTCGCGAGACGGCGAAAGCCAAGCTACCACGCAGATATGGTGCAAAATCTCACTCAACTAAGAGCCGCATGGGTCATCACACTGTGGAGGACGCCGACGCCATCACTTCACCGACCGGTGGCCCTTTTGACTCGGTGCCCACTGGAGGCAATGTGGAATTTCCAACACTGATTCAGGCCCACCGAGTAAGATACACACTGCGCAGTGCTTGACTGAGCAAAAGGGATACTTTGAATGGATTCTGGGTGGCTCCTGTTGAGTCCACACTGATGGGAGATGCGGTACTTTTGGTTTGAATGTAACGAGAGATGGGCGATATGGAACGAGAGACAGGCTGGGTCCCACAGTTGTGGGCTCTTTTGTGTGGAGTGTTCATGCTGCCGCCGGCTATATTGGGCCCTGACTGTGGGAAGTCTTCAGCTGCACCGATTCAAAGTCGTTGTCTTTGTCCTGTGAACAGAAATTACGAGTTACGATAACAGTTATGCCCACATTTCGTAAGTAACTGTTTTTCTCCTTCACATAAAGCTTTGTTTCTTCGATACCATTCTAAGAAAATGGAACCAAAAGCTGAAAAGTGCGCAAAGATACGTCGTTGAAATGTGCGCACTTGGTATTACACCAGCAGGATTAGATTTGAGAACACATGCAAGTTCGAGACATCATATTGACCAGTAAGAAGTCGTGCCTTTGGCAGGATATAAACTGAACTAAACTATTTTTTATTTTACCAGGTAATGCCCACTGAACTATACAGCTATTTTTCAGAAGCGACCTGGCCACAAATTATAGATCAACAAAGTGTCTTATCACGTGGAAATTTCAAGCAGCCAAATACTCTAAACGCATGTGGAGGGAAAAACCAGAGGGCCCGGAGAAAAGTCTACGTGACCACAGTGAGAAAAATGCAAACTCCAAATATTCAAGCATCAGGGTCGGGATCAAACCCACAACCTGCTGTTTACCAGGCGAGGTAGTTAACATCTCAACACCGTCACACATATGTCATTCCACGGAGAAAGGAATGATGGCTTAGTGGCAGAGGTCGCTAACGGGTTTTGATTCCTTACCCATACCCGTACCCGGCCGCACCAGGGTCGCAAACCGGTACCCGTACCCGGCCGGGTAGGGTACGGCTACCCGTACCCATACCCGATACCCGGCCGGGTACGGGTAGCCGGGTATCGGGTAGGGTACGGGTATCGGATACCTGATTATGACCTCTGGGATGAAGCCATGTTGCAGGCGCGGGTGGGTTGATTCTAGGAACTTGAATTGTGAGAAGAGACAAGACGTTGGGAAATGAGTGACAAACGGTTACTCACCAGTGACTCATGGCCTACCTGTACCCGGCTGCACCAGGGTCGCAAACGGGTACCCGTACCCGGTCGGGTACGGGTAGCCGGGTATCGGGTAGGGTACGGGTATCGGGTACCCGATTGCGACCTCTGCTTGGTGGTCGACACTGAGGACAGAGTGGCCATCCGCCATGGAGAAGGAGCAGAGAAACCAGTTCGTGTGCGGCACGCTAGGTGGAGGGTTACGTCTCTGCACCGCGAGAAATGACGATGGCTTTGCGAGGGCACCTCATCCGGTCGGCAATTGATCATGGCTCTCACGACACCGACGACCACAGCTGTTTGTCACCTGATGAAGCTAGTTGTAATTATTGGCGGAACGTCGTACTCGGATTGTAAATATTGTGGCTTGGCTCTCCAACACACCGGTGTGATGTACTCGTAACGAATTGTCATGTTCTGTTCACGTGACAACCCTTACTAATTGGCTGTGTCGAGTGGTGGCGGGTTTAACGACACATTTATATATTTACGCGATCTAACCCAAAAAAAACCTCTATTATGAGCGAGACTTATGTTCGCGTTATGGTACACCCCTTGCACCGGGTGATGTGCCTGCATCAGGAACCCACCTTCCTGCCCATGGCCTTGAGCTTGCCGAGCAGCGACCGGGTGCCGTTGTTTGATATGAGAACCTCGTCCTCCATCTCCTCGTCCTCCATGACGCCGCAGCTGTCTGCCACGGGCAGACCTCCGTCCTTGGTGCCGGTGCTCATCACCAGCCGCGAATACTTGTGCTCCAGCCTGCAGACGGAAAAGGTCGCGTCGTAAATTCACGTGGTGGTGGGGGGGGGAGGGGCAGTTCAGAAATAGAATATTTATTTAGACTGGAGGAATCCGATAAGCTATAAAGCTCTTTTTCACAGATGTCCAGTAGGGGCGGGTCAGAACGTAACAGCAACAAACGAATCAAAAACACGATTTGAGTGCAAAGAATAGGAGAGGTAAACACTATCGCTTAAAAATATACAAATACAGTCATAGCTCGGTATACGACCGCTTTGGAATACGTCGAATTTGGTATACGTCGTGTTTTGACGAGAGAAAAAATGTCTTGGGATACGACGTCTTGCTTGGGATACGACGCGCTTGCTAGAACTTGTATGGGTCGGGATGAGTCACCGCGTAGACCCCGTTCACGACTGAAACAAAGCGCCGCTCCTCAGTCTGCCTGTAGATCTCGTTCAGTGCACAACCCTTGCTATAACTCTGTGAATTTTCACGTGTTTTTGTCATTTTAATTTATGTATGCATTTTAGTAATAAGTAGTGTCTAAATTATTTTATACAACCTCATTAATGTATAATATGCCATATAAAATCAAATTTCTCATACTCTGGAACGGATTATTTCCTTTCCTTTATTTCTTATGGGAAAAATTCGTTTGGTATACGTCATTTTCGGTATAAGTCCTACCTTCTGGAACGAATTAACGACGTATACCGAGGTACCACTGTACAACTAAATAATGTTTTATCTTACCAGGTAAAGCCCACTGAACGATTAGCTTTTTTTCGGAAGCAACTTGGCCACAAATGATTGCTGAACAAAGTGGCTTATCATGTGTGGGGCGCTCTTAGGGATAGCAACCAGCCAACAATGTCACCTTAACCCTTGTTCCTAAACGCCAACGCTGATAACACCGGGTAGTTGGAACAAAAACAGCGGGCAAATTTAAGGGTGAATTGCCCCCAACCACTTGCCCCACCCCGTCACTAACACGAGACTAAATGGGAGCCCATTTACAGCTCGTTATTTTGTGTATTGAGCATTCAAGACTTCATATTAAAACGCAAATAGTATATGATATTAAGATATGAAGTTTTTAAAAAATGCAAATGTAACTGCCCACCTCCCACCCTTCTTTCTCCCTCACCTCTAGCAGGTTTATTTTACGAAAGGTTCAGCCAGCCCTCTGACATCCCAACAATTAGCTCCGTGAATAAGCTGCAACGTCGGGCAGTGTGTCAAGTGTCGGAAAGTGCCACCCGTCGAACATTTGAATGAAGAGAATCTTTAAAAATAAAAGCAATACAAGAATTTGGTCTGGAGGTGTGATGGAGTGGTACTCTACTGCAGTTACTGTAGATTCCAGTATCAAAACTGAAAGATAAAATTCACACCCACTGGGCATCAAACAGATTTTTATTTATAAGAGCATTGTATTTCACAAATACAAACAAGACAGAGATCCCCCATATAGCCTTTAATAGACTGTTGGGGCAAGTGCTGTGGAGCAAGCGCCTATGAAGGTCGGCACGACACACAGGGGGATGGGTGATCAAGACCACGCCTGGCCACCTTTATCTCCCAAATGCAGATGTTTTTACACACTGCACCAGGTACTCATTTAAGGGTGATTCGACCTAGGGGAGGCCCAGGGGGGTGGCGCTTCGATATTTGTCACTGGTGTTGCCCATGAATAAGAATCATAGCACAGCGTGCTGACCGCTACACTCCCGCACAAAAACCCCTGTGTTGCCCTAAAAGACTGTTGGGACAAGTGCTATTAGCAAGCACCTATGAAGGCTGGTATGGCACACGAGGGGCTAGGTGGCCAGCACCACACACAAAGATCCCCTGTATAGCCTTAACACGAACACCGCAAGAGCAAGTGCTGTTAACACACACACAAAATAAAAAGCACGGCTGTTCTAAAAGGTCAGCGTACCTTTGATTTTTCTTCCAGAAGTGGCAGATCAAGGCGACGAGAAGACAAGCGGTGAAGGTGGCGATGGACAGGCCGACCTTTAACCAAAAGCCGATGAGCTCGCACGCGACCTCCAGCTCTGCGGGGAAGCGCACGCCGTCCCGACAGATGGCAGTCTCCCTCAGCACATAGTGCTTCTTCTACGAGGGCACGCGGGGGGGGGGGGGGGGGGAGGTGGGGTGGGGAAACAGGGACCACATTGGCAGGGCACGTCAAGCGCGAACGTAATGCACGCACGCAATTGATGTAAAACTATTGAAACTATATTTTATTTGACCAGGTAAGGCCTAATGAAGTGACTTATCATGTGGAAATTAGTAGCGGCCAAATACTCTAAACGCAAGTTTCTAAATGTGGAGGGAAAACACAAGGACCCGAAGAAAAATCCACGTGACCATGGGGAGAACACGCAAACTCCAAATGTACAGGCGTCAGTGTCGGGATCGAACCCATGACCTCCTGTATATCAGGTGAGGTAGTTAACATCTTTCCAGCGTGGCGCCCACGCATTTTGCAGGGGCGGTCAAACCACGGCTCCAGAGTCGCGGTGTGGCTCCTGGGAAGTTTAAGCGCGGCTCATATTGGGGACGCAGCCAGGTTTTAACTTTTCAACGTCACTTTATTCGGATAGGGGATTAAATCCACGCAAAAGCCCCCAAGGGGCGAGCGTCGCGTGCCTGGATGCCGTTGACACAGCTGCCGATGATCTCGCGGTAGTCGCCCTTGGAGCAGAGCGGGCAGGCCTGCCGACTCTCCCACAGGAGGTGGAAGCTGCAGCCATCACACGTCCCCTCCGGACACTTGCTGCGTCATAAAACAAGGAAAGAGAAAACATGCCTCGATGCTCATTTGAGCAGAAGGTCGCTTTGAATGGCTTAGACTGGTCCTGCTTGTGTACTTTAGCTGTTGTATTTAATGTTCTTGGTGACAAATTGCCTCCGTTGACTTATTTAAGAAGCAATGGTAACAGCCTACTGAAGTATAGAGTCACTGTTAATTGTATGAATTGTTTGTAATCAATTGAGTGGCACACTATCACGCTAGGTCACGAGTTAAATATCTGGACATCCATGAACCCGTAATATTATCTGTTGGGGGTTAAAAATGAATAGGAAGGCATTCGTTGTCAACGTTTTGTCTCGTGGAGACAATGAGTCCCTGTCATAGCAATGCATAATTTCCCCAGACTTAAAAAAAACAAAGACCCCTTCAAACATTTTTTGGCAAACATCCCAATGCAAGACCCCCCACCACCCCGTGTCTTGAGACCCAGGGAAGGCTCTCCGTGGTTTAATAAATCACGTTTCATCATTGGCCCCTGTCAATCTAACATCAGTTATTACTGCTCAGTGACTGAGTATGCAAAATACAGAGAGTTTGACTTTGCAATTGTGTGACTGAGACTGCATCCGTACCTGGGCAAAGACACCACTCCTTTTCCGGGCATCTGCAGGTTGCACCGGAGTTGGATGCTTGAGGCTCGTCCAGTCGGGCATGACGAGGTATAATCTGATGATCTATTCAAGCACGTCCGCACGTAGTTTTCAATGCATTCGACACCATCACCGTCATTAGTCATTATCGATCCACTGCACTGCTGGATGAAGGCCTCCCCAAGCTATCGTTAACTTTCGTGGTCCTGCAATGTAACAATCCACGCAGCACCTGTACACTCCTCTATGGGACGTCTGCCTAAAACATTACCAAGCTGCAGCATTTACAAAATTCCTTGGCACGTGTTGTGACGGGTACTGCAAGATCCGACCATGTACGTCCAGTGCTTGCCGAGCTGCATCTGATTCCGGTTGCCGAACAAATACACTAAGGCCACACTCATTACACAAAAAGCGCTTGCCACAAATAAACCACAATACCTTGTTGATCTCGTCAAAGAGTATAAACTGTCACGTGAACTCTGGTCATCCTCGCAGCGACTTTTTGCTTCTACGGCCGTCTGGAATGCTCTTCCTTCCGATATTAGGAAGCCACTGGAGCTATGCACTTTTAAATATAGATTCAAAACTAATTTTTTTAGAACTGCTTTTTGTGTTTAGTTTGTTGCCTTCCTCTCACACCTCCGATTATCACGGTTGGCTACGTACGGTGCAAAAGAAGGCCAACATGCATATTCATACACAGCCTGAGTGGCCAGCGTATTGAAGTATGGGCAAGTAACTCTCACGACCAACACCATAGGGAGAGGGACCCTAATCCAGCGGTGGATTGACAGAAGGCCTGGACAGGGATACACGCAAACACGAGATGCGCAGAGTGTAAACTCGTAAAGCCTTTTGGGCTGGCTTCGCATACCGACACGGAGGCTCGGGGCCTTCTGAACGTCACCTGAAGTAGAAGACGACGTCTGGCAGGTCCTGCACTGTGTCCGGAAAGAGCGTGGGGTCGGCCGTGATGTTGTCCAGGACGCGCCGGATGCTCACGCCTACAGCATAAGCACCGCAAAGAGAGTTCTTCGCCACATCTGTGCAACCCCCTGACCCTTGATGCCCCCAAAGCGTTGGATTACAGGACACGTGCAAAGCCACCTACCCCCCGGCAAATCAGGGTAAATGAGGGTATAGTAGGCCCCGGGTAACGTTTTTAATCCATTCCACGAGAAATACTGTGAATCGAAATAAACTGTTAATCGAATTCACTTCTAGGTTAAAAAATAAGTAAAAAATCACTGAGTCTGCAAGAGAGCTGTTTCCACTCCCAAAACCGAAAACAAAGTAAACAAAGTCAGTTGAGGTCTAAACACTCATACATAGGCGTCGCTGATTGGCTGAGGCACACTCAGCCCCACTTATGAGCGCTCGGATTGGCCAAAATTGGCGACCTGCGTTCATAACATAAACATACCGTTAATTATAATTTTTTACATCAAGTCAAAACCATGGGAGTCCTATGGGAGGCAAAACGTTAACAAAAAAAAACGTTAACTGATGTCACTGTTCACCGAAAGACGACTGTATTGATATTGGCTAAGGGCACGCAGAGGCTGCAATTTATCCTCATTGATTTAGTGGGATACATCTATACGTGGCTAGCCCTTCTTTCCGATGAGACGTTACACGGTTGGTGGGACCTCTTCAATACAATTCCCCAGCCGAGTATTTGCCTTCCGTGTACGCGCAAGAAGGAACCGGCCGTATCAGTTGGGGCGCCGTTTTACCTATGATCCTGTCGGCGAGGCTGACGGGGTGCGTGGACAGCATGGCGCGCGCGCCCATCAGCTTGGTGGGCATGAGCGTGGAGAAGCAGACATGCGCCATGACCTGGCTCTGCCCGCTCAGGTCAAACTGCAGCAGGTGGCTCGAAGTGACGTTATCGGCGCAGAGCGCCAGCTCCCGGGCCTGCACAAACGCCACACGCGAACAGCACCTCCCGGTCAATCGCGTACTGGGTGCACCTCGCCGTACACACGTACATGTGGAGTCCGCTCCCCTGCCACCCCCACCACTTTGTCAATACACATTTATGCAGACTCGTGAATCTATTGTTCTTATCTTCGGCACGTAAATTACTGTACTGGAATCTATGCAGCAATCATCACCCCCTACTACAAAGACTTGGCAGGGGAGAGGTAAGAGAGTGCGTGCAGGGGAGTAGAGTGAGACGAGAGAGGCGAGGTAGGAGAGTGAGTGGAGGGAGTAATGTGAGACGAGAGAGGAAAGGCAGGATAGTACGTGTAGGGGAGTCAAATGAGATGAGAGGGGAAAGGTGGAAGAGTGCGTGAAGGGGAGTAGAATGAAATGAGTGAGGGGAGAGGAAGGCGGATGTGAGTCCACGGAGGATTGCGAAGGCGGTGACTGTACGTACGCCCTCACTTACTGGGCCGCCGCACAGGCTGATGTTGAAGTGGTGGTAGTACGAGGTGCCCTTGGCGGTGAAGCTGGGGTGGCTGGTGACCGACGCGATCTCCCGGAGCTCTGAAAAGTCGTAGGCGTACGGCACGGCATCATGGCGCCAGGAGAAGGTGCAGTTGCTGTAGCAGTACGACCGGTCCTGCAAGCAGAGCATACTTTAGCAAGAAACCATGGCAACGGAGTTTGTGTTACACTTGGCTTGGGAAAAAAAACCTGCCGAAATGTATTAACAAATATTCAAATTAATGGAATCCCGCGGGGGTGAGGGGGGAGGTGAGGAGGGAGTTGGGCATAGGGTTGAGTGGTCTCTCGCCCAAGAGGACGTAGTATTGATGGAGATGGAACGATGAAATCCACTTGCGTGTGGATTGTTACAGGAATCCGAGGTATGGTGACAACTCGAGGGAGGCCTTAATCCCTCAGTGGAGTGATTGTGACTAACCCACATACTCCTCCTCCTGTCTCTCATAGAAACTACACCACTGATGAACGATCCTGTTCACGTGAATATAGTGTACCGTCGCATGTCTGACCCATTGGGGCCTGAGGCATAGGCGGATATGTGAAAAGGTCAGATATTTTTACAATTAGGGTTACACTAACAAGTCCACTGGACAAAAATAAACTGCAAACTACTCTCTGTCCTTTAGAAATGAGCAAATTTACACGAGATTGAGAATACATGACTGGACATGAAATTGCTCGGATTTGTGAACATCTGTGGAAACTCTGATTATATCACCAAGGACAGATGACTGCACTGAGTGTGGGTGGTTAATTGGTTAGGGCGGATATGTGATGGTCGGATATGCGGGGGGCTTAATGTCAGCCGGAACAGTCCAAGATGCTGTTCCGCGAATTATTTTCAAGCCCAGCCACATCCGTCTCGCTTTATGATGAAGAAAATGATGTACATGTCGTTCAGGACAGTACTGATATTGAACTTCCTTGTCTTTAAGATCAACGGTCCTTAATGAGGATGCGCAGATGTCCGACGTCAAATCACGCGGCGCAAGGGACGTCAGCCCATCAGCATTACGGAAAATATAACGTGAGAAATTGAGCCCTGGATACACGACATTGTACTGTTACGGAAGGAGGAGTGTTGATAATAATAATTTCAACTGTAACGTGCCGCCACCGCACAGTATTCACACTTTTGGAGACAGAAAACGACTCGGGGGCATGAGGGGGAAGCACAGACAAGCGGGAAGACAGCCACATGGCGAGCCGGCGCCAACAACTGCCCCAGCTCCACGGTCACCTATGCATCAAGGTTTTATCGGCCAATTAATAAGTGCTTACATGTGGGAGGACACCAGAAGATCTGGAGAAAACCCACGCGTACGAGGGGGAAACACTCTATCCCGTACAGACGGAATAGGTGGGAGGTCCACATATCTGCTGTACAGCCTTCTGCTGGCGAGCCAGGGGTACGGCTCAACGACGCCCACGCGAAGGGAGTTCCGCAACATTCGTCCAGAGATCCACACCAAACCTCGCTGCTGCCTCCACAGGCACGCTGGATTTACAGGCAGCGACATGCAGCAGCAACGTAGGGCACCACGGTAGCGAGATATTAACTACCTCGCCTGGTATACAGGGGATCGTGGGTTCGATCCCAACCCTGACGCCTGTTGCATATTTGGAGTTTGCGGTGTCTCTCCCCCGTGGTCGCTTGGATTTTTCTCCAGGTCCTCCGGTTTTACCCTCCACATATAGCATTAACGTTTAGAGTATTTGGCTGTGATAAATTTTCACGTGATAAGCCACTTCGTTGAGCTATAATTTATGACCAGGTCGCTTCTCAAAAAGAGCCCCAACTGGTAAAATAAAAAACAGTTTAGTTTAGTACACGCCACCGGTGATGGCCTCACCGGCGAGCTGACGGTGCCGGGCCCGCACCGCACACACGCCGCTTCTCCGCTCAGCCTCGACGCGCCGAGCGCGGTGCCGGCGGGGCAGGCGCGGCACGAGCTGCTCTGGCGGTGGACGAAGTGGCCGGGAGGGCACGCGACGCACGCCGCACCGCCGAGGGACAACGGCGACGATAGCGATGGAGGTCCCAGGGCGCAGGGCCGGCAGCGCGAGGCGACGCCGTCCAGCGCGCCAGTCACCTCCACCGAGAAGATCTGCGCAACGTCCCTGTGGAACTTGCGTCCCGTCTGGATGGTGGGGAGGGGGGGAGAGTCGCCATGCGGGAGGGCGAATGGGTCGCTGTACGGCCAGGACCGGAGAGAAAACCGCGCAACTTGTCACGTATAAAACTATAAGAGTGCCTCTCAAATGCTTTCACTCTCGAATATAAAATAAGACACATGGGAAAGGTAGCCAATGTTAAATAACCAAAATATATAAATTTTTATAGCCACAAAAACCTACGTGTTGCATAAAACTATCATTCTTTAAAAAAAAATGTTTTTTTAACTACGCCAAGCACCTCCAGGAAAATCCAGGAACTCAAAATAAAGTTCCACAAAGTCAGAATAACCGCATCACCTGATCTTGCTTGTTAAACAATCGTCATGACCTCACAGGAACCATCCATCAGATGTAAAATAGATAACAACCAGAACAAATAACTTTACTCTAATTTGATTCGAATGTATCTGGGCCAAGTGATTACAAATTACACTGCAATATGCACAATAACTTCTCGCAAACGAATATACCCGCCCCGTAGCAGGATAACCTTCATTGACGGCGCGGTGCCAAGTGGCGGAGACACGTGCAGCGAGATTGCCTGGGCTTTGCGCTGCGTGAACACGGAGCACAGCGTAATCGTAGGCTGGGGGATACCCGCGAGAGAGGCACCGCCGTGCGCTGGAAGGCCCAAGTGAAGGTGAGCGACTCGTTGCGCGTCACGATGTGCCGGTAGGCCTGCCTGGGCTGAGTCCCGCGCCACGACTCCACCACCGCCGTCTTCTTCCCCATGTCCTGGCGAGCAAGCGGGCCGGGTGTATGGCAAAGCCATTGGGGGGAAAAAAGTATCCGTTTGATCACTCAAGTGTCGTGGTGAATGAATTATACTTGTCAGTGATTAGAGCACAGAGCTCACACTTTGAATGTTGTGAGTTTCAATAAAATAAATTCCGCCAGTAAATGAGAGCACATTGCCCCAATAATCGGTTCGTTCCACTGGCTACCAATCCTGTACCAGATCAATTTTAGGATCACACTCACTGCCTTCATACTTCTTTACCTCTCAATCTACTACCATCCACGAGTTCTACCTCTCCCCTCTCATTCCACTCTGCTCCCTTCCACGCACTCTCCTATCTCTCCCCTTTCATCTCACACATTGAAAACCGGCCACATTGATCACAGGATTTCCCAAAATGCAAACCAGTGCAAAAATTATGATTTGCATATATGCACATGAAGTTTGCCCTGCCAGCTGTCTGTCGCCTTCCATACTACTAAGTATTGCACAGCGTTTCATGAACCACGCACACGTATGATATTTCTAAACTTCTCCAGTGTGAAATTGCCATGGCATCTCATATTGCGTTTGGGGCGCTCAATAAGATGCCTCGAGAAATGGTTCAGTAATATGACATTCAGGGGCTGTTCTTTGACACATAACTACATCAACGATCACAGCTAGAGTTCCAAATGGGAAATTTGTAGTTTCATAACAAGACACTTAAGGCACAATTCTGGAATGATTGCAGATTTTTCATAAACCTAACAAGTAAATGATGCGGCCATGCCTCTCACCAGCATAAAGTGGAGCTCACAATCCGCCAAGCACTGCATCTCAAACACAAACGTGATGCTCGCTATGTCCGACTGCCCGGCGCCGAAGCTCGGAGTCCTGAAACGCAAACACGGATCAATGTCTCTACTTCCGGTTGTCCACCGCGTCTCTCTCCGCTCTCCTGTCGCCCTGCACTACAGCTCATGGTGGAACTCTCTGCAGCAGCAGCAGCAGCATCAGCACAACTCACAACCTCCTCCTCCCCTATACACCAAGGACCAGGACCGTCACTGGCGGGCGTCATTTCTCCATGGTAGCCCCCTCCATCTGGAACACAGTGATCATCGTCCCACTGCAAATTTGCAGCAGCATCAGTCAATCCACATCGACTTGGAAGAGACACTTGAAGGCCCCACCTCTCTCGCCTGGCTCTCGACGTACACCGAGCTTAGCTCTGTGCCTCAAGAGTCATGGTCACTTATGTCCGTGAAATAGTAAGCAGGTTACATTTGAATTTGTATTACTATCGTCATCATCATCAGCCATGATCAATCCTCTGCTGGATTAAGGTCTTCCTAAGCTATTGCCATCTTTTACAGTCACGCGAGATAGATATTGGTGAGTATAATGTACCAACGAGTCCTAATAAGAACGAAACCGATCCACGGTTGTCTATCATTGCATCACATTTTCTCAAATTAGTTTTTTTCTAAGTGTTCAAAGACAAGAGGACCACAATGCACTTCTTCGGGAAGTGCTGATGGGTTTATTTTTTGCATAATGCACACATGCAGTGTTTTTAACATGTGCGTATATGTGCATTGTTTAAAATGTACTGCATACATGTACCTATGTTGACCTTAATTCGCACCTTACGTAGCCAACAGTGCGAATCGGATTTGTGGGGGAAGGACAACAAACTAAACACAAAAACAGATGAGTTTTAAATCTAGATGATTTAAAAGTGCATAGCTCCAGCGGGTTCCTAATCTCGGAAGAGCGTTCGGGACGGCCGCGGAAGCGCATCCGAAAGCGCGCAATTCAGTGACCGTCTTTGTTCGATGGCTAGCCAAAAGCCGTACTTAGTACGTATGTATATATGCTGAACTTCTTTCGCACCGTACGTAGCCAACCGTGCAAATCGGAGGTGCGAGTACGGTTCATCCACCGGGTGATGAAACCTGTTGATCACATCGCTTGGTTGGAACACGCTGCCTGCTGGGCCGTGGCCGGGTGGGACCGTCACCTGAAGCCTGCGACGTGAAGGAAGAGGATGAGGTAATCGTCATCATTACTGCCAGCCCCACTGTAGATGTGGTCTCCAGCCACCTCCCAGCCTAGGAGGGGGGGGGGGGGGTTAAGGTCAGAAACATAATCATCACCGTTATTTTCTTCATCGTGATTACCACCATTATCGACACCTTCATTCACACCATCGTCATAGTTACCATAATTGTGATTGTAGTGTACTAATTCACAGACACTAGTTGGAGGTAGTCTCTCTCTCTTTTATTCCGGCCTTCACAGCCTTAGGGGATAACTACACACCGGGTCGGGACAGCCAACACGCTGCCAGACCCACGGCTTGAAGAGGGCGAAGATCACGACGAGTTCCATTCCAGATCGCAGCAGCCCCAACTGTGAGTCGGAGCTCGCCTTTTATCCTGCCCAGCGTGGCCAGACTCCGACCCTCGGCCCTGCACCCCTCTGGATCCCACAGAGGGCTCCGTGCCTTGCCCACAGGTCCAACTGGTAGAACGAGCTGCTACCCCTAATTCCATTGTCTTATAATCTCCCAGCGGCACGCACTACAGTGACTCATTCAATGTCACTACATTATCACGATCAACATCATCCCGCACATCTCCGATTAGCACGGTTGGCTACGTGCTGTGTGAAAGAAGTTCAACATAAATGCATCATCATCATCCTCACTGTCACATCATATTGTGATCTTTTTCTCACCATCATCACCAGTCATCATAAAAATTATTAATTATATAGTGAATGATTAATCTGTTGAAATGTCACTGGCACAAATCGCGATAAAAAAAATTACGTAAAATATAACTGAAAATTTTTTAAACTTTTTAGAAATAGAACCGTTGTTATTTCTAATTTCTGCACGAGAAATATGAGTTTCACTCCATTATTTCAGAACCACAAATGTAAAATCACAGCTACCAAAATGCATTTAATTTCACAGACCATTACCTGTTAAAACATCAAGGGATTATGAAAAAGTCATGCAAGAGTTTAAGACAAATTATGAAATGATACAAACGGTATTCACAACTAACATGATAGTAAAACTGATTTGTTATACTGGCGGTCGTGTCAACAAGGTCAGTGTTTAACTGCGTAAATACACACAAAGTCTTTATCATTAACGAAGCTTCAATATCGCGATGGACAGCTCCCCGGATACACAACAGATCTGTAAATCTAAATCCCCTTTGAACAATCACCTCTGTAAATTACGAAAAATAATATTACGACATGAACGTTCATGCAGGCTGCAAACAAGTAAATTGAACAACATGCAAAAAGCGTGCAGCACTGCACGCGCTCTCAGCCTTATCCAGACCACCGGCTCAAAAGAACTGAACGCGTGGCCGTGCTGTGATTTACAATCAGCAAATCATAGGGTTGAGTCTGAAGACGTCTTCCACGTTAATGCGGGCACAGGTACCCTGTGCTGACACATCAAAGCCTTCATATAACCTCTCACATGTAAACACTCATTCGTTGGACGATAACACCTTCATACACAGAGGACCGCAGAGCTTGGGCAATTGTTGGTGCTGGCTCACCACGAGGCTGCCTCCCCGCTTTTATGTAGCTCCTCGTGCCTCTGAATTGTTCTCTCAAAAGTGAGTGGCTCCTATGCGGCAAGTTACAAGTTGAAATTATAGTAACTATTATTATAACGATCGGTAATATTTTGCGGCCTCACCGTTCATGCTGTCGCACCTCTGGTTGCCCACGTTGAAGCACGTAGTCTCCATGTTATCAGGCAGCATGTTCCACCACTTGAAATCAAATCCCAGCACGGGTTCCGTGCCAGCTGGGCACGGAACGCAATCTGAACACGCACACACGTACACGGTTCGCGATAAAAAAAAAAACACACACACAGGACGGGTTGGAGGAAAATCTCGGTCGAAACAGCGCCGGACAAAGAGAAGCGGAAAGATCACTGCAGGGAGATCGACCACCGGGGAAAGACCACTGTGGAGCTGAGGTGGCGAGATGTAATCTCTCTTGACTTATATGCAGGGGTGCAGGGGTTTGACCTCGACCCTGATGCCTGTTGTATATAGTTGGAGTTCATGTGATATCCCTGTTGTGGATTTTTCTCCAGGTTCCTCCGGTTTTGCCCTCCACATTTAAAACACATGGGTTTAGATTATTTGGCTACTGATGTAAATTCCCATTTGTGTGGCCAGCTCACCTCTGACAAAGAGCTACAAGCTCAGTGGGCTTTACTTGGTAAAATAAAACAGTTAGTTATTTAGTTACATGGGTGTAGAACAAGGTGCCAAGGGACTTGGGAAGGGAAGAGAGCGCCAGTGCCCACCACTGGTGCCGTTGGAGTAGGTCCCAGTGGGGCAGGGCACACACGTGGAGTTGCGTGTGTTGTAGAAGCCTGCGTTGCAGGGAGGGCAAGGCCGCTTTGCTCCCGAGACGGGCAAATGAGTTGCCCCCTTCAAATCCTCGCGGCAAATCTTGGGCTCAATCCACCTGAAAATCACCTGCGTCTGAAACCCACGCACATCACACGCAGCTGCACGATGGTACATAATGCACGATGCTACATGCAGCATGGTGCTACATTTGTCACAATGATGAAATTTATCGGTATACAACACTACAGCCTACGACCAAATCACACCCGATCTTATCACATCTCAGAGATTAAGCGAGGTCTGAGCCTGGATAGTGCTTGGCTGGTTTACTACCATGTGTAACAGGCGCTATAGACTCCGGGGCTACATGGTCGGCAGCAGGGGGGCGGAACAGTAAATTAATTGTTTACTGTATTTCAAAGGTCTCACGACTACGGCTCCCCGCCTTCACTAACCCTCACTGACCTCTTGTAAGACCTGACCTCTTGACCTCATGTCAGTGTGGGTGTATGAAGTCATCTTGTTCTAGGCCACCAACACATTTGCTCAAATTTATTTGGATGGCGACCCAAGACAAGAGGACCACAATGCACTGCTTTAAGAACTGCTGATGGCGTTTGCCACGCGGACCGAGGCCGCGAGCTTTTTGTACACGTTTGTGTGTGCGATGTCTTAAACTTATGGCTGGGGTTCGACACCGTCAACTTTGTGTAGCTTTAGTGGGCGAATGTAGCCCATCCTCACCATCCCTTGCAAAGCTCTCCAGCCTTGGTTGTACTGTTGGTTTGTACTTAGTTGTAACGTGTGAACAAAAGGCATTGTTAATGCCTGCGATGAAACACGGACACCGTGGACTCACTTACCTGCCCATTCTCATCGCAGCCGGTGTGCAACTGGAAATAGTCATTGTCGGTGCAGGGCGGCTTTAGAGCACAGAAGGCGGAACCGATCTCTGCAAAGACAAAGATCCCCTGTATAGCCTTTAACAGACTGTTGGGGCAAGTCACACGAGGGAGTGGGTGACCAGCTGATGTTTTAATTAAGGCCAAGTCGACAGAGGAGAGGCCCAGGATACGGTTCAAATATTACAGGTAGGAACAACAGTTCCACACTGCCCACCAGGGATTATTTGTCTGTTGTGCATAGCCCCTCCCAAACATGTACGCTCCCGGCTTGGTTGAAGTGCGTCACGTGACCACGAGCTTTCTGTCGTGGACGAATGCGCTGTCCAACCAAGTTCCTACCTGCCCACTCCGAAGGAACGTGTTCGCTCGCCACTGTTATTGGCCCCAAGTGGAAAACGAACTCAGATCACCAGGTTCGTAGCGCAGCACACTAACCTCGACACTACTGCCCTATACTGTGTTAGTGAGTAGTGAGTGTCTCTAAGCTGTTTAAGTGGCTGTATACTTTGTTAGTGAGTGAATGTCTCTAAGCTGTGTTAATAAGTGAATGTTTTTATGCTGTGTTCGTGAGTGTCTATGCAGTGATCGTGTCTATGCCATGATGATAGTGAGCGTCTATGCTGTGTTAGTGAGTGTCTATGCCTCGCTAGTGAGCGAGCAGCTGCGAACCTGCGTAGTGCGTGGTTGTGTTGCACGGGGTGCAGGCGTGCGCTCCGCGTGGGGAGAACATATCCCTGGGACACGCGGTGCAGGTGCCTGCGCCCGGCTCGGCGCTGCAGGTGCCCGGCTTGCACGGGAAGCACTCCGACGTGTACGACACCCCTGGGGCAGAGGGCACGTGGCACAAGGTCAGCACAACGCGAGGAGAGTTCATACGGCATCTAAATGCGACCACATCTCAGCCGGGAAATGCCACGTGGATTCATATAGCATCTAAATGCGACCGCATCTCAACTGCACAAATCGACGTGGGCTCATTCAGCGTCTAAATGCGATAGCATCAAAGACGCCGTATAGAATTAGAACATGTACATTTACAGGCTTTTGTCAATCCACCGCTGGACGAGGGCTCAGCACACTCTGTGTGGGTCACTATGTTTGCTTGACTGTACTTCACCACGCTGGTTCAGATGTCCAACACAGCAACGGATTTTGCTGTGCCATCCTCTGCTGCCCACTACTCCTCGCCTGCTACTGTCGATGAAGCTCGGGACGAGGTCATACGGAAAGCTCATCATGGATCAATGCAACGGACATTTTGTTACGATTGTGCGACAGCTGCTTCATCGTCAGTGTGGAGCGGGGGGGGCCTGAGATCACCAGGGGTCACTCGTCGACGTTGTGTGCGACGTCATAGTCTATCGCTCGCCACATCTACAGAGTGGATTGTGCGTGATCACGTGGTGGTCCCCAGGTGTGGGAGGGAGGTTGGCTGCACACGAACCCTAACCGGTAAGGAAACTGGCTGGCATGGACCCCCCTGACCGGTACAGACCTTGGCCTGTACGGATTCTACAGAGCAGGGCCCACAACTGGCGTGGCAAGTGAACTGATGGAAGTGGAGGCACCGGCTTCCACCTGTGCCCATGCGTGTGGCGCTTCACCTGTGATGTGCACGTTGCGCACTAGGACAGGGTTGGGGATCTTGGTGCCCAGGAGGATGCCCGTCGTCCTCCAGTAGAGGACGTTGTTACCGGAGTTTAGCTTCACCTGCATGACGACACGAGCCACTAAGAATCAACCACACAGAATTATAATAATGGGCAGGAGTGCGTCCGTGTGTTAGCTGTGGTCTGGTTGTTATTAATCTGAAGTTAAACAGATAATCACTGGTTTGAAGCTTTTGTGACTGCAGGAATCTATACTCTTTGGTTCTTTCGGTAAAGTCACGTAGGTATAAAATAAAATAAATCACGACGTTTCGGGCGCAACACAAGCGTCCGTCATCAGGTCTGTGAGTTGCTTGATGACGGACACTTGTGTCGTGATTTATTTTATTTTATACCTACGTGACTTTACCGAAAGAACCAAAGAGTAATGAATCACTGGTTCTCTTTTTTTTTGGTATGGTGCCCCCCACCTCCTCCTCCCCCAATAAAGACCAACCCTGCCCTTATGTGCGAGTGTGTGCGTGTCCATCTTCTATATGGGGAGCGGTAACTGTAGCGGTTGGCGCTATGGGGAGTGGTAGTGTGGCGGTTAGCGCCCTACGGTACGAACCCGGCGATCCGAGTTCCGATTCCAACTCACGGCCACCAACACCAGTGACAATTATCTCAAGCAGTCATGGGCCTCCCCTAGGTCGACTCAGCCTAAACTTAGTACCTGGTGTGTTGTGTAAACATTGCAACTAAGGAGACAAAGGCCAGTGCTTTCTTTAGAAATGTTTTCTATTTCATTTGTTATCCTTCCCCCGCACCTCCGATTAGCATGGTTGGCTACGTACGGTGCAAAAGAAGTTCAACATACCTACATACAGCTGGGCATGGTGCTGGCCACCCACCCCCTCATATGCTGTGAGCGGCCTCCAGAGGTGCTAGTCACTAACAAGCCTTGCCCCAACAGTCTGCTAAAGCTTTGTCTTTATGCATCTCAACACGTTTTAGGGGCACGGCTCGGCTTCTGCAGCGGCGATATGACCTGGCGCCTCATCGATTCACAGTAGGGGAATAAAAGAGATTTTAGTTTCGTCGACGCAATGTGGCACCGACGACGTTCTCCACGCACACGATTGAAATTTCTCCCGCACGATGATCACGCCGCAGTCTGCGGTCTCCCCCCACGCCACCGCCCCTGCTCCCCACCCATGCATTAGCGTTTCTGTTGTGATGTTTTTTTCTCGTCATGTTTATATTTTTTTAATGAGCACCACTAGAATACTGCCACGACGCCACGGGTGCGAGAGGCCACGCGGTTGTGACACCAAACCTCTCATGGTGCCCACCTCACCGTGTGGCTTCTCCAGACGCCACCTTTGGACTTGAGGAGGAATTTGTTACTGTCGTCATTCTCCGTCGCCTGGCACTGGTCGTTCTGGACCTGGGTAAAACACAGCCGGAATGGAAAAAAACACAGCCAAATTGGGCCACGGTGTGAGAGTCGGGCATCAACACTCATGGACCGTAACACTGCGAGCGACGGGCCGTACGTCATCACACTTGCGTGGCAGCGTCGTCATCATCAGCCGTGATCTATCCACCGCTGGATGAAGGCCTCTCCCAGGTCGTCGCTATCACTCACGGTTACACAATGCACTCGAGCCGATTTAATTGCTCCATCTCCGCGCTGTGTGTCCTATCGGGCGCGTTCCCTCGCATGGCATTCAATGGACATAATACTCACTCGTCAACAACAGTGCGGCCTTAACAAAAACAGGTAATTGGTGACGTTTCGGGCAATGGTCCTCCCTCATAGCACATAAAGAAAGCGGCCAGAAAGATGGAGTTCATTAATAAGGCTTGGAGACTGCACTTAACACCAGAGGTCCTGATGAGAAACTTTTTCTTCTTCTGATGACAAGTTTTTGAATGGGCTGATAGTAGCTATTTTAGCTGGTAGTAGTTATTGAGCGCCGGACAATACAATAGTAACGTTTGAAAAAGTAACCCAAGGCGGCGAAAAATCGACGTTGGTGATAACGCAGCCAACAGCGATTGGTGAGAAGCCATGGGGAGCTGTAGTTTGCACAACATGGGTGGTGAATAAAGAGCAAGATTAGAGGAAGGCGTGATCCCAACACGGCTCTAATCTTGTAGATACCCACCTAGACTGCCGAGTCCTGGGCTGTCTAACACAAGTCTGAAGCGTCGATAACGGGCAAAAAAACAACCCATTTCAAGTACAGGTCAGAAGCGTTTTGGCAGTGTTTTACCATGGTGATGTATTAGCGAGCATGGCAGTGAGGCTAAAACTAAACTACTTTTATTTTACAAAGTCAGGCCCACTGAGCTGTGTAGCTCTTTTTCAGACGCGACTTGGCCACAAGTGAAAGCGAAAATAAAGTGCCTTATCAGGTGGAAATGTTTGGCAACCAAATACTATAAACACATCTTTAGAAATGTGGAGGGAAAATATACTCTTTGGTTTTTTTCGGTAAAGTCACATAGGTAAAAAATTAAATAAATGAAAACAACTAAATTAAATCATGACGTTTCGGGCGCAACACAAGCGTCCTTCTTCAGGTGGGGACAACGTAGCGAAAGGAGGGAAAAACCAGAGGACCCGGAGAGAAATCCACGCGACCACGGGGAGAGAGACACGCAAACTCCAAATATACAGGCGTCAGGGTCGAGATCGAACCCACGACCAGGCGAGGTAGTTAACATCTCAAGCAACAGAGAGGTTACAAAAGCGTTGCTGACATTACCTGTAAAGCTGTTTTCTCATTAATGAGGGTTCACATTCATGTTCAACAGCCCAGGACAAGCAAACCTAACAAAAGAACTGAGTTTTTTTCTTGTTGTGAATAATCTGTTAAAATACGCAGTCTTTCCCCCTAATTTTATTCCCATTGTGATATCGGCATCACGCCATGAGACGAAGTATCAATTAGGAACTCTCGCAGAATAGGGCAGCCCTTAGCCTCAGAAAATGGCCCACAGAAGCAGATATCGCAGAGCTACCTCTGATATCCCTTCCAAACGACCGCTGTTCTACACAGTAGGGGGTAGCACTTTCCCACCCACGCTGCCACAGAGTAATTTTCGCCAAATGACAGACCGATACATTTTTTATTCTCAGCTGGAATTTATCCATATTAATTACAGGACCAAGTTTAATGAAATGTCTTTTGTGACCGTGCTGAGATTATCACCTCGCTGCATTTGAGAACCCGGTTACAGGCGGCTGCCTAAAGATTAAAAACTCAGTGATGCCAGCTCAGTACTTTCACCTATAAGCCACCCAGTCATCTCCAATAACAATAAATGTATCTGCTTTGTGCCATCCTTTAAAGAAGCTCGGAGAGAGAAGACTGAGAGAGAAGCTGAGAAAAAGGTGGACTTCAACACTGTCGGCAGAATTACACACCTAAAAAAATAACAACCATATATTGGTTACAGTACTCAAGATGTTTTTCTTACAAAGAACTCAAAGAGGATGCTGGAGTCCGGGTACTGGTATTCGAAGGAGACCTCGCCGGACGTCTTCAGAGTGACTGCATAGACAAGGGACGCCATGCATTCGTCGCGGTTGGACATGATGAAGTGTCTGTGTGGAGTCCACACCGACCTGCCGGGAGAAGAGCAACGAGGTTTACGAGTGAAGTCGTGGGGGGAGGGTGGGGGGGGTTTGCACGCAGCCCGACAATTCCTGTGCTCTGCCCGTGTGTGTATTGGTGGTGGACTGAAGCGGGATATTTCTGCCCCAGCTAAACAGAGATAACTAAATATTATTATTATTGAGATCGTCTTCCGTATGGGCATGTTGCGGAGATGAAAAACTGATTTTGACGTCTGAATTCTGCAGCCATTTGGCGGCATTGCCTGTGAGCTGGTGAATCGCTTCGGTGCTACCACTACATGGTCTTGACGGTCAGTCAGCAGGTGACCACGTGCTCAATCGTTTGTTCCGTTCCGCGGCTGCACGTGGAGCTATCGTTATCTTACACTTTTGTAGGAGATAAGCGCATCGGCCATGCGATGTCCAAACGTGATTCAACGTGGGAAGCAAGAAGCCAGGAAGGGGTTCGGTTGGGCTCACATATGATCGTTGAGATGATAGCGAGATAAACGAGTGAGAGATCAGAGAGCTGGAGACAACAGCTACACATCAGCGGTCACATTATAGAACCGTTAAGACCACGTGACACCACGTGACATCGTAACATCTGTACGTGTGACATTACGCCACTGTGTGGCCCACGGGCACGCACCAATGTCTTCATGCGGCCCATCGAAAAACACAGGTGAAGAACCCTGCTCTAAACTACAGCACATGCATGTATGGACTGCGTGCTTCGCTTCGCTCACTGGCTTGATCCGTTTTACCCCATTGCGTACCTACCACCCATAACTCACTCTTCTCTCTTTCTCTCCTCTCTCTCCCCGACTTGATATATTTAAAAATCAGCTTCATAGCTCATCGGATTTCTCCAGGATGAATAAAGATTCTGATTCTCTCTACTCCCTCTGCTTCTCTTCCCTCCCTTAGATCGCAACCCGGTTCCTCTCTAGACCCGTAACTCTTTTCCCATCTTCGGCGATCTCTTTGTGCACCCCCCGGTTCCGTGTTGCTACGTTTTTTTAAAATCTTTGCTCAAAATAAAAAGAGAACGAGCAAGAGGTACAAAACGATGTTTACCGAACGCACACCCGGCGGTGTACACAGCGCGATTGGTCGATCGCCGGCCCCGCTGCGGGACAACTCACTGGCGACACTTCTGTTGGACCAGCGCGGCGGGCGACTGCCCGCCCGAGTCCACCGTGCTCGTGTGGACCGCGAAGCCCGGGGGCAGCTCGTCCCACTCGTCGAAGCGCACGCCGCTGCCCAGAGAGAAGGTGCCAGCGGCACACGCGCTGCACTCCTGAGAGCGCAGGTCCAGGTACTCACCCACCCCGCAGGAAAACGCTGGGGGAAAAACGTAAACACCGTCAGCATCTCCGCCGCCTGTCGCTCCTGCGCATCAATGATTAAAGTCTTATTTTAAATATCGTCGTTCATGGAGCTTGCATCCCAAAACACTGTCCAACTCGTCACGTGCGTAGATTTTGTATGGGAGCGAGGGCAATCACAGGCAAGCGGGAAAGCAAAAACGGTGCCGATAACTGACCCAACAAGCTCTGTGGTCTTATACTGGCATATGGGGGCGCCGCAGTGGTGAGATGTTAACTACCTAGCCTGGTATACAGGAGATCGTGGGTTCGATCCCGACCCTGACGCTTGTATATTTGGAGTTTGAATGTGCTCTCCGTGGTCGGGTGGATTTTTCTCCGGGTTCTCCGGTTTTTCCCTCCACATTTAGAATCAACATGCGTTGAAAGTAATTGTTTGCAATACATTTCCACATGATGATAAGCCACTTCGTTAAGCTATCACTTGTGACCATTGTCGCTTCTGAAAATTAGCTATACAACTCAGTGGGCTTTACCTGGTAAAATAAAATAGTTGAGTTTAAATAGTTGAGATATTTGGACAACTCCAACTAACGAGCATTTATAAATGTGTCACTCACTGCACTCGGTGCCCCGGACGGGCTCTGGGAGACCCGTGCAGAGCCCCGGCGTGTGCGGCACGGCGACGCGCCACCGCAGCCCGCTGCTGTCGCACTCCGTGTACTCGAAGTAGTAGTCGAGCTGCAGAACCGTCGTGGCGGGCAGCGGTGAGGTGGGGAGGGGGGGGGAGGAACGATCAGACAGAGAGACATCGATGGATTGTGCTTTCTGTTGTGTCTGAAGATCACTACGCTGCTCAGAGTACGATATCGAACAGAATGGAAGGGCGTTTTAAAACCTCCAGCTGTAAATCTGATTTTAAGACAAAGGGAAAGATCCCCATGTTCAGGCCTTCCTTTAACTTTTAAGGCAAGTACACTTATGACGTTGATATGTATGACAAGATCACCCAGAATGTACCTGAACTCATCAGATCTTTAGAAGCTAAGCAGAATAGAGCCTGAATAGCGCTTCGATGAATGGCCACTAAGCTGCTGTGGAGCTGCATGTTAGCAACGAAGAGCAATGACGCAAAATTGTTGTACAGTACTGTACATCTATTCACCCTCATCTACGCTCCCTGCCTTTGCCCCACTAAGGCTTGGCTTGACCAGCATGAAGCGTGATCAAAATAGATCAACGATGAACCCGCATGGCGTGGACCAGTTCAAATATCACTCCCCACCGCTGATGCGAGCCATGGCAAAGAGTATAAAACTCAGGTCACCATGTTCAAACGTATTTTTGGATTGTATTTAAGAGAAATGTCGAGATAGGTTAACAACAACAAAAACACAGCACCAATACCACAGAAATTCACGAGTCAGGCCTGGGACTGCACTGGCGACGTTTCTATGCATCGTGGTGATGCAGCAATAGCATGGCAGCATTGATTTGCATGCACCTCTTCAGCTTCGAAAGTGCTATTTACATATTTGTTTTTATGCAATGTTTTCAAGTATGACCTCAAAGACTTTAACATCATCGTCAATGAGTGAGAAGCTCTGGTGAAAAAAAAAAAGGAAAACTGGCGCAACAGACTCTGGGTGGACCACACGGGACGAAGACGCGAGATGGTTTCAGAAGATCTGGGAGAAGTGCATGGTGCGTACGAAGTGGGGCACAGGCAGCCAATCAGAAAATCGGCAGCCATGACAGAACCAGAGTCAAGTACAGATGCGACAACTGCAGCGGTAGCGGCAGCAGGATCAGCATGCTCCGTTGTTCCAGGATCAACCTTTTCAGTCATGACAGGAAATGTCCAAGTAATTTTAATCCTCTTGAAAATATTGGAAAGCTGAAAACCCATCGTCTTCCTCTCAAGAACGGATGCCATGAATGACGCGTCCCCAATAATAACCCCCTTGTGTGCGGGTCACGGTATACCCGCTCACGTTTTTTCGAGGACACGATGAATTGTTCATGTTTTTGTTTATTGTGGTTGCACCCGATTCAAGAGCCGAATGGCTCACAGGGCTATACCAAATGAATTAAACTGAAAACTGAAACTGAATTCACCATACTGTGAAAACACGAACCCGTTACATTTGCAATTTTCAAAGCAGGGAACGCACTGTCCACGGTCTTGGCAGGAGGTGGGAGAGGCGTGGGCGGTGGTAGCCTTAAACAAAAAGGACGCCAGATGGCCGAATGAGTATTGATTTCAAGGAGAGATATTGGATGGGGGTGCTTTGTGGGAATAGACACTGCATTGTAAATGAATGCATAGCTTACGTCTGAGAAGCAGGTGTGCCCCCCATACAATGGAGCCACAGTTAAGTGAAGCCAAGAACAGAGAAGGGGGTAGGGGGAGGATGAAGACTGAAAGGTGGATGGGTGGACAAGCCAATGATTTAATGGAACGGACGCACCAGTGTGGAGAGACATACACGACCGCTTTAGAAAATATCAAAAGGCCCTTCAAAGGGGAATTGCTACGCATTGATGCTACTAGTCCAACGATTAGCTTCACAGGAGCGTATCTCGGTACATGACTAACAGGCTGTGTTGTACATCCCAGAGTCAGATAAACCTGAAATGAATCACAACTCATTCCATGAAAGATGAGAAACTCAACAAAGCGTGTGAAGGGTGGAAATAAATAAGAGTACTGTATTGTAATAATGATACAGTACTCAGGGTCCCCGACGCGTTCAAACTAAACCATGACGTTGAAGCACAGAGCCCCCCCAAACCGCGGGGCCTAGGGCAGTCGCCCCGATTCTCCGTACCCTAGGAACGGCTCTAACAATACTGCGCATGCAAGAGGTCATATATAGACTAAAAAAAGAAAGGAGCAATTGCGACTGTAGGATTGGTTCCTCCCAGAATCCCTTCCATGTCATGTCACATGACCAAACTGCGATTGAGTATAAACTCTTAAGAATTAACAAGAATGTTGAGTGTACAGGATGCTATGCTTTTCAGCCCTCTAGAATATTTCCAACTATTACTATAGTACAGTGGATCCAGAGGTCTAAACTAAGACATGTTCTATTTGACCAGGTAATGCCCACTGAGCTATATAGCTCTTGTAATTTAAAAGCGACCTGGTCACAAATGATAGCTCAACGAAGTGGCTTGTCGTCACGTTCAAATTTATATCAGCCAAATACTCTAAACGCACGTTGATTCTAAATGTGGAGGGAAAAACCGGATTGCCCAGAGAAAATTCCACACAACCACGGGGAGAGAGACACATACAAATTCCCAATATACAACAGGCATCAGGGCCGGGATCGAACCTCACGAACTCCTGTATACCAGTCGAGGTGGTTAACATCTCAACACTGTGTCGCCAGTTCAATCTCCTGCAGGCGTGACAGTTGAAACAATTGTGAACGTTTCTTAAACCCCCCACACCCCACTGCGTCTGTCCACCCAGACAGTATAAACAGGTTGATCACAGTCGATCGGTAGGTCACGTGTGGTGGGGTAAAGTAGGGGTACTAGCACCTCTTCCAAGGCTTCTGGCCAGCGTGGAAGAGGAGGCCAAAATAGCCTCAAGTGAAGGCCCTTTCGGCAGCAGCGGCGCGAGTTAGTAAGGCAGCACTAATTATGTTCGTGGCGTACTCTATGCATGGCTCAACCCCTGCATTGCCGTACGTTTCCATAAGTTTCCACGTACACGATGAACTTGCAAATGCGTTGTTATCGTGACGGTGGTGGTAAATGGACGTTGATAACGATGTTGACGTGAGCAGGTGTGAAGTGACAGTGTGTGCAAAGGAGGGAGCTCACGCGGGCTTCCACAGCGACACAATTCGGTCACCGTAAACACGAGCACGGTTCACTCGGCTGTCTGCAGGTGTCCGGGATAAAGCACACGATCTGCTTGGCCGTGAGAGTTATAATTGTCGCGAGGAGGTCGGCTGACCTCCTAAGCTTATCAGCGGCTGTGAGATTGCATTCTAGTCATGCAGCACACACACACACACATGGACTGGTGGCCCAGTTTAGAGCGTTGCAGTGGTTGGATGAAGCCAGCGTACTGTACAGCCTCGCTGCAATTACATTAACTGTAATGTAAAAGCAATATAGTAGCCTCAACAGGGCCTCTTATTAAATATTAATGTGAACAGAGCAAGCTCAACGGAATTAATTTCAAGCTGTAACTTTGCCACGGATGAGGCTTAAAAGCACGTGTGCATGTGACAGACATGTACAAGCCTTTGGCAATCCACTGCTGGGCGAGGGCCTCCCCACACTGTATGGAACGTGAGGATCAGTGGAATATACTTCACCAAGCTGGGTCAGTACGAGTTGGTGAACGCGAGGAGCATGGGAGAATAGACGTACAGAACAGAAATAGATTTTCCTGCATTCAGAATAACAGTATTTATACTGGAGGAATCCAATGAGCTATAAAGCTCTTTTCACAGATGTCCTGTCGACGTCTGTGAAATTGCCCTCTGCTGCCCAAAACATAGCCCCACATCCTAAAACACCCGTTACGCATGATGGTCGACCATCCAAGCACTGTCCAGGCTAAAAGCCTGCTTAGCTTCAGAGATCTGATGAGATATGGTTCATTCTAAATAATTTGGCCAAGGTCACAAATACACTGTGTGTCAGATATGTGCAGACGAAGAGGCTGTCCTCTACAGATAAGGCCCAATACAATAACCACAACACTCAACCTATACGGCCAGTGGACGTAATACTCTACAGTCCTTTATCAATTCGCTGCTGGACGAAAGGCTTCCCCATGACTTTCGATAATGGGGATTGTTTGACCATACTTCACCACGCTGATCAGTGCTGGTTGGTGCAGGGTGGGGGCCTCGCGACCGGTTTAGATACCACTCGCCGCTCATTGGGAGCCGTGGGTGGTAATTGAACTTAGGTCACCAGGATCACGGTGAAGTGTGATAACCACTATGCCACCGTGCCACCGATTAATACTGTTTCATTTATCCAGACAAGACCGCTCACTTGAAGTGGCAAAACCTTAGTGGTACCAGTACCTTTATATTGGCAATAAAACCGAATTATTCATTAACCAGTTTTAAATTGAGTGGTTCCTCACGTCATCATCTGTTACTGAATATATAAGCAAATTGGTGCCATAAAAACTCAATAACTAAGGCACAGCGTTTGCAATGGTGGACAGTACAATTAACAACTCATGACCATCTCATAGTATGTAATGCTTCATCATATAACCTGGACATAGGAACCATTTTAAAATAACAAACGAAAGCTCGCCTATGACAAAATCACCCATCAGATCTTGGAAGTTGAGCAGGTCTGAACCTGGATAGCACTCGGATGAGTGGCCACCATTCGTAAACCAGGTTCTCATGCGGCGCTATGGTCAGATGCATGGTTAGAGTGTAATTCTATGCTTCAACATCTACGCATTTCACCTTCACAAAACCTGGACTAACAAGTACGGTAAGATAACCCCCATAGCCCGCAGTGGAATGGGGTTGCCCTTACCCAACAGTGGATTGACAAAGGGTCATGTGTGCATGTACCAATACGTGTAATAATACTGACATCAACTTCATTCATATTTCCCACTGTTTGATTTTCAATAACTTCGCTCATCAGCCTTCTGAAGAAGTGATTCAAGGCATTAAACTAAGAGTTCTAATTCAATATGTCTGCCCTCGCCTCGTGAATAATGGTGGGGATTTTTTTAAATCCGTCTCACTAAAGTGTTTCCACAACAGGACACTACCACTGATTTCCACTGATGCCTGTGCACAGTTACGAGTGAAATGTAATGTATGTCTCCTCTATAAATTAAACATCATAAAAAGAAGCAGCCCCAAAATTAAGAGGATACATTTTGCTCAATATTTCCATGGAAGTGAAATACCTCAATCAATTGAATGATGCTTAAGTTATTATTTTGCTCGATAAAAAGAGATGATAAAACTGCATTGCCACTTCCTCTAAAGTCTCCTGTATAAATCGACGTCAACTAAGCGACATTTGACCCGAAGTGGCTTGATAGGCAACTGACCCGTCAGAACTACTGCTTAATTTCAGCCGGATTGGCAACCTGGAAAATATTTCCACGCCTGGCACACCGCATCCAGAATACTTCTCGCCTATGACTGTGGCCACAAATTACGTTCCACATCCCCAGTGGTCACCCAGAACGGACCATTAAAACACAAAACGACTCAATGCCGCATTTACAAACACGACGGAAGCATCACCACAGTGACACACGCCACTGTGCCACGTATGACGCTATTATCTGGCCCAACCACCTCAATGTGAAATACTGTATAGGTTTTGCTCGACATCAATATCAGCCATACGAAAGAAGAACCGCCCAGTCTCACCAGTGCTCTGTAGAATATTTAAACAAGTTGAGCGCTGGCCTCCTGTTAAAATTAGCATAACTGGCCAGACATCATCACCTCAGCAGTTATGTTAAACCAACCGACAGACACCAGTGTTTCCCAAACCTCTGCGAAGCAGCGGACTCCCTGATAACTCCAAAAATACATATATGTATATAAATTCACAAATCCATTGTTCGTGAAAACAAAACCCGTATCTGCAACAGTTCGGCGAAACCACTGTTGTTGCCACGGCCTTGCTGACCCACCAGCGGACCACAGGGGTTGGCAACCACCACCAACCACCACAATCACTGCCAGATTAAGCTAGTGCGGGGCCTATAGCATATGTTCTAAAGGGGCCATACATTTTCTAAAAACACACATTTTTAACTGGCATAGTAAAGTAATTGTATTTTTTTCATTTGCTATAGTCAGATAATACGACAAATCGCCAAAACACCCAGTCGTTCATAAAAGTCGAAGGCAGTATAGTACTATAATAATAGAGCAAGTGCAGAATCACTGAACCGGAATTGATAGCTTGAAAGCATTTAGCGCGGGGCCCGTAGCACAATGTAGTAGCTACTTTTGCTCCGAGCATAATCCGGCACGGACCACAACCCGACCATCACTGGGAAAGAAAAATGCGAAGCGACGACACCACAACGACCCTTGCCTTGCCGCAGGTCCGACGCCGCGAGACCTCGGGCTCGAACTTGACCCCGCGCGTAGCCGGGACCAAAAGAGGCTCCGCTAGCAACAAGAGCAGCACCAGGGACAGCAGCAGCAGCCGCTGCGGCTGTGGTGCAAACATGACGGACGCGATCAGCGGTGGGTGGCGGCTCTTCTTCCCCTCCTCCTCCTTCCTCCTCCTCGTCGTGCTCCGGAACAGTTGTGTCGCCCTGGAGATGAGCAGCGATGGGGCAGACGCGAAAGGCTGAGAGTGAATCCACGGACACACACAGAGAGAAGGGAGGGGGAGACACAACACAATGGAGTGGGAGCAGAATCAAACGAATCCGTATCCCTCTTGTAAATCCTAATCTGCCTGTCTCTCCCTCCACGAACATCTCTCTCTCTCTCCAATGTGTGGCTGCCTCTCTTACGGTCACCACCTCCATTCTTCAACTTGTCCTTCCCTCACCCCATCCCTCACCAACCTGCCCTCCCCTGCCAACTTTTACCCCCTGGCTCAGCCTCCCTCCATCAGCCAACTACCATCCATCCAGCTTCTCTCTCATCCTCACCATCTGCCGTCTCTTCCTCGCCCATCCTGCCTCCTCACACGACGTCGCCCATACCACACTCACTCACCTCCCCATCTACATTTTGTGTTTTTAAATTATACGACTCTCATCTCCAACCCTCATTCGTCTGCTTGCTCCTTTCCCTCACACCCCCTAGTCTTCATTTCTCTCGCTTCCATCGCCTCGTTCTCCCTCGCCACCTCCGATTAACACGGTCGGCAATGTACGGTGCGAAAGAAATTCCAACATACGTACAATGCGTATCCCCTCAACCTCTGCGACTCTCACACCTGTCATCGACCCCTCAACATCAATCACCCTGCCTCAGCTCCCTATCCTCTCTCATTCACCCTCACCTCCCTCTCGTCCCACCCTCTACTCACCCATCCCTCTCATCCCACCCTCTACTCACCCACCCCTCACCCCTCCTATCTTCCTCTCTCATTCACCCTCACCTCCCCCTCTCCTCACCCACCCCTCACCTCCCTCTCATCTCACCCTCTACCCCCCCCATCTTCCTCTCTCATTCACCCTCACCTCCCTCTCATCCCACCCACCCCTCACCCCCCTATCCTAATTCACCCTCACCTCCCTCTCGTCCCACCCTCCCTCACCCACCCCTCACCCCTCCTATCTTCCTCTCTCATTCACCCTCACCTCCCCCTCTCCTCACCCACCCCTCACCTCCCTCTCATCCCACCCTCTACCCCCCCCCCCCCCATCTTCCTCTCTCATTCACCCTCACCTCCCTCTCATCCCACCCACCCCTCACCCTCTACTCACCCCCCTATCCAAATTCACCCTCACCTCCCTCTCGTCCCACCCTCCCTCACCCACCCCTCACCCCCCCATCCTCCTCTCTCATTCACCCTCACCTCCTCCTCGTCCCACCCTCCCTCACCCTCTCCTCACCCACTCCTCACCCACACACTCCTCTCCCCACACCGTTGTTATGGCCGATGCAAGGCACTGGACGTCCAGCCACTCACCCACCGCCCTCTGCTACAGCTGCACCCCCACGGCTGCGGCGTATGCCACCCCCCTCCTTCCCCTCCTCCCCTCCCTCCCGCAGTTGAATGCCGAACGTGATGCTGCGAGTCCGTGGTTGCGATCGTCGAGTGTGGGGAAGAGAGAGGGGGGGTGGGGGGTGAATAAAGGCGCCGGATAGAGGCGATGTGGATGGATGCGATCTCTCCCCGCGCACGTGAGCGCAGTGCTCTCCTCCTCCTCCGTGAAGCTGCGGGGGGGGGGCTGCAGCTGCAACGGGCGGGGTGGTGGTGACGTCACCTCGGCGGGGCCACGACGTCAGGCGGATGACATCACAGCAAATACTCTTCGGTTTTTTTCGGTGAAGTCACGTAGGTAAAAATAATAATAATAATAATAAGTAAATAGTACAAATATATAATAAATATAGATATTAATATTAAATCATAACAATAAATTATAAAAATAAATATTAAAAATATCTAAAATAATAATAGAAATAAAATAATAAATCACGACGTTTCGGAGGCAACACAAGTCTCCGTCATCAGGTGGGACCGTCACAGCTAAATTTACTGTATAAAGTGAGGAAAAAATCCAAGAGACGGTCCCACCTGATGACGGAGACTTGTGTTGCCTCCGAAACGTCGTGATTTATTATTTTATTTCTATTATTTCTATTATTTTTATTATTTATTTTTACCTACGTGACTTTACCGAAAAAACCTAAGAGTATGAATCCTTGCAGTCACGAAAGCTTCAAATCTAGAATCACAGCAAATGTCTCGCTCGCTCGCTGACAACAATCAATTTCAGTTTAATTTATTAGGTATAGCCCTGTGAGCCATTCGGCTCTTGAATCGGGTGCAACCGCAACAAACAAAAAACAAAAATATGAACAAGAAAACATCTTAAAGTGACTATGTGACTAAGTGCAAACAGAAACCCTAAGAAAAGACAGCAAAATATTGCAGAAAAAGCACCGTACACCAACGCTGTGTGCAAGAATCCCAGTGGGATGCAAGTCAAACAACAACAACAACCACAAGACAACTTAGATTAAGGCCATCAGTCTAACTCCGTACTACAACAAACAAACATGGCCGAACCAAAAAACTTTTCGAAATCACCAAAATAAAGCCATAAAAGTAATGTAACAGTGATCATAGGAACTGTGACTGGAAATTTCACAATAAACGACATAAACAACATGTACCACCAAAACCCTGCAGCCATAGCTGGCTGCATGAGTCACTCCACAACAGCAGGAGCATCAGTCAAACGTCGAAGAGCAACACAAACAAGTATAACCCGTAAAAACAAAGTTTTTCACTATAAATCCTTTATATGCGTGGCGGCTAGAGTCCTCTCGTCCTCTGGCTTGAGATGGCTGCCACCTATGGGTCAGATGATTGCATTGCACCATTAAGCAATTGGTAATTAAATATAATATTTTTGTCCTAAAAAGTGTAAAATTTTGGGAAAAAAATTTCACGAACATTAATTGTCACGCACAACGAGTCTGTGTGGAAAATGTCAGCTCGATTGGATCACGAGAAGTTGGTTAAAAAACGACCGAAAGATTTGCACAGTCATCAACAAGCAAGCGAACTTAATATAAAGGATTTAAAAAATCGCACCCATCGCGAAGCCCTCTAACAACACCGAGGACTTTGTTGTGGTTGTTTGCTGCAAGTGCTGTTTGAGCGAGAGCACCTTTGGTGGCCGACATCCATGCCCGGCCGCCTTTGTCTCCCCAGTGACGATGGTTATACATTGCACCAGGTAGTCATTTGAGGCTGAGTTGACCTAGGGGAGGGCCGAGGACCGGTTTAGATAATTAATCGTTACTGGTGTTAGCCGTGAGCAGGAATCGAACCCGGGTCACCAGGTGCATAGTGCAGAGCGCTAACCACTACACTACCGCTTCCCCACCACTACCATCCCCATCCCACACACGCAAATATTCCACCCCACCCTGGTTCGTCTGTAACAGACTGTTTCGGGGGGGGGGGGGCAAGTGTTGTTTTGCGAGCACTTTGGAGGTCGGCACGGGTTGGGTGGCCAGCACCACGCCCGGCCATCCTTGTCTCGCTCGTGGCAATGTGTTTTTCACACGCTGCACCAGCTACTCACTTCAGGCTAAGTCGACCTATGGGGAGGCCCAGGATCTCGTTCAGATGTACGTCACTTGCTGTTGGCCGTGAGCCTCGCCGGGTTCGTAACTCACAATCTCATACTCATGTACTTGTGTTGCCAGAGTTGGGGGGGTATTTTTCATTGTTAAATATGTAGGGAGTCATGCACAAGCACATGTAACATTTTTTTTCCAATTGTGTCTATCACACTATGGCTTTAAATAGAAAAATATAAAAGATGACGTTTCGGGCAATGGCCCTTCATACCATTTATGATTTTTGATTAATTTAACCTATAAATTGCTAAAGTTCGTGGCCACCTACCTTACTGTCAACTTCATTCCTCTTCAAGTATTTCCCTCCCTCCCTCACCTGCTTCCCCCTCACTCCCCTTGCCTGCCTCCATCACCTCCCTGGCTCAGCTCTGTCCGTCACCACCCCACATCCCCCTACCCTCACCTTCCCTCCCACCCTTACCTGTAATGTCTCCTATCCTCATCATCTGCCGAATTATGAGGAAGCCACTGGAGCTATTCGGAAGCCACTGGAGTTCTGCACTTTTAAATCTAGATTGAAAAACTCATTCTTTAGAACTGATTTTTTTTTATTTTGTTGTCCTTCCCCCGCACCTACGATTAGCACGGTTGGCTACGTACAGTGCGAAAGAAGTTCAGCATACATAAACACACACGATGCCCCTTATTTATAATACATGCAGTAAATAATTTTTCATTAACATATATATTTTTTAATTTAAAAAAATATTAATATCAACATATATGCAAGGTTTTCTTTCTTAATTCATATGCATATCAAGCAACAATCTTTTGCGTGCTAGTGTTACATTTGTTTACCCAGGAAAGCCTGAGTCTCAAGCCCCCTTTAAAGAAAGGGGGCCTACCAAAATCTGTGCTGCAGTATACTGGAATAAAGTTCAACACAATACCAGATCTCAGTACAAATCAGTTCCTGCCACCCAAACACAAATTAAACACAATGTTTGTGGCAAGCCACCCAAACACAAATTAAACACAATGTCTGTAGCAACTCTATTTTAGATTGATGTTATTAAATCATATGTTAAGGATGTTTATAGAAGTTAGTTTTTAAGGTTCAGGTTTTCAAGATTAAATTATTTTTATCCATGGCTCGATATCAGGCAGACCTGCTGTGGACATGAGTTCTGGAAAATATTCCATGAAAATGTAACCTTGGCGATGCTTTGGAAACTGAATTGAGCATCAATGTATTATTTAGCATTAATGTTCGTCTCTTTGTGTAGTCGTATGTTTCCTCCAATAATTAAAGTCTTTCGTTTTTAAATTATATAAGTTTGTCTGCCCCCAGCATTAACATTGAACTTCATATTCCACATCTGGTAACAATTAGTGACCAATTGCAGTTTATTCACAAGTTAACTCTGTGCAATGGACCAGCACCTTCAAATAAGCATAACACGCATGTACACACACACATAGCCATATCCGAGTTATTTAATGTGCGTATGTAATGACACGCTTGATTGTCCACCCTGATGGAGACAGACTCGTGGATGTATCAACGCTGGCATTGGGTAATGTCGTACAAACAGAGGCAATTTCAGTCGTATGTTGTCTCATGCAAAATGTATTTATTGAGTAACTTTCTGTTGCAGTGGCCACTTACCTAGCCACACAAAATTATATCAAACGCGAAGCTCAAGGAAACCTAACTGGCATCGGGTTCTATCGCACGAGTGATTGTGGATATGTAAAGATTTGTTTTCCTGTCCGCAGAAACACAAAAAGTATTTCCCATTTAACAAGATTGAGTTTGGCGTCATAATGTGTGTACGTGGCCATCGGAGCTTCGAGGGAAAGACAAGAAACTAAACACAAAAAGCAGTTCTAAAGAAATTAGTTTTCAAGTCTAGGTTTAAAAGCGAATTGCTCCAGTGGCTTCCTAATATCGGAACGAAGAGCGTTCCAGGTCGGTCGCAGAGGCGCATCTGAAAGCCACGCGATGCGGTGACCGTTTTTGTTTGATGGCTCTAGCCAAAAGCCGCTGCAAGGATGGCCGGAGTTCGCGTGATGGTTTATGCTCATTGGCGAGATCAGCAAGGTATTGTGGTTCATTTGTGGCAAGCATTTTGTGTGTAATGAGTGCGACCTTAGAATGTATTCGTTCAGCATAGGCCTCGGCAAGGTTAAAGGTAAAAACAACAAGCCTACCTTTACCATATCTTTTACCTTACCACAATACAATCACTCTACCCTTACCTTTTACTCTTTAGCAAGGTAAGGTAAAAGGTCAAACGCAACGAGCCTACCTTTACCCTACCTTTTACTCTTACCCCATACAAATTCCCCGATTACAGGGTAATTACTGGGGTACTACACATGAAAAAGGTTTACAACCGGTAAATTCTAGGTAGAGCGCTTTATTCATATAGAATACTCTCAATGATTCCAATTTTAAATGGAGGGCCACGGACTGCGTCACGGAGTTTTTAGCGAGCGGTAAACAAGGTACCGTAATTACCGGGTAATACTTCGCGCTACCTTTACCCTACCGGGTAATTCTTTCGAGCTACCTTTACCCTACCCTTTACCTTACCCCTTGGCATGTCGACACCTTTACCCTTTTACCCGGTAAAAAGGGTAAATTACCTTACCTTGCCGAGGCCTAGTTCGGCAACCTCAGCAAGCTCCATAATCCTTGTCATACCACAATGCTGTACGTACTGACATGTGGCAAACAAACCCAGGAACAATACAAGTGTGATGAGTGGAGAGGGTTGATCCATGACAGTAACTCATCTGAAAACGTGACTCAACGTGCACACTCACCCCCGGGGTTGAAAATAAAAGCAGTGGGTGCGTCTTCCATCGTGAGCCACATAATTGTTTGAGTTAGAAAATACAAGACACCCAAGTTCATGAGTGTGAATTGGACTCCTTGCATCGCCGTGGCCCCGAATGAAGACGTCTTTTGGGACCTGCACCTGTGCTTATTACCTCCTTTAGGGGGGGGCAGAGGATAGCCACTGTTAGTCAGCTGGTCACTCATATTTTCACAAGCGTTCATTTGCTGTATTTAAAAGTATCGTGAAAAATGTTATTTTTTGCTGCGAATCCTATAAGAAAAAAAGTGAAAATAAATATGAAATCATATACACCGTACACACACGTGCGATCTAAACTGATACATAATGCGAACTATGATGTGTAACACCGGGTCTCCCATTGAAAACGCTTTTCACCACGCCGTCTATGAACGTGGCGGTGCCTCCCGACCTCCGCGCCTGTTTGTGATGACCTCGCGCCATTGTTGTTAATCTGGATGAGTTTAATTTACAACTTGCAATCAATTCCCGAATTGGGGGGAGGTGGTTTGGGGGGCATCTAAAGGTAATGGCACTCGTCAACAATAAAAATTTTCCCACCCAGCAGCGAGAATCATCTCTTATAATTTTTACCTCCAACATTTAACACGCTTCGTCACAGCCTGTATCACTGGTCGAGCATGAGGCCCGACATTTTTAAACAGGTCCAAAAAATGACCGATTTTCACAAATGCTTCGAGAAGCTGAAACCGGGACTGTCCCGGCCAAACCGCGACGTTTGGCAGCTTTAGAACTATGTCACCGTATTCTACAATCGTACAAATTGCCAAAGTCGCACATCGTTCACATGTCTTGTCGGTGAAGATCACTCGGGACAATTGCCCTGACATTGGCCCCGAGTGTCCCAGTTCACAGAAATGCCTCGGTTTACATCGGGGATGCATTCCTAAAAGGTGCGAGGACGAATATTGAAACGACGTACATCGAATGAATTTACAGGGTAGGTGGAGGCAAAGACCGAGAGGCGACGGATATATGAGAAAGGATGGATGATGCTGTCAGCGACGTATGTATGGGTTGAGGCGACGCAAATTAGATAATGGTATTAATAATTTGCGACAAATGAACCTTATGGCGGGACCCCGGGGTCCCGAATAAACGAAAATAAAAATCGTAATTTATTTATTTTTGGCGACTCCGTCCCACCGCGCAACATAAACGCCACGACCCACCTGGCGCGGGTCATTCTGTTGTCATGTCGTCCAAGCGCAGCGGCGAGGACGAATGTGCAGAAGAAACAACACGTTGAAAATGTGATTAGCGCATCGTGTAGAGCTCGTCGAGAGGAATAGATTGCCGTATCGTTCACCTTAAACAGACATAAAATGACGTCGCAAGGCAGTTAATGCGAGAGCCGGGGGCTTATGGGTCCCCGGGGTCCCCGCCATAAGATTCAAATGAACCACAATACCTTGCTGATCTCGTCAAGGAGCATAAACCATCACGCGAACTCCGGTCATCATCACAGCAGCGGCTTTTGGCTGGCCATCGTACAAAGACGGTCACTGCATCGCGGGCTTTCAAATGTGCTTCTGTGGCCGTTTGGAATGCTCTTCCTTCCGATATTAGGAAGCCACTGGAGCGAGGCACTTTTAAATCTAGATTGAAAACTCATTTATTTAGAACAGTTTTTTTGGGTTTAGTTTGTTGTCCTTCCCCCGCACCTTCGATTAGCACGGTTGGATACGTACGGTGCGAAAGAAGTCTAATATATATGCATACAAGAAAGTGACGACGATATTTCGCTAAACAACAGTACAAAAGAGGGGGAGATGTAAATCGGGGTATTAACTGCAGTGTGTCCTTCAGGCTTTAGCCGAGCGTAACAGAGGCAGCTCAGAGGGTGGGCTCTGATGGAAGTGGATGGGCAAATCTGCCGACTGAGGCGACGTTAGGTGGCGCCAGCGCTGTGGTGCACACAACCACGCAGACACACAAACACACGCGGCCCAATTAATACGGGCAACATTATTATCGGAGCAACTTCAAACGTGTTGTGCTCGTTAATTTTTGTTTTAAAAAGTGGCATGTTAATACAGCACACTGAATACACGGCACGTGAACAGAGACACACACAACGTTCGTAAATAACAAAATAATACAAAGCTTAGTAATTCATGGCTTGTCTTAGTAGCCCATACCTGTAATCCTGCAGGTTAAAGCAAGCCTAGAATTTCCCCCTGACAACAAAACGTTGCTGAATAATATTAGCCTAGAATGCCTGATAGGCTGATGAACTAAATCATTTCATTTTTTACTGCACTTTCATTTAACTCACTTTGTCTGTTGTCGTTGTTGTCGTTGTTGTATCCTCAAATCGTGTAACTCAATTCTAACCCACTTCCCAATGTGGTATCGACTGCAAACTTGGTATACTTATGTCATACTGATGACAATACTATATTCTATCATCAAAAAATATATATATTAAACATTATTTTGTATATGTTATGTTTCGGCTTGGGTCTAATTGTCTACGGTCAACTGACGTTGGTGCTTTGCCACGGTCCCTTACGTTATGGCAAGCGTCGGGGCCACTTCCTGGAGTTCTTCCATTACTAGTACATTTCATAAAAGCGTGTTCAAAAAAAAGTTTTTTTTTTATATAACTTTTTTTCCGCGCAGTCAAAGAGTGTTTATTAGGGTTGTTAATGTTGTGAATAGACGACAGACGTCTCTCCACCTTGAGCCCACAGGTGCCTCTCACCTGGGCGAGGCTGCCCCTGGCCCTGAGGAGTTTGAAGAGCGCCACAGCCGGGATGCACAGCATGGAGGAGAGTGCCATCAGCCAGCCCAGAGCCTCGGCCCAGCGTGGGTACACGTAGCGGTCGTTGTACGTGAGCCGCTCGTAGTGCACCAGGTGGAACAAGAAGATACCCTAAGCACAAAGACAAAGGCCCCCCGTATAGCCTTAATAGGATGTTGGGGCAAGTGCTGTTAGTGAACACCTATGAAGGCCGGTACGGTACACGAGGGGAGTGGGTGGCCAGCTCCATGCCCGACCGCCTTTGTCTCCCCAGTGGCGATGTTCACTACACACCGCATCAGGAACTCATTTGAGGTTAATTCAACCGAAGGGAGGCCCAGGACCGGTTCAGATAATCGTCACTGTTGCCCATGAGCGTGAATCGAACTAGGGTCGCCGGGTTCATAGCGCAGGGCACTGACCACTACACTACCGCTCCCCTATACGAGACTTTAGCACCTATGAAGGCCGGCACAGCACACAAAGGGGGTGGGTGGCCAATAGCATACCCTGGCACACACACACAACAACGCAGAGGTTGTGGTGTCATAACCACAGCCACAACCCATCCTCCGGCAACAAGACGAGGCGGAGGAGCAGGAGCTTCCATCTGCCAGCTGATACAGCAGAACAATATTATATTGGAGAGGCAGTGCGGCATGTGAGAGTTAGTTAGTGATATCATTCAGAAGCTCTGCTATGCATGATCTGTATTCATAGCCTACACAGCGGTTATGCACCTAAACTATTTAAAAAACTAAACGTGGCTGTAGGAATCCATACTCTTTGGTTATTTCGGCAAAGTCACGTAGGTATAAAAGAAATCACGACGTTTCGGGCGCAACACAAGCAGTCAGTCATCAGGTGGGAAAAGCTTTTCTGCGCCCGAAACGTCGTGCTTTATTTTATTTTATACCTAGGTGACTTTACCGAAAGAACCAAAGAGTAACCAAACGATTGTTATTTTACCAGGTAAGGCCCACTGAGCTATGCAGCTCTTTTTCAGAAGCGACCTGACCACAAATGATAGCTCAACGAAGCGGCTTCTCACGTGGACTATTTATAACAGCCAAATACTCTAAACGCGTGATGTTGATTCTAAATGTGGGGAGGGGAAAAACCGAAGGACCCGCAGAAAAATCCACGATTGACACCTAGCTTATCACGGGCAACATCGCCGTGGGTTGACGGTGGAGGGCGGCCGCTGTGGTGCGTACCAAGCACACGGCAGGGCTGACCACGCTCCAGCACCACCGCACCCATGCGTGCGGACGGAACCCGAGCATCGCCGTCAGGTCCTGCATGAACCGATTGGCTCCTGCACTCAACGGCAACAGCGACAACAACGGCATCACGCCTGCAGCGATGTTCCGGCATACGATGTCTCGGCAAGCAGAGTCCAGCGTTTGCTTGTCTTGAATCAATGCCGCTGAACTTATGCGCCTCCAAGAAAGGTCGTGCGGTCGATGGGTTGCGTAAGAAACGCTCTTTCATTATTTACGTGGAGAGTCGGATATGAGAGGGAGGCTGATAGTCCGCTCATCCGTTTTGTTATTGATGTTCTCCACAACGACGGTGATGATAATTGAGAGCTGTGCGTGGACAGGTGAGTGAGGAGTGGACGATTGAGTGGGTTGCCCGAGCGAGCCTGCTCTACCGTAAACCCAAGCCACAGCGATGCATTCCCAGCCCACGAGCCACAGCATGGAGATGCCGCTGGACGCGTAGTTGTCAAAAAGCTGGAACACGTACACGCCGCCCTGCAACACAATGCAACAATCGCCGTCAGAGTCACGTGGAGGGCTGAGTTTGTTAACGTCAGAAAGGAGATTAAACTGAATCCATCAATCTATAGGCATTCTTCTAGATCAGGGGTGGCCAACCTGTAACCGACACGGAGCCAAAACGTATCCATGAGTTCTGCAAAGAGCCAGGTGTTTAAACAAGTGTGTTGTATATTAACAGTTTTCGGCACACCATAGGAGACATTCATTATTCTTTGCCACTGTGATAGCGCGTTCTACGTCATGCCCCTTCGATAGAGCCGCACGTGGTGGATTAAAGAGCTTCACGTGGTCGATTAAAGAAGTGTACGTGTTGGATTAAAGAGCTGAATGTGGCTCGGAAGACGCCAGTTGGCCACCGCTGTTCTAGATTAACGTTACCTGAGAGAATTTACTTATCAGGCGAGGCGAGTACATTCATCGTTTTAACTTGACCAGGTCTCATCCAGCAAGGTGCAGTATAATTGTACGACGAGGCTGCAAATAAAGTACAGTATTGCACAATTGTCTATCTTAGTGTTGCTTGAAGTGAAGTGTGGAGTTCCACAGGGGTTTAATCCTCCGTCCAATTATCTTCAGTGTCTGCATTCTCTCTGATTATTTTTAGCACATATAATCTTGGACTGTCACTCTCGTGCCGCTGATACTCCAAAAAAACCTCAACACATTCGTTAATACGCGTTTTATTACTGAAGGGTTTGTCCACTACTCAATAGCTACTACTAAGTAATTATAATCTATGTGCCAAGTTAAAAACGTCGTCATTAAACATTTAAAAAATGTAATTCTTATCAAACCCCATGGTGCAAAATGCAAGATCCAACTCTTGTTATCCACTCTATCTCTCAGGCCCCTCTATCCATGTCCATTGGTTTCAAACAGAGGTCGCAACCGGGTACCCGATACCCATACCCTACCCGATACCCGGCTACCTGTACCCAGCAGGGTACCCAGCAGGGTACGGGTACGGGTAGGCGTTTGCGACCCTGGTGCGGCCGGGTACGGGTACGGGTAAGGAATCAAAACCCGTTTGCGACCTCTGGTTTCAAACGAGACACAAAATTGTATAGAAAGCACACCGCCTGTGTTTACATGCAAGCAAAACAACCCGTCAACATTTCCTAAATAAATGCATTATGGTCCTCAGGAAATGCTGATGGTTATATTTTGCATATGCTTTTGCACATTTTTGGTTTTACAACCCACACCCACTACGATTCTGTTACCGTGGGTTTTTCCGATCATTAACAGATTTGATGAGAAGGGGCCGTTGGCAGAAATGCCACCCATTTTATATTTTTGTCCTTGTAAGGCCACACTGTTAGTGACCCATTTGCCGAGTTTTTTTCCATGTGCTTGTGCTTCTGTACCACTGCCAACGCAGCAGCAGCAGCAGCAGCAGATAATTCGTTCAATAATGAACATCATCATTAATAATAACAAAATGATCATATCTTAGCCACAAACTGGGTGAAATACACCAATTGATGATGTCACGTTGGCAATGTTAAAAAGGTTCCTTGATGTTTCCCTGGCAGAGCATTTAGCTGGTTTAGTGGAAGTAATGGCATCATTCCTAGCAACAGCTTTTACGAAACTGAGAGTTATGATCTCACTATGACTACACTATTTGCATTGACTTACAATATGTTTTCTCTTATAGATTTTTTGCCCGCCAGACTTACAACTAATCTTAATCGAATGTTCTATACCCACATTATCTCTGTTCTAAGGTATGACTGCTCTGTTATCAGGTGCAACCACGCTTTTTATAACATGTGGGTATCCAAGCACAGATCTGGGGCCAGAGTACAGAAAGTTCACTTAAAGAGTTGTCATAAAATGTTGAGATGTTGGTTCATAATTTAGTTAGTTATTGGTTCGATTATTTTAATCCTTTGTTTATTGGCCTTTCCGATTCGAGAGATGAGGCAGCTCCAACTGGTTAAGAAAGCTGCAGGTGCCCAGTCAACAGCGCGCAACATTGATCCAATGTTAGCATATAGTAGGAATTGTTGGGCCAACGTTGGCTCAACATCACTGGCGGAGCCAGTGGGGGGGGGGGGGGGGGCAATGATCCGATCTAAATCCCTAATTTCGATCGGATCATTGGGGTTTTTTAGTAATAAATCGCCATTTTGCGACCCCCACTGCTGCCGTGTAGCATATTGTTGTGCGCCAGGGACTCTATGAGATGATAGGACAATATTCTGAGTCCATAATTGGCAATAAGTAACGGCAAAGCAGTTATAAGTGACTCAGAATTGTGCACCGTTGCGTATACAGTACACACGACTTCCCTGAAGGCGACTTCCCTTCAGCGAGCACGATGCCGATCACACACGGTTCGAATTCGACCCTTGATCGATGGCACACGAGTCAAATAAAAAGCAAGGGACAAGTCCTTACTTACTCACAACTCCTATCATTTTTCATTGCTGGAGGGGTTGCCCCCTCTACTTGAAAATCCTGGCTCCGCCATTGCTCAACATTCCATGTAAACTAAAATAAACTTTTAAATTATCTTTCATTTTACCAAGTAAGACCCCACTGAGCTGTATAGCTCTTCTTCAGAAGCGACCTGGTCACAAATGATAGCTCAACGAAGTGGCTTATAATCACAAGGAAATCTATATCAGCCAAATACTCTAAACGCATGCTGATTCTAAATGTGGAGTGAAAAACCAGAGGACCCGGAGAAAAATCCATGTGACCACCGGGAGAAAGAACATGCAAACTCCAAATATACAGCTATTAGGGCCGGGATCAAATCCACGACCTTCTGTATACCAGACAAGGTAGTTAACATCTCGCCACCACGGCGCCCATGTTAACTGGGTAGAGTGCTTACTCACATACACACACATCATGGACAACACAGTATTCCAGCTTTTACATCAATACAGTGGCTTCCTGTGAAATCCAGAACCGATTTAAACATTTCTAGTTACTACTTATAAGGCCATTCGGAGTCTTGAGCTCTCACTCACAGGATCGCTTGTGACACCATTTGCTCTTAAGTTGCACGTTGAGATCAGTGAATATTGAACTTTGGGTGGTTCCTAGAAGTCTTTAACATCACGAGACACAAGGGCGTTTGGTTGCCAACAGTATGTGGTCGGAAACCTTGGACCAACGTTGCCCCAACGTTCTATATTTACTAGGTCTCTGCCTCTGTTACTCTATCCCAAGTGTAATCAGGGGATGCTAGAACGATCAAATATTTGATGTAGAATGTTAAAATAAATTTGATTGCGTTGTTTATTTTATTAGCTTTATTTATTGATCAATTACTCTGAATCTTTATTTACTTATTGCAAATAACCTTTGGGTGGCAATGCTTGTTTCTACAGGCCAAATAAAATGTTGGCACCAACACATTTCTGGAAAATACATTACTTCCTCAATTCTTTTAAAATCTTCAATTAAAAGTCAATGAGTGTTATTTGCTGGCCCAACTCCAGGCCATAAAAAATGGCGTCCAATATACCTGCGTCACCATGGTGATGGAGAGAAGGAAGCTGACAAGGCAACACAGGCCCGTGAAGACCTCCCTCCGCATCTTGCCGCTCAGCTGGGACGGGAATATGTCCATGACCCCTGTCACGAACCCCTCCATCCCAGCAAACTGAAGCATAGTGAGATGAGGGACAGAATAAATGTCAGTAAACATGGAACGATGCAGTTCATAATTTAGCAATTATGTAACGGTAAAAGACTTCGAGTGTCACTCTGGAATGGAAGAGAATACAATTCAGCAGAACATTTCGCTTCTAAAAGTAAACATACCACCACTAGATCCAAATTTATTTAACATCTCACCACCCAACTTCAAACAGCAGCTCAAGACTCTCACCTAGTTCAGGCTCTCACCTGTTCAGAGTCTTACCTATCCAGACTCTCACCTGGTCAGCCTCTCACCTGTTCAGGGTCTCAACTGTCCAGACTATCACCTGGTCAGGCTCTCACATGTTCAGGGCCTCACCTGATCAGGCCCACACCTGTTCATGCTGCATACGAGGGACTTTGAGCTCTGGCTCCAAGCCATCCAAGTTCTCGATCGAACAATTGCGTCCAATTCCCGACATATATGCCCACGTTATAAATTGTGTTGTTTATTATTATTATTACTACAGCCAGTGGTAACGCGTCGTTTGTGCAAGGGACAGCTTGGGCATAGAAACTCACTTCACTGTCCACGCCGAGCAGGATGAGCATGATGAAGAGCAAAGCGGCCCAGACAGCGGGCACGGGCAGGAGCGATATGGCGCGCGGGTAAACCACAAACACCAGCCCGGGTCCTGCGCAGACAGCCCCCCATGGCCCACGCGACACAATTACACACGTGGCTGTGAAGGAGATCTCCGGGTAATCGCTTGATAGAAAAGGCTCGAATGAATTGCCCCGACCCTGGTTCTTTCACAATATTTTCGTGTGGGCCACATAATAGAATTTGCATGTGACGATAGGTCCCGTGACGTCATAAAGTTAGTGTAAAAAGAGACATTTTAATGACATATAGCCCGTACATGTGACAACCAATCTGTATCTCTTACCTCCAGGTCTGTCATATCTTGTTTATATTATGTTCATCTCACTATTCATGCCTTGTCTACAGCTCTATTATCAATGTTACATATATTTCATCCCACTAATCTGTATTTCTTGTTTACAGTCATCTCATCTCTGTCTCCAATTTCTCTTCCCTCTCAGTAATCTGCATTAATGTCTCTGCACGACAAATCACTCGGTGGGCCACTCCAAGGCCACATAGGGGCCCACGGGCTGCTAGTTAAAGGTATCCCGATAACCAGGCAATAACTCAAAAGAATGGACTCGGTTGAGGATCTGCATTAAGGTGGCCCATTTGTAAGGTAGTGTCTAGGAAATTGGATCTGTCTTCAGGGTCACTGGGGGATGACCAGGCCGCACCTGCTTCAGCAACGCTGGAAATGTCAACGCCTTGCTCCTGCGCCATGAAGCCCAGGAAGGAGAACACGACGAAGCCGGAGAAGAGGCTCGTGGCGCTGTTGATGAGCGTCAGCACGATGCTGTCCCTGAAGCCACCGCCGGGAAAGCACACGCACGCACACGATGGTCACCATCAGATGCTGTCGAGACCTTGTAAATGCAGCGCCGCAGGCCCCGGATGAGTCAGGCGATTCGGGCTCCGACACTGACCTTCAGGCCCAAACCAATCCCCCCATTCGTGCAGTGGATCCATCGAACGACACTTTTTTTAGGGACCGGGTTTGTGCCCCGTGGATGTCTCTTCATCATCATCGTTATCATGGTCCGTGGGCAGATGGCCCGTAGGTGCTCACTGCACATTTCGTCATTTGTTTCCACTGTCTTGTGCCGATATGCTCAAGTAGTGCACATTTTTCTGGCACCATTCTCTTATGCCGTCGTTAAACCATTCTCTGTTAGGTGTCTGTTGGGGGAATCGTAATGACTGTGTTCACACGCTAAGCCTGCAGCACTGGGTTATGGTCCTGTGGCCCCTCAATTCCTCTGTCGGGGCACTATTGCCTGATAGTAGGAGACCAGTCTTAGGCTCCACGCATCGCGCAGCCTCACCGGTAGCAGTTGTTGTGAAATTTGTTGTAGCTACCGAGAGCAGGCAGCACCCCAAGACCAACGCCATAGCAGTAGAACACCTGCGTGCTGGCCTGCACCCACACCTGTAGCACAGCGGCACACACGTTCACAGTGTGTGAAAAGGTCTATTCAGTCATTTAGTCTAAAGGTGTCACACCTGTTTCATCCCAGTGGGCCATTGTCATTTAGAAATGCATCAGACTCTGAAGACATGGACCGAGATACAGCACTTAACCGTGTGACGGTGTATCAATGGGAACACCACAATGGTGAGTTGTTAACTACCTCTCCTAGTATACAGGAGGTCGTGGGTTCGATCCGAATCCAGACGCCTGTATATTTGGAGTTTGCGTGTCTCTCTCCCTGTGGTCGTGTGGAATTGTCTCCAGGTCCTCACGTTTTTCCCTCCACATTTAGAAACAACATGCGTTTAGAGTATCTGGCTGCTATATATTCCCATCTTTTCTTTTTCAGTTGTCCCTTCCTTTTAAAAGCCAGTGTCAGGTTGTCACCAGGTTGTCACGTTGCCACAAAGAGCTCGTCGAGAGGAATAGATTGCCGTATCGTTCACCTTCAACAGACATACAATGACGTCGCAACGCAGTTTATGCGAGAGCCGGGGGCTTATGGGACCCCGGGGTCCTGCCATAAGGTTCAAATGAACCACAATACCTTGCTGATCTCGTCAAGAAGCATAAACCATCACGTGAACTCCGATCATCCTCGCAGCAGCTTTTGGCCGGCCATCGAATGAAGATGGTTACCACATCGCACGCGTTCAGATACGCTTCTACAGCTGTCTGGAACGCTCTTCCTTCCGATATTAGGAAGCCACTGGAGCTATGCACTTTTACATCTAGATTAAAACGTCATTGCTGTTGAACTGCTTTTTGTGTTTAGTTTGTTGTCCTTCCCCCGCACCTCCGATTAGCACGGTTGACTCCGTACGGTGCGAAAGAAGTTCAATATACACACACATACATACCAGCCGCTTACCTGCGGCGTGGCGAGCTTAGTCCAGTCTGGTTTGAGGTAGAAAGTTAAACCGTCCAGGGCGCCCGGCAGCGTGACTCCGCGTACTAGCAGCACCAGCAGCAGCACGTACGGCAGAGTGCCGGTCACGTAGACGACCTGAGGTCATGTGCACACAAAGACAAACGTCCTCCGTGTAGTCTTAACAGACCATCGGGGCAAGTGCTGTTGGCGAGCATCAGCGCTTAGGAAGGCCAGCACGGCGCATGTAGGTGGGTGAATCGCCAGCAGCACGCCAGAAAAAACGTAGGTCCCCGAGAAAAATTCACGCTGCTATGGGGAGAGATAATTAGATCTACAAATATACAACAGCCATCGTGAGGGTTGGGATGGAACTCACGACCTCGTGCATACCAGGTGAGGGAGATAACATCTCACTACTGTAGAGACTTACTACTCCATATTTTTTTGTTTCCCTCGAAGGTATAAAAAGTTTTCTCCTCTACTCACCTCACCGACTCCCACCAAATCCCAGTTTATCTCGGCCAATTCTGCTTCCAGTTCAGAATCAGAATCAGGTTTGACTCACGAGGTTTGATTCACCCGACAGAGTCTGCGTGTTGTACGTAAGCAATGGTCAAATCCGGGTGGCGGTGGTGGCTCAGCACGCGGCCCGTAATCCAGCACTGTGGACGCAGCGAGCGTTTGTGGATCACTGCAGAAATGTTGCGAAACTTCCCTCTCGTGGTCCTCGAGGATGAGCCATGCCCTGGATCGCCAGGAGAAGGCGATACAGCTAAAATGTTGGCTCCACCTGTTCGGTCTGTGTGGGATAGAGTGTTTCCCTCCTCGCACGCGTGGGGGAAAACACTCATTAATTTGACAATAAGACCTGAACACAGTGTGTTCTCATGTAACGCGGTAGTTGCGTTCCTGAAGAACACCGCGTATTGGAAAAACCGCGTTATAATAAATAATATACTCTTTGGTTTTTCAGTAAAGTCACGTAGGTATACAAATAAAATAGATTACAACGTTTCGATTGCAACACAAGCAATCATCATCAGGTGGGAAAACCACAGCAAGAAAAATTATTTTGCTGAAGTGGGAGAGAGATGCCAAAGAGTATGGATTCCTGCAGTCACGAAAGCTTCCAATCTATAATAAATAATATATAATGCATGGTCAAGCTGAACAAAGACTGAAGCACGTGGGTAGTATCTAGAAACATCCAGCAGCATCCCACCTTTTATGACGCTATGCCGAGGCAGCTGTACAACTGCTTATTCCCACTCGCATGACGTAGTTCCATTCACTCGATTGCGTTATGTAAAATTTGCATCCGCGTTATAAAAAATGTGTTCCCTAATACATTATGAAAACATGCGAATCGCTACAGGAGAACAAACTGTATAGAGAGGACTGCGGAGTTTGCACAATTGTTGGCTCATCGCGTGGCTGCCTTCTCTCTCCCCTGTGGTTCCGACAAGAGATAAAGTGACGAGAGATAAAGTGACGAGAGATAAAGTGACGAGAGATAAAGTGACGAGAGATAAAGTCATGAGAGATAAAGTGACGAGAGATAAAGTGACGAGAGATAAAGTGACGAGAGATAAAGCGACGAGAGATAAAGTTAAGAGAGATAAAGTTAAGAGAGATAAAGTGTTGATAGATAAAGCGACGAGAGATAAAGCGATGAGAGATAAAGTTAAGAGAGATAAAGTGATGCGAGAAGGTGAAGAGATAAAGTAATGAGATAAAGTGATCATGCGCAAGCATCATTATAATTTAAGGTAAGTGAATTTATAAATTACTATTTAATGTCTTATTTACGTATTTATTTGATGCAATTTATTCAAAAGATATCATTACGTATCCGCCACAATTTGCTATTCACGAGCTTGGTCTTGAAGCTCGTCCCTTCCCTCGAACGTCTCCTCCCCTCGTGCTCTCCCCTTTTATAGCTCTCGAGCCCCCTTTCTCGAATGTTCCCTTACTATACTCTTTGGTTTTTTCGGTAAAGTCACGTAGGTGAAAGCAAAATAAAATAAAAAAATAAAACAACTGAATTAAATCACGACGTTTCGGAAGCAATACAAGCATTCGTCATCAGGTGTGACCGCTCCAGCAAAATTACTGTAGCGTATGAAGAGACACGTGTTTATATAGGGTACTAAGGGGGGGAGGAGCCAAGGGGTGGGGGGGGGGCATGCGGCAGGTCGTGTGGCGTCGCGGGGGGTTGGGCAGGGGATTAGCTGAGTTAAGCCGATAGATAACCATCTTTTTTCTTTGTGATGCCAGGGGAGGGGAGGGTGCATGTACGACAAATGTGGGGGGGACGGGGAGGAGGGGGCAGGCGGGGGAGAGTGGGATGGGGGGGATAATTTTTGCACTATTGAAACACTGTTGTACATAAATATTTCCTAGTGATGGTGGTGTATCAGGCTGGGAATAAAAGGCTGGAAATATGGATATGGCTGTAAAATTATAAGGCAGCTAAAATTTGACTTGGTTGATGACATCCTTCCTAATGATTGCTTAATTTGAAACCATCCTCTTGGTTGAAGTTGTGTCTATGTTTGTATATCTGGATGGCTTCATGGACACATCTTTGGTAGTATCCAGACGGCTTGCAGAGTACTTTGGTATCGGAGAAAACAATATCATGAGAACCCGATGTGTTGAAACAATGATCAGCTACGGCAGAATTCGTCCTACCGTGTTTTAAATGTGACTTATGCACACATGCTTCCTTGTAAAAAGGTTTCAGTTTTGTTGCCATAAAAAGGGGAAACCCCTATTATTATTTTAAATAAACTTGCTAAACGGGCTAAAAAAATAATTTATTAGGCAATGCTCATTTCCGCCACCCCCTTTGCACTCAGACTCAGTTGGTCTCGACCCAGATCTCTGGGTGACAGGCGGTGGGGCGGAGGTGCACATTTATGAATGACCCCATTCGTTTCTTTACATTTCCAGCTCCCGAGTACGAACATGTACCTTGCCGGAGAACTTGATTCCTTTCCACACGCAGAAATAGACGACGATCCAGATGGCCAGCAGGCACAGCAACATCTCCCAGTTCACCGAGCCCAGGTCGTGCAAGCCCGTCGACATACGCAGCACGTTGCGCCTGCACGTGTTCACAGAGGCACGTGTTCACAGATGGCACGTGTTCACACAGACACGTGTTCACAGATGGCACGTGTTCACACAAGCACGTGTTCACACCGGCACATGTTCACAGATGGCACGTGTTCACAGAGGCACGTGTTCACACAAGCACGTGTTCACACCGGCACATGTTCACAGATGGTACGTGTTCACACCGGCACATGTTCACAGATGGTACGTGTTCACACCGGCACGTGTTCACACATGGCACGTGTTCACACAAGCACGTGTTCACACAAGCACGTGTTCACACATGGCACGTGTTCACACATGGCACGTGTTCACCATTCGACAAAATGGTTGCTCCGACGCCTTCCTGACCCGGTGGCGTCGCGTGGTTGGGCACAGGCTCGGGTCCAAGGAATTAAATGGTTCTCGATTTGAAGCTTTCGTGACTGCAAGGATTCATACTCTTAGGTTTTTTCGGTAAAGTCACGTAGGTAAAAAATAATAAAATAACATTATAATAAATGAAAATAAACCACGTAAGTGAAAAATAATCATAAAATAATAAATGAAAATAATGTAATTAAATAAAAATACATGGAAATACATCAATAATAAAATTAATTATTCTCATTCTTTTTTACCTACGTGACTTTACTGAAAAAACAGAAGACATAGGCGTAGCTAGGATATTTTGCGCCCGGGGACGAACTATAAAATTGGCGCCCCCCCCCCCCCCCCCCCGTTTAATTACATGGCTCACTCAGTCACTGTCGTAGACTGGTTGACATAGTCTAGAAAAGATTACTTTTTCTTGATTTCACTGTCGCAAACTGGTCAATCACGTAATAAAAATTTGTTTTTTCCAATGTTTCTCTTTCAACGCTAAGAAGAGCAAGATCGCTGAGACGATCTTGTCCCTTTGAAGCACGCAAATACGACAAATAAGTTTCAATTTGCTGAACGACCGCTCACAGCTTACAATTGAAACTGCTATTGTTATAAAATTTGCAGTGAAATTCGCAAATTCGGAAATATGTCGTCTCCATAAAATACAATAAAACCAAGAAGATCCAAAGGAGTTTCTGGTAGAACTTCATTCTGGTTACTGAGCAGCATTTTGCAATCTCCAATTTCTGTGAAAAGTTCGTGGCCATTGATGTCGGTGTCATCGAAATTTCCAAAATCTGTGCAATTTCCAGCAGAAATACAAATTTTGTGTTCAGGTCTTTTAGTCGTAAAAACCGTGTTGACATCTCCTGTTGAAGTCGATAAAATACGCTTTTCATAACGCGCAGAATTTCTTCTTCTGCTGAAAGTCTTGCAACTCTTGTCAGTTCCCCCTTGGCATCTTCCGACGTCGCCTAATTCTTCTGTCCACATCGATCCCCCAGGCTGTGCATCTTGTTTTGGCGTTTTCTACAGCAACTTGGCTAAAATCATCACGAAGCTTGACAAATTCATGCTCCAAAGATTCAAGATCAGTTGCTGCTTCCTTGAAATTCATAGTAGGATCCTGTAAGCGCTTCTGAACACGATCAATTTTTCCAAGAATGACATTCCAGAAATGTAATAAAACTAAAATTTAATACGCATGCCTGTAAGTGTTCTGCATCACTTCTGGTTTCAGGCGTCATAGTTACGTCCTCCGATATTTTGTCTAGCAGCCCTACTAGTTCATGCAGCCCTTCATAGATAGCTTTAACAGCTTCTGATCGTGCACTCCAGCGTGTTTCAGACTCACGCTTTACTGTGATGGGCACAGCTTTTTTTTAACTCTTCCCAACGAATTGTAGAACGAGAGAAAAACAAATATATACTTTCAACTGTTCCAAAAAATGTGACGATAAGTGGATCCTGTTTAGCTGAGTGTACTCCTGCTAAGTTTAAGCTGTGGTTGTCACAGTTGACAAACAATGCTCTGTGATTGTTGTCACATATTCGTTGTTGAAGGCCGGATATATGCCCAGTCATCACAGCAGCATTGTCATAGCATTGTGCCCGACAGTCGGCTAGAGGTATGTTAACAGATTTCAGTCTCTCGACGATGACTCTTTCTAGGCTTGATGCATCTTTTGCATGTGTAGGGGTGTTAAAGAGAGGGCCCGTTATGCACGGCGACGCGCTCGCCGCCCTCACATCGGCGCCGAGAGAGAAGCGGTCTACGTTACCGATGGCACTACAGCTGCTGGGCGGGGTCTATGGACCATCGGCTGAATGCCGACAGCAATTTTACGACCGCAAGCGGGGTGAGAAGGAGTCGCCCCTAGCATATCGGACGAGCCTCCTGGCGATGGCTAAGTCGGCCTTCCCTCGTATGGACGACGACGGCGTGGACGCGATGGTCACGGAGAAGATCCTCCTCCTGGCAGACGACCTTGACATCGCGGTCGTCGCCCGGGAGGACGAGGAGATGACATCGCTCCAGGCGGCGCGGCTCCTCCACGCCAACCTCCTGTCACTGCGGCGGAAAGCCAGCAGGGCATCGGCGGGGCGTGCGGTGGCTGCAGCCACCATTCCGACGGAGGAGCTCTACGCCGTCGACCACCGACCGCAACAGGCGACAGGAGCACGGTTGGGCCGGGACGGGCCGGGCCGTTTCAACCGTCCGTCTCCTCCAACGGCGCTCCCGCGGTGTTTCAACTGCGGCGTCCGGGGCCACGTCGCCTCGGGGTGCCGCGCTCCTCGACAGCGCGGGACGACACCTCAACGGGACGACGGGCCTCATCACAAGCTCCACCATCATAACCCGGCGAGTCGCGGCACCCCACATGTTTGGCCCACGCACACACCCGTCACGCACTCAAACACCGCAACGAGAGGGGGGCCGATATCGCGCACCATCGCACCATCACGCACCACCCCGGGTACTCATATCGAACCCGGCCAGTGGTCCGTGCTGGCCGATCGTATGGTAGCCGCATCGTCGGGGTCGTCAGCCGTTGTGGGGCACATCGACGGGGTTGAAGTGCGCATCCTGGTCGATACGGGAGCATCGGCGACCATTATTTCGGAGTTGATTTACAATATTCTCCCTGTCCGGAGTCGTCCTTTGATGCCTGTTAACGTACCATTCTATGCGGCTAACGGGGGCTCACTTGGCATCATCGGACAAATTCGTGCCCAAATTTGTATTGGGGAAATTAAATTGTCTGGGCCGATTTTTGTTTCCTCCTCGCTGGCGGTTCCGTGCCTGCTGGGGACGGACTTCCTGGCCAAAATGCCGATTAGGATATTGATCGACCAGGGATGTATTGAGCTCCCGTCGGGCAGACGCATGGCGTTTCTGCCATCGCCTGTTACGACTCGGACGGCGTTCGCGACGGTGCCGGCATTCGTAGAGAGAACGGTGCGCGTCCCTCCGGGGGCGCAAATGTTGATTCCCTTGAAACTTCGGCGGCCCTTCGCTAAGGGTGTTGGGGCCCAAGGGGTTCTGCTGGGGCCGTCTAGGGCCGGGGTTAGTGGACCTCATTTACTTCCGGCCCAGACCATAGTAAGAGGGGACGGTGAACCCTTCATCGCGGTCCTCAATGTGGGCTCGCAGACGGTGGTGGTCCCACAGGGGACCGTGCTTGCTCACGCAACGCCGGTGCCATGTGAGGAACCCGTCGCAAATCACGTCAGCGTTGTCCCTGCGCCGCGACCGCATTCGGACAGTGATGAAGGGTGGCTCGAGGCGCTTTGTGCGGGATCGACGGACCTGTCAGATTCAGAGCGTCAACAACTTAAAACTCTACTGCGGGAATTTTCCGACGTTTTTAGTCGGAATAAATACGATTTGGGTTGTACTCACCTGCTGCGTCACCATATTGACACGGGTGACAGCGCGCCAATTCGTCAAAATCCGTTTCGGTTGAGTCCCGCCGAAAAGGACCATGTCAAATCGGCTGTTGATGACATGTTGGCCGCCGACATCATTTCTCCTTCCACCAGCCCTTGGGGAGCGCCGATCGTCCTGGTTAAAAGCAGGACGGTTCGTTGCGGTTTTGCGTTGATTTCCGGCGTCTTAACAAAATTTCGGTTGCCGACGCATACCCGCTCCCTCGGATGGATGAATCGCTGGACGCCTTGGCGGGAGCGCGATTCTTTTCCACACTGGATTTACTTTCGGGATTCTGGCAGCTTCCTCTGGACGATGATTCAAAGCCTAAAACTGCTTTCCGTACACCGCATGGCCTGTTCCAATTCAACCGGTTGCCGATGGGCTTACACTCAGCGCCGGCAACTTTCCAGCGTTTGATGGAATTGGTTTTGGCTGGATTGCAACGGGAGTCGTGCCTCATTTATTTGGATGACGTTATCGTCTTTAGTAAAACTTTTGACGAACATCTCCAGAGGTTGCGGGCGGTTTTCCTAAAGATGCGGGCTGCTAATTTGAAATTCAAGCCCCAAAAATGCCATTTGTTGCGCGATTCGGTGCGTTATTTGGGGCACATCGTGGGACGCTCAGGTATTGCTACCGATCCCGCCAAAACGCAGTGTGTCAGCTCCTGGCCGACTCCCACCTCGGTGGGAGAGGTCAGGAGTTTCATTGGGTTCGCGTCGTATTACCGACGGTTCGTCGCTGATTTTGCGACAATTGCAAAACCCCTGCACGCTTTAACATCTAAAGGGGTTCGGTTCCACTGGGGTCAAGAGGAGGAGGCTGCTTTCTGCTCCCTTCGGGACGCCCTGGTAAAAGCCCCTCCCTTGATTTACCCAGATTTTTCTAAGCCCTTTTTGCTCGACACCGATGCGAGCAACACGGGTATTGGGGGTGTGCTTTCCCAGGTGGTTGATGGCGTGGAACGGGTGGTCGCGTACGGTAGTCGGGTGTTGTCTCCTGCGGAGCAAAGATATTGTGTCACCCGTAGGGAACTGTTGGCAATTGTCTATTTCATCCAACAGTATCGCCCATATCTGTACGGTCGGCATTTCACCGTCCGCACAGATCATGCGGCACTACAGTATGCCCTGCGAGTTCAACAACCATCGGGACAGTTGTCTCGATGGTTGGAGGTTCTCCAGGACTTTGATTTTGAAACCACCTACCGTAAGGGCGTTCGCCATACGAATGCGGACGCTCTGTCGCGCATGCCAACCACCTCCGAATGTGCATGCCTCCTGGGGTCGGGACGTTGCAGCCACCGACGACGACGAACCATTGGTTACTAATTCGATCGAACAACAGGGAAGAGATTCCCTGTTGGGGTTGCCCGTCACTGAATGGGGGCGCCTCCAAATGGAGGATACCTCCCTCCTCGGGTGGCGTCGTCGCGTCGGGGGTGCTGGGTGGGTGAAGGGTGATTCGGATGCATGGGAAATGGTGCAAGGTCTGCTGATGCATTGGGACGGCAAATCCCAGCGACATCGGCTGGTGGTCCCTTCTGAGTTGCGAGGCAAGGTGGTGTGGGCCGCGCATGAGCGCCTATTACACCTGGGGACCCAAAAGACTCTTGCACTGCTACAACTTGATTTTTTTTGGCCTGGTATGACGAGGGATGTTGGGGATCTATTGGGATCATGCCCTCGGTGTGCGCAACGGAAACCGCCGGCGCGGGAGTCTAACCCGCCCTTGCAATCGATCAAAGTATCCAGAATAAATGAGCTTGTCGCGCTGGACATTTTGGGCCCATTTCCTGCCACCCCCAGGGGCAATAGGTATTTGTTGACAGGTGTCGAGTATTTTACGCGCTGGCCTATGGCCTGGCCCCTTGCCAACCAGTCGGCAGCAGCCATCGTGGAGGCCTTTGTTCAGGGATACGTCCTAGACAAAGGTGCTCCGGAGCGGCTGCTGACTGACCAGGGCAGAAATTTTTCCGGTAAATTACTCAAACAAGTCTGTGACCTCTTAGGCACGAAGAAAATTCGTACCTCCCCGTATCATCCGCAAACTGACGGAATGGTCGAGCGCCTGCATCGCACCATTACGTCAATGATGTCACAGCAGGTCTCGGACTCGCAGACTGACTGGGACCTGCATATTCAAGGGGTCTTGGCGGCATACCGGATGGCACCCCATGCAGCTACGGGATTTTCCCCCTTTTACCTCATGTACGGTCGCGAACCCGACCCGCCTGTTCGCGCCCAGCTGCAGATCCCCGACCCGCAAGGGAAAACTAAATTGGTTGACCACGTCAAATTTAATCTGGCCAAATTAACAGAGGCGCGGGATGCTGCTATGCTAAACTCGGACCTCTGTCAAAAAGCGAATGAGCGCCTCAGGCTGGGTCGGGCGCACGTGATACAGTGGAAGCCGGGGGACAAGGCATGGTTGCACTGTCCCCAAGTGCCCCTGGCTACCTCCCCTAAGCTGGCGCGGCCGTGGCGGGGCCCTGTGGAGGTGGTCGAAGTTTTGCGACCACAGTGCGTGCGCATTAAATGGAGGAAGCGGCGATGGTTCGTGCACCCCTCTAGGTTAAAACCCCTCGTTGCGGTACACAAACCCACTTCACACATGCGTGGCCAAACGTGTGGGGGGTCGACCGACTCACTAGGTCCGTCTCCGTCGTTCTCACCTAATGCCTTGCCGGCCGTGCCACCTCCAGGTGCATCAGGACTGACGGGCTCACGCCCGACCACCCCTCCTGGGGATACCGACGGTCGCGCGGCATCGGATGAGGTCTCACTCCGGGACGGACAATTGCCACCTTACGGTCCGCCACCCGGGGTTACCCCGTGTGAGGGGCCCGCTGCAAGGACGCGCGCAAAAATGCGCAGACTGTTATGAGGCCGGAAGATGTGTACATAGGTTGTGTTCATCGTGTGTTGTGTGGGTGGTGTGTTCCCTGCCCATTGAAATGTACATACGTTGGGTTCACCTGGTGTTGTGTGTATGGTGGGTTCCCTGCAAATTGTATATAGGTTGTTTTTTTTACGGAATTCGTATTTATTCAAGGGGGGGTGCGTCGGGTTGTTTTCTCTTCTTGCTGTTGCATTTTGTTGTGTTCTTGTTGCTGTTCTTGTTATTGTTGAAAAATAGTGAGGCACACGCGCGGTCAAGGGGTAAATGCACTTTTATTGTCATTTTTGTATGTTGGCAGCCGGGACGGCTGCAAGCTATGCGGGGGGGGGGGGGGGGGGGTGATGTAGGGGTGTTAAAGAGAGGGCCCGTTATGCATGGCAGCCTATGGAAAACAAACACAGTGGGCGGGGCTACGTAAGTGCACGAGCAAGTGCTCTCTACGACGTCCGAGCCAGACACCCTGGGGGGGGGGCTGGTTCGAACGTTATGATCCCCCGGGGCCCCACCCCTCAGGGAGGGGTTGGGTATAAAAGGGGATGTTTCAAAGGGCTCGGCAGTTATGTTTTAAGCTAAAGGAAGAAGACTGAAGACGTCTTAGATAGAGCCCTGGACTCCCCTAGTTCGATGTCCTTTTCAGGGCCGGACAGGACTGAGCCAGCGGCGTGGTCCCGAAAGCCAGAGCCGGTGCTCTTGTAAGAGCTGGTCTGGAACTCCGGGTACCGGGCCCGACTTACCAGTGTCGGGCCAGATAGCCTCCCCTAGCCCATTAGTGGAGGACTCGGGGCTAGGACAGAGTCTGCTAGGGGTGTATCCCGAGTTATACGGGTGAGGGGGCCGATACCCCCTCGAGTGTTATATGCCCACTGTCGTATTGTGAAATAAATATACGTGTGCCTCAACCTCGGCGTCAAGCGTCTTCACCGGTACTTCACATGTATCTCGATATAACCTAAACATGATTCTTTGATAGTTACTTTTTTAGTTTGAAAATCTACATCCACAAATCTTATGACCTGAGAAAGCTGTTCCCGATGTCCTAGATCAGGAGTTGAGTCAAGTAAGATACCGTAGTACTTGTTTTTCCTGATATCACTCAACAATTGGTTCTTTACAGTCGACACAAGTACGTGGATAAATTCATTCTGGATTTCCGGTGACAAATAAGAAACTGATCCCGGATTTTCTCCTGCGTGCTGTGCGTGTTTTGCTAACAATGGGTCATACTGAGCAACGAGTTTGATCAGCGCGAGAAAGTTTCCAACATTTTTATCCTCATCCGCATTCAAATTTTCCTCATGGCCACGTAGTGCCAAATTTTGTGAAACCAGAAACTTAATACAGGTGAGTATTCAAATATAAGATACGAGCGACGTACATGTATAAGTGAGCCTTGTAGACATTGCTGCTAAATGAAGGCCACGCTACGTTGACGTGCGTGGGCTGCTCCGGCTGCTGCAGCCGCCTGGAGCGTGGTGGTGTCACTAATAAGAACTCAAAATAGGCCGTCGTAGTTTCCGCCACCAAAAAACAGGCCAGTGACTAAGGCTGAAAGACTGCGCCTGTCTGTTGTTTGGGACGTTCTTCCATGTAAGTTCTTAATAGGCGCGCGTACCAAAATGTAATTACATGACATGTACGCTGTGTGTGGCGGGATATATAAACTTTTAGGTTGAGGTGTAGATTTGTGCAGTAGTTTCAGGCTGCCGTGCCCGCCGCAATAAGTTATAATGTAACGTTGTAAGCCTCATTTTGGCGGCCCTTTACCTTGGCGCCCGGGGACATATGTACCCCCCTGCCCCCCCTAGCTACGCGTCTGACAGAAGAGTATGAATTAAATGGTGCTCCGAGTAGAATATGTAATATTAAAAACTTTTTTTTAAACACGCTTTAATGAAATGTACCGTACTAGTAATGGAAGAACTCCACAACTCCAGGAAGTGGCCCCGAAGCTTGCCATAACGTAAGGGACCGTGGTCAATTATAGCCAACGTGAGTTTACTGTGGACAGTTAGACCCAAGCCGAAACATAACATATAAAAAAAATGTTTAAAATATATATTTTTATGATAGAATATGGTATTGTCATCAGTATTACATAAGTATACCAAGTTTGCAGTCGATACCACATTGGGAAGTGGCTTAAAATTGAGTTAAAAGATTTGAGGATACAACGACAACAACAGTCAGAGTGAGTTAATAGAAAGCGTGTAATAATACACAACGTACATGGGGGTCCATTCCTAAACCTTAAAACAGTCAAATAACCTGAGCCCAGAACGGCAATAACCTGGCCAACCCCACCCCCCTCTCTCCCAAATAAATCCATTCCTCCCTCGCTCCACCTGCTCTGATGAGTCCTGTAATACAACTTGGGTATGTATGTACGTTGAACTTCTTTCGCACCGTACGTAGCCAACCGTGCTAATCAGAGAAGCGGTGGGTAGACAACAAACTAACAACAAAAAGCAGTTCTAAAAGATATAAGATTCAATCCTGGCTATTCAAAAGCACGTAGCTCCAGTGGATTTCTAATATCGAAAGAGCGTTCCAGACGGCCGCAGCAGCGCGTTTGAAAGCGCCGCGCGATGCGACGCTCCACTTACTCCCAGAACTCTGTGGTGGGTGAGCTCCTCTCGGGACAGACCGACTCTGCTGCCTTGCTCCCATTGCCGGCTCCCTGGCTCCGGGCGAGAGAGACGTTGCTCGCCGTGGCGTTGGTCGGGCACGACGAGTAGGTCTCTGAACAGGCGGCCGTCACCCACCAGCCCCGGCAGTGGGTCCAGGGCAGCTGAGCCGTGGTCAGGCTGTGCAGGAGGTAGTAGAGGGACCAGGCCAGGATCACGGCGTAGTAACTGCAGCTGAGGAAGATGATCACCATCGACGCCACGCCGATGCCTGAGTGGTTCAAACGTTAAGGCAAACAGCTCAGATCAGGATCAGATCAGAAGATGTATTAATACTGGAGAAATCCGATGAGCTATAAAGCTCTTTTTCACAGATGTCCAGTTGGCGCGGGTAAGAACGTTACAACAACAAACAATACAAAAGCATGATAATAGTGCAAAGTACAAGAAAGGTCAACAAATCACACAAATACAAATCAAACTAAACCATCCCCATCCTACCAGGCAAAGCCCACTGAGGTGTTAACTTATTTTTCAGAAGCGACTTGCCCACAAATGATAGCTCAACAAAGTGGCCCATCATTTGGACATCTATAGCACCAAAATAATCTAAATAATCTCAATGCACGTTTCTAAAAGTGCAGGGGCAGTCACAGAGGGTTGGAGATTTGGTTTGCCCACCTGTACCTAACTGTAGATATTCACACAATCTCAACACACGCATTAATAACTCTGCCCTGAAGAGGAAAACAAAAGATCTATAATCGGTGACGTTTTGGGCTATAGCCCGTCTTCCTCACAGAGCGATAGGCCAGATATATTTTAGTGAATAGGTGATGGAGACTGCAATATTACACCATGGGGCCCTGGTAACACGTTCCTTCGGAGTGGGCAGGTAGGAACTTGGTTGGACAGTTGGACAGCGCATTCGTGCACGACAGACAGACACATAATCCCTGGTGGAGAGTGTGGAACCTGTTGTTCCTACCTGTATAAGTGTAGTGTATCGTGTATAGCGTAGTGTGTAGGTTAAACGTTGAGTTTTATAAGGGCACCACGGGGTGACCAGCCCCTCCCCACCCAGTCCCACCCCTCGCACCCCCCACCCAGCCCCACCCTCCCCACCCAGCCCCTCCCCACCCAACCCAGCCCCTCCCCACCCAACCCAACCCCTCCCCACCCTCCCCTCCCCACCCAGCCCCACCCCTCCCACCCCTCCCACCCCTCCCCATATGCACGACAGACAGACAAATAATCCCTGGTGGGCAGTGTGGAACCTATTGTTCCTACCTGTATTAATTTCATTTGAAATGTCTCTCAAATAAAAGTTTTTATACTGGCATGTGGGCCATTAGAATATGTCTAGAAACAGACACATTATTTAAAAGTACACAAAATATGAATTAACTAACTTGTATTAAAATTATCAACATATTCTGACATTACATCATGGGGACCGGTGTTGTGGTTTGGAATCGTCTTGGAGAAATAATTAATTGTCTACTTGGTGACTCATTCCTGGGCCAAGCATCTTACTTAGTATTATAATTGTTTCAAAATAAGCTTTCAAAGCTTCCACTGCACGAACACAGTTCGACATTCTCCACACCTCCGATTAGCACGGTTGGCTACGTACGGTGTGAAAGAAGTTCAACATACATATATAACTAAAAAAAGTAATAAGTAATATTAAAAAAAACTTTTTTTTTAAACACGCTTACATGAAATGTACTAGTAATGGAAGAACTCCACGACTCCAGGAAGTGGCCCCGAAGCTTGCCATAACGTAAGGGACAGTGGCCAATTACAGCCAACGTCAGTTGACCGTGGACAATTAGACCCAAGCCGAAACATAACATATAAAAAAAAATGTTTAAAAATATATATTTTTTATGATAGAATATAGTATTGTCATCAGTATGACATAAGTATACCAAGTTTGCAGTCTATACCACATTGGGGAGTGGGTTAAAATTGAGTTACAAGATTTGAGGATACAACAACGACAACAATAACAACAGATAGAGTGAGTTAAATGAAAGCGTATAAAAAAGAGAGACCTCAAAGCCGCCAATCTCAAGACTGTCACAAACACCACTGGCTTGCCGCCTAATAACCACAACTAAATATTGTAATCACCATCCGTGAAGACCTGCAGTTGTCAGAGGCAGAACATTCAGTATTATCCAGTGGTCTAGGCCCTAGGGTATTACGTTGACTCGAGCATCCGAATCATTCCCTCGTTTTAATTATGAATATTCACATTGGACTCCACTGGAGGGACAGTTCGCATTTCATGATTCGTTCATTTATCTTTGCCATCAGCAAATCAATCACTGTCCGGCAAATCGCAATCATTGCATCGCCGAAAACGGACATAGGCCAACATTCACCAGGATGCCATCGTTATGAAAAAACAGTCAGTAAACAAGGTTGCAGTGGCTGTCTGGCACAGATCCGTGTAGGCAGAAAAGACTCGATGGTGACCTCGTTTTTACCTCGTTTTACCGTGAAGTTGGTCATGACTTCATAGCAAGCCACCAACGAGCAGTCAAATACACCGTACAATCAACAAACCTCATATATCAAACCCATTGGACAGCAACCATCTATTTATTACAACAGTTAACGCAAAGCCAACAATCCAGGTCATCCTCTAATTTGAGCCTGTAATCTCGCCGGACTAATCTATCTATTTGCTTAGGGGCCGTCCATAAATGACGTCACGCACCAAGGAGAGGGGGGGTCAGACATTTGTGACGATGTGTGACGAGGGAGGGGGGTTTGAGAAATGTGACGTCACATCAAAATGCGCGACTTTAAATAAATATAGACAACACGTTCTACTTAATTAAATATATTTTAATACATGTTTTCTCCTAAAACATCAGACTTCAGCGGCACATTAAAGCGATTTGAAGCATGTTTTGGGGGGGGGGAGAGGCAGAGCTTTGTGACGTCATATTTGAGGGGGGGTCTGACTTTTTGTGACGCCGTGTGACGAGGGGGGGGTCAAAAATCGTCCAAAATCGTGTGACGTCATTTATGGACGGCCCCTTATCATCGTGCATTTCCAACCTACAGTCAAAGACACCAAACCGTGCACTCCAGTTCTTTGAACACCTTGGATTTAGTGGTTCACCGCGTTTGTTTCTGTTTTAACAGCGGACATCAGTTGTCTCCACGAATCGAGGCCGCAGTCGATACCCCTCTGGCGGGGGCCGTATGATAGACCCCCCCCCCCCCCTCCTCGGACCACGCTACCATTGAAAACGCCGTACCAGTGAAAAGTGGCGCGATCTTCCACGCTCCAATGCCACCCTGTTGAGTGAGCTGCCCCATCGCCACCTCCAAGAAGAAGAGGGGGATTCCGGTGCAGATCATGGTCAGGCCATACGGGACGAGGAAGGCTCCTGGCAGAGACGCACAAAGACAGGAAGCACGGGGAGACGCGTGGATTTTGTTTATTTTTATTACACGCTTTTATTTAACTCACTCTGTCTGTTGTTGTTGTATCCTCAAATCTTGTAACTCAATTTTAACCCACTTCCCAATGTGGCATCGACTGCAAACTTGGTATACTTATGTCATACTGATGACAATACTATATTATATCATTTAAAAACAAATTTAAACTATCTTTTTTACATGTTATGTTTCGGCTTGGCTCTAATTGTCCACGGTCAACTGACGTTGGCTGTAATTGGCCACGGTCCCTTACACTATGGCAAGCTTCGGGGCCATTTCCTGGAGTCGTGGAGTTCTGCCATTACTAGTACATTTCATTAAAGCGTGTTTTAAAAAAATTGTTTTTTAATATTATTTATTTACGGGGAATGACGCCCGCCTCTGTAAGTAATTTGTGCTCAGGTGAGGTCGTTACCATCTCGCCACTTTTACCGTCTGCGCACTCGACATCCGTGGAGTCGACTACAGAATAAAAAAAATATATAGAAATAATAGAAATAAAATAATTGTTATAATTATTATAGAAATAATAGAAATAAAATAATTAATATCATAGTTATTCTTATATAATTATTTCTATTATTTTTAATAGTATTATTATTTTTTCCCCTACGTGACTTTACCGAAAAAAACCTAAGAGTATGAATCCTTGCAGTCACGAAAGCTTCAAATCTAGAATCGACTACAGAAATCGAATGGAGGATACAGGCGCTCGATTGATTGTAAATTTCCCCCTGAAGACTGTTTGCTGATGATAGACTTGAGAATTTGCATCATCATTTAATCTCCAGCACCTTTCGCTCCAAGGACGCAGGGTGATTGGCTGATTGCAACAAAAACCGAACGTGCAAAATAAACTTGTGAGTGAGTAGAGCATCAAAGGCACGACTTTGTGTCACAACTCTGTCGAAACAAAGAATGGCATTGCACAATGAGCATTCAAACACTGGTGATTAATACACTGTGGAAATGTCGTAGATTCAACAGGAGCCAGCGATTAGCACGGTTGTTTACGTACAGTGCGATATAAGTTTAACAAAGACAAAGATCCCCCGTGTAGCCTTAACAGACTGTTGGGGTAAGAAGGGGTGGGTGGCCAACACCACGCCCGACCGCCTTTGTCTTCCTCACAGCGATGTTTTACACACCATTCGAGGCTGAGTCGACCTAGGGGAGGCCCAGGACCGGTTGCAATATTCGTCACTGGTGTTGTCCGTGAGCGGGAATCAAACTGGGGTGACCGGGTTCGCAGCGCAACGCGCTAACCGTTACTCCACTACAATATGGGACCTTTCTTGGCAGTATTAAAATATAACAATGGGGTTTCCCCTTTCTGGCAATAAAACACGTGTAAAGATGTTAAAACACCAAACAGAATCCGTATTCAAGGAATCCTGTCTGCATTAACAGCACGTACTTGTGATGAACATGCAAACAAAAAGCATCCTCTGATAATATAAGCATCGTCTTTTAAACGGATTGGCCCACACCATACGTTACTACACTCCCGCTCAAGCTCAACATACACAATCAGAGTCAGAATATGTATTCATACAGGAGGAATCCGATGAGCCACACATCTCTTCTTTCACAGACGCCCACATCCACACGTACAACAGGCCACACAAGCTCACCGCCGCCGTTCTTGTAGCACAGGTAGGGGAAGCGCCAGACGTTTCCAAGACCCACACCGAAGGCCACCCCGGACATCAGGAAGTCCATCTTGTGGCGCCAGTTCTCCCTCGTAGGCAGCGCCCGTTCGGATGGCTCCTCCAGACCTCCCTCAGCCAATCTTCCTTCTGCGTTGTAGTCCACCGTAGCTGGTTGCTCCAAGCTCTTGGCGTGTGTCCTTGCGGCCGCGGTGTTGCACGCGGCCAACATTTCTCCTGAGGTTCAACGAAAGAAAAACGAATTACAGACGCCATTAATTCAGCTGCGCCACGTGCTGTGAGTGAAGTGGCCATCACACAGCACACGGCTTCACATTGTGCTGGAGAACCAACCAACATCGCAAATTGTCAAACAGCGCACACTTTACACGTGAAATTAATTCCACAGATAACCCTTCATTGGGCTTTTTCGACATTTTCGTTGTCCTGCTTGGGATGTCACTGTCCGTTCATTTTTAAGATATGTTCACGTTAGACAACACCAAGTTTGCCTGGGATTTTGTTTAAGTTTGCCAGTTTTTGACAAAACTGTCATTTTAAGCCCGGTGGATATGCACGTGGATCACCGCACGAATGTTGTGAAACACCCTTCCCGCGTGCGTCGAGGAGGTGCCAAGTAGACTAGTTGCCATCTGTTTTCATCTGTACGGGGATAAAGTGTTGTCCCCTCGCACTGGGCGTGGCTAGGTTCTGCAGATGCTCATGTTTCCTCTCGTATAATAACAAATACGACTCATCATTAATTGGGCTGAAAACATCTTACAAATACAAATTCAATACAGGACCCTTCCTGAGGATGAATCTCGTGACTGTATTAGAAAGATAACTTAGTGAAGTCCATTTGCACAGATCCAGGCAGAGGCGCTGACCATACATCAGATGTTTGGGTACTTAGGTAAAACAAACCCGACACAAAATATCTGTGGGACCTTTATTCCAGTATCAAAGTATGCAAAAATGTATAAAAAAAATTTGTTTAATACCAAATAAATACATTGCTACCTATTTTATTGCCAGAAAGGGTAACACCTATTTTTATTTTACATTATAACACAAGATGTTTAAACAGTTTAAAGTGACCATATTTATCACCATGCCCTTCTCTAACCTACCATGTTTTATGCTCCTTTCTGCCTTTCCTTCTCTGGCTGTCCCCTGCCCTGACTGTCTCTCTCGGCGTGTCTTTTGTTTCTTTTCTCTCTCCTCGTCTCCACGCCCCGATCTGTTCGAGCCCAAGTCGTGGAGGTCCACTTCTTTCCACCTTGCGATTAGGCACGGTTGGCCACGGCGCACGGGTGCGAAACAAGTTCAGCATACACACGTAAGGTGGACGTGTCTCAAAAAAGCGATTGCTCCAAATTAAAATGATTGGCAATCGTTTTCCAGCCGCTCGGCTCCACCCGAACCCTCTTCCACTGTCAGCCGCTTAGCGAGTGCCCAAATGGGTGCAGGAGGGCAGGATGGCCCCCGTATGTAATTGTCAAAAAAAAACAAGGCTGATATTCCTCCTAAAATTACCGACGTTCCATCAAAAAATGTGGAATAGTCACAAAATCTACACGAATCGAGGCCTGTGTAAGTGTATGTCTGTATGTGCGTCGAGCTTCTTTAGTACCGTACTTAGTCAACCGTGCTAATCGGAGGTGCGGAGGAGAGACAAGAGACTATACACAAAAAGCGGTCCTAAATCAATTAATTTTCAATTTAGATTTCAAAGCGCACAGTTCCAGTCGTCTTCTGTCATAAGGAAGAGTGTAGCGTTGATCTCCATTCATCTGCCTGTTTCTTTCCGTGACTTTTCGCGTCCCTGTATCTCGATCGAGATACCATGAGCAAGCGCCGAGGTGGCGAGACGTTCACGACCTCGGCTGGTCTGCATGAGTTTCAATGTCTCTCTCCCCAATTGTCGCGTGGATTTTTCTCAGAGTCCTATGGGTTTTTTTCCCTCCACATTTAGAATCGTCACGCATTTAAAGTACGCGGCTGCTATACATTTCCACGTGATGATAAACCATTGCGTTGAGCATTCCATTTGTGGCCAGCTCGCTTCTGAAAACGAGCTTATATAGTTCAGAGGGCCTGACCTGCTAAAATCAATAAAATAATCTGGTCTCTTCGTGGTTCTCTCACCGTATCTCTCTGCGTATTTGCCTGCTGCGTCTGTCTCCCCATATCTCTCTCTTCATATCTCTGTGCATCTTCCTCTATATTTCTCTCTCCGTGTAATCCTTTTTTTCCCATGCTGTTATTTTGTAGTGCATCTATCTGTGTGTGTGTGTGTGTATGTCTTGGTGTGCTTGTTCATCCGTGTGTGATTTTTTTGTTTTTCTGTGTGTTTGTGTCTGAGCATGTGTATATATGTATCATAAAATGTAGTTTTTGTGTGATCGTCATATGTTGTCCCTCTATTTATGCGTATTTACGTCAGTTTAAAATGTATACCGTGAAAGTAGAGAGATGGTGCGATATTAATTAGACCTAACCCTAATTAAGCTCGTATTTAAAAAATATCATTTATAGCTGTTCAACTTTGGTTTAAAATGTGCATGCTCTCATATGCACCCCATCTCTCTCGAAGAGGAGGAAAGTAATGGAAAGTATATAATATAAACCAATGGCTAAATGCCTGAATAGAAATTGAAACGATCAGCCATTCTAAAGTATAAACAAGAGTGGTCAACGATAATAACTTTCCAATACGGTAAATGCCACACTTCTCGAAACACGAGTGCCCAGTTGACTTACTGCGACTGTGCTGCGCCTCGCAATGAGAGTTCAAGAGGCACCACGAGCACGGAGGACAGCTTCAACTCTGTCGCAAAAACAAAAATACGTGGATTCCAGGAGTCCAACTCGCGCGCGATGAACTGGGTGGCCGAGGTGAGACGGTCGAGAGAAGGAGGGTGAGGGAGGGGTGTTGGCTGGCCTTGTTTATATATTCTCGCGCATTAAAAATATTTACATTTGACAATGAACGATGAGCTTCGTGGCCTTGTTCTAAAACCCTAGGGGGGGTAGTGTGACATGTTGGTTCACGTCCTCGCAGAGGCCGGTGCCTGGATTGACCCGTCCACTCTACACACCGCCACCTTTGTTAATCGGCGTCGTTTATTTGTGGCACAAATTCAAGGCATCCAAAGCGAAATTCCAAGTTTGCACTTGTTAAGGTGGTCACTAATTCTGTACATAGCGTACTTATATGCTGGCTGTACACAGGGTGCTTCAAACACATGTGTAGTGGTGTATTCACACCAAGGCCGTAGCCATAGAGTCAACATTGGGGGGGACCAAATCCAGGGGGTCTGGGGTCCCCCCCCCCCCCCCAGAAAAATAAAATCTAAATTTGAACGCGAATTTCCTGCCATTTCCTGCCTAAAAGATAAAAAAAATCACTAACACATACGATGGACTTTTTATTAATTGTTTTAGAATATTGTCTAATAGTGTATTGTATTACATTGCTCTGTTTTTTATGTTTTACCTTTTCTTGTTTCATTGCATGTAATGGCAGAGATTAGAGATTTAGAAAGTACAACCATAACCACAATCATATAAACAGAAATCTATTTTATAGCAATATATTGGGGGGGACATTTTGAGCATATTTGAATATTAGGGGGGATGTCCCCCCCCCCCCACATGGGGGTGTGAGGGTCACGTGACGTGGACCCAGGGTCCCTCCCGAAGGATCTGGAAAGGGGCGTGGCCAAGGGCAGAGCCGGCCACGCCGGAGCGGTTATAAGCCAAGTCCCGGGAGGGAGTGGGGCTGTTCTGCTGGGTCAACTCTGGTAAGGAAGCCGCCATCTACGGTCCTCGGTCTCCGGTCTCCGCTAGTGGACCAGGCAGCGTGATGAGCTGTCCTGGTACGGTAATATAGTATCCCCCGTGTGTTAGCTAAGTTAGGAGCGGTGGTTACCACCCTATGTCGTTATCCTGTTAACGTTAAGAGTAGCTGTTGTGTTATTTAATCAACGTGTTGCCCCCAGTTCTAGTGTCGGCCTCAATCGAACCCACTACATTTGGTGTCAGAAAATGTGAAATTGCTAGGTGTTAGCCGAGTGTAGTAACATGCGCACATGTAGAAAACAACTGACCTGGATGCCGTCATAAAACGAGGACGGCGTGACGATCATTCTCCAGACAGCCCCGGGGATTGCAGCCCCGGTGAGAGAGAGCGAGATGGCGCTGCAGGCAGAGCGGCGGGACAGGTCATCACGCCGCTGCTTCGCCGCCGTCGGGGAGGGAGCTCCGGAGCCGCGGGGAAAGGACGCCGCCGCCGCCGCTGCTGTTTCCCGGGTGGGAAAGCCCGGGCGAGAAAGCCCGGGCGTTGCCTCCAGTTCTAGTGTGCGCCCCAATCGAACCCACTACACATGTGTAGTGGCATATGACGTCACTACTATGTCGGGACTGTACGAGCATAGGGACATATGACATCACTACTGTGGCGGCTCGGTATGGGGGCTGTAGGTGTGTGTCACGGGGGTCGTGTCAGGTCGTGGCACTCAACAGGACACGTGACCGGATAAAGGGGGATCAGGAGCCCCAGGGGAGCAGCTTGGGGGTCACGTGGTTGGGGGTCCGGACCTTCCCAAAGGATCGAGAAGGGGGGCGTGGCCGGGGGTGGAGTCGGCCACGCCTGAGCGGTTATAAGCGGAATGTGAACAGTGAGTGGGGCTGTTCTACTCCGGGATGAAGACACCATAAGAAGTCGTTCGTGACCAAGCAAGTTCAAGTTCAAGTTAATTTATTAGGTATAGCCCTGTGAGCCATTCGGCTCTTGAATCGGGTGCAACCGCAACCAACAAAAAACAAAAACATGAATAAGAAAACATCTGAAAGTGAATATGTGACTGAGTGCAAACAGAAAATCCAAGAAAAGACAGCTAAATATTGTAGAAAAAAACACCGTACACCAACGCTGTGTACAAAAATACCAGTGGGATGCAAGTCAAACAACAACAACAACCACAAGACAACTTAGATTAAGGCCATCAGTCTTACTCCGTACTACAACAAACAAACGTGGCCAAACCAGTAAACTTTTCGAAATCACCCAAATAAAGCAATGAAACAGTGATCATAGGAACTGTGACGGAATTTTCACAATGAACGACAAACAACATGTACTACCAAAACCCTGCAGCCATAGCTGGCTGCATGAGTCACTCCACAACAGCAGGAGCATCAATCAGAGTATTATAATTTTTCAATGCACCTTTAAGATCAGCACACTAAATAAAAACACAGGTCATACTTTGCAGCGATCATCCGGAGCGAAACATTTTATTTTAGGCCACTGAATAGCACTGGCAGCTCGGGGTGTACAACTCCTCTAGAGCAGTCCCCCTGCCATGGTCACGCTATGTAATGCTCCCGAGTGTTAGTGAGAGTAGGAACGGTGGTCACCACCGTATGTATAGTGTCCGTGTTAATGTTACGTGTTAATAAATAGTGTTGCCTCCAAGTTGAGTGAACCCATTACACATGTAAACATTTCTGAGAATTTGCAACAACACCACGAGAAATGTGCCTCCGGGCTCTGGAGACCACCTGGAGAAGATTCCAGGCGCGCGTTGACAACGATGGCGAACAAGTGGAGACTCTTTGACTTTTTGAAGCCATTCAAATTACGTTTGTTATAATTTTACAGTGTATTATCCGTTCTTTTTCTATTAAAAACGGTAGTCCCATATGCACTTGTTAAGCTGGTAACTAATGCCAGAAATGCCCAGAGAATATGAATCCCATATAAGTGTTAACATTATTTTTAAGCACCCTGTACAGATACCGACCACGCTCATTTGAGTTTCATCCGACGAAGGCAAATTCTACACTCGCGTAGTTGGCCACATTCTCGACGCGTTTAAGAGTAAGATTGAAAAAGAGTTCGCACGTTAAATACTGCACGTTCAGTCACGAGCAGTTGGCTAGGGGGTTAGGGGTTAGGGGTTGGGTGGGTGGGTGGCAGCATCATAGCTTAACCCCACGTAACGATGATCCCCAACATGAATGAAACTCTATCGTGTCGATGCTGTTGATCAAAGCGGTGTCCACAGCTCCCTACAAACACCAGCGAATAAAATCATTTTTCAAATTATCTTCAACTATATTTTTATGGAGGGTCCAGCAACGCTTTCGCAGAAAGGGCCGATGTTGCTACGCTGTGTGTCATTCCACATGAGTAATTTTCACGTATTTTTTTTTGCATTGTGATGTTTTTTGACCAATTCCAGTTACAGTGTATTGTTTTGTTTTGTCATAGCAATGGGAAGAAAGCAGATATCCGGGAGAAAACCCATGCAGGACGGGGAGAGAACGTACAAACTCGACACGTTTAATGCGCCCGAGTCAGGAATCGAACAGAGGCCGTTCTCGCTGCGAGGCGGCTCACTGAGCGAACCACCCTGCCGCTATGGTCACCATCGCCGTCGATTGTCGAGGTGGCCTGGTGGCTCAGCGGGACGCCACGAGGTCAGAGACGCTGAGTTCAACACCGCTGAGACCCTGGGCTCCAATCAGTAGGGTAACCAAAACGTTTTTTTTTTATTTTAGCAGGCAAGGCCCACTGAACTATGTAGATCTTTTCAGAAGTGACCTGGCTATCGCAAATGATAGCTCAACGAAGTGGCTTTTCATCACGTGGGGATTTATAGTAGCAGCCAAATATTCTAAACGCGCGTCGATTCTAAGGGGCCGTCCATAAATGACGTCACGCAATTTGGGACGATTTTTGACCCCCCCCCCTCTACGTCACACGGTGTCACAAAAAGTCAGACCCCCCCTCAAATATGACATCACAATGCTCTGCCCCCCCTCCCGAAAATAAAACATGGTTCAAATCGCTTAAAACTATTGTCATTGTAGTGCGTATTTAATGTGGCGCTGCACTCTAATGTTGTAGGAGAAAACATTTATTTAAAAGTCTATTTAATTAAATAGAACGTGTTGTCTATATTTATTTAAAGTTGCGCATTTTGATGTGACATCACATTTCTCAACCCCCCCCCCCTCGTCACACATGTCTGACCCCCCCCCCCCTAGGTGCGTGACGTCATTTATGGACGGCCCCTAAATATGGAAGGGAAAAACCGGAGGACCCGGACAAAAATCCACGCCACCACGGGGAGAGAGAGAGACATGAAAACTCTAAATATGCAGGCCGTCAGGGTTGGGATCTAACCCACGACCTCCTGTATACCAGGCGAGGTATTTAACATCTCACCACCGTGGCGCCCTCTAGCGTGGGGGGCAGGTTTTGCCTTGCCCCACCCCTGGTGGCGAAAGCACCATGAGATTTGTTTTCAACAACAATGTAAGAGAACACAAACTTGTACTGGTAGGGACGTCCTGGTTACATCAGCCCACAGGGGATTATTGTGTCCGTCGTGCAGGGAGGGGCTGGGTGGGGAGGGAGGGGCTGGGTGGGGAGGGTGAGGCTGGGTGGGGAGGGGCTGGGTAGGGAGCGGCTGGTGGGAGTGGGAGGGGGCTGGGTGGGGAGGGGCTGGTCACCCCGTGGTGCCCTTATGAAACTCAACGTTTAACCTACTCACGCCGACTTGTGCCCGCCCTCACAGTCGGGCAAATTTGCGGAATACACCACGCCGCCGTTGACCCTGGCCATTGACCGAGCAACCCAACGTTCCTACCAGCTCCCTCCGCAGGAGGAATGTGTTTTTAAATATTTCTTTTTGTTGTTGAGGCAATGTGCGGGCCCGAGACACATCACGTGGTGACGCACGTGCGCACACCGCCAACGTGAAGCCAGACCGGTTATGAAAAGCAGCGGATAGAAAGATGGGGAACGGGCTGGCTGCCCCACACCGTACAAGGGAACCTACCCCACCGCGAGGGGAAGAACAAAAACCCGTTTAAAACGCGGTTTAAATTC